GGTATTCCCAGGTCTCTGAGTCCCCACGCACTCCCATATGCCTCTGAGTGGATTCATACCGCATTCGGACCCATTGTCTTGCCTGCGCCGTTACAACTAGCAGAATCTAGGACGCTATAAGTCTTAAGAACTTCTTTAATTTTATTAATAAAAATAATAAGCTTAATTAATCTAACTTTAATATAGTAGACGCTATTATAAAGTACAGCTAGCTACTAGCTATAGTTAAAAAGAAATTAAAAGATAAAAGGGCTCCTATACAGATACCTACCCCTACTAAGGTAAAGCAGGCTCTTAAGTTACTACTCTTATATTAAGAACATATAGATAGGACAACTTTTTAGTAAATAAAGACTCTACAGCAGCTATATACTAAAGTAAAGGCTTAAAAATCTAAGTAAGCTGTCTAGGGCACCCTAGATAGTTAGCTTATGTAACTATTTTGCTATAACAATATTTTAATATAATAATATAATCCTAGCTCCCTGTTTGTATCGCGCCATCAAGAGTTGACTGTATTCCACTTCCCCACCCGAAGAATCCCCTGCAACCTGTAGGGCGTCTGATCGGAAGAGACGGTGTGCATCCGGAGCAGGGGCCTCGCGTGGCTGCACGGTCATGCGCAGCTGAAAGGGGCTAAACGAGGAGACGGAAGGATCGGCACGCCGAAAGGAAGCGGCGGCCGGGAAACGAAATAAATGCTATCTGTTAAATTACATCCGAGTGAAACACCAACACACAATTGCATGGGCTTAATGCATCCGAAAGGGGTGACGCTCGGGAAAGTGAATGATCACTTTGTTCGGCTGCAGGGTAGTGGGTCTACATCCTCTGCATTTCGGTAACTGTAGGGCGCGAAGCACATATTGTAGGTACGCTTCAAAAACGGTTATGCCTGGCTGGAAAGGCTATAGGGTTCCGCCGAGGTGCTTCCGCAAGGTCCGAGATAGGGCTTGGAGGTATGGCTATTGGATCTTGGATAGTCCGTCCCCGCCTCACTTTTCGCTCAATACTTACTATGACTTCTAGTGCCTCAGGGAGCTGGACATAAACGCTTATAATAATGATTAGGCATTAGAGAAATAGACAGAGGCAATAATATGTGCTGTAGGTGGAACATTCCACCTGACATTAATTGCCAGAAAAGCCTCTCGCAGGCTTTGCGTAACCGCAGAGGAGGCTGAGGTTCATTGGCTAGAGCCTGAGGTTTCTCGACTGAGCAGCATGGAGATTCTATAAATGTGGTATGCAAAAAAGAGGCCCCATGGTGATATATCCTCAGGATTGCGACCTAAGAAGCATTGTTGTTCAATGAGGTTTGCACTTACCCTTAGTGATTTGTTGAATGATAACTCTTGCATGCGGAGAACGCTCCGTGTCAATGCCAGAATATAGCCAGGGCGCATACTGAGCCACAATTACGCTATATTTAAGTACTTAGAGAGGTTCGAGAACAGGAAGAAGCACATACCTGTAAACAAACGCTGTTTGATCGTAATTTGGGAACTTCGCGTTTAGAGAAGCGACAGTCATTGACTGATGAGTTTGGTCTAATTGTATCTAGGTGTTGTCGTGAGTCGCCGAGTCACTGGAGACATGACCCAGCAACCTCATGGCTTGACACAATCAGGCAAACTTACTCACGTGACTAGTCATCAGCGAGGATAACGTAAAGGAATCCTCTGATCTGGCAACCTAAAGTATTCATATGCACACAGAAAACCACTGAGAGCATTGACCTACGCCTTGGTCCCATGCTGTGTCGTCTGCCGGCAAAAGATCATCTAAGCTAGGATCCGCTATTGTGAAGGGTTTCCTGGGATAGCCGATACTCACGAAGCCATACAATCATTAATACTCAATTAACGTGTTGGTGGTGGAAAGGGCTGGGAATAAACCAGCCTAAAATTACAATTGCCACCAAACTTTTCTCCTCTCCTCCACCTTCGACTTAAAGGTGGAGGTGCTTTGTTGCATAGTACAGCGGGTTCCGGGGATCCCGCGGACATGTGGGAAGCAGCGTTGTTATGAGTTTGAGAGAAAGTAAAAGAAGGACAATGTTAGGTAGAGATTGGAAAGACGGCCGCAGGTATAGTTCATAGAAGCATTTCTTAGAGACGAAGGGTACCTGCAAGTGTATGTGTTCCAAGGGCTTGAATGTGGCGACATGAATTTCGTTCTTGTCTCCAAGGAGATGCAGGGTGGGTGCTGGAACGTGGGTAGCGGCTTGAGAGATTCCAACCTGCTCATGCTATAAGATGCCTGGATCTAAGAAAAATATGGTCGGAAAGTTAATGGATTTGGTATTCGCTTGATCGTCATCGACGGCGAAACCATTCGAGAGCTCTTTAGATATAAATTTACTACTCCCGATCAACCTTCTTTCACCTGATCACTAAACAATCCATAGGAGCTTACTCGTTTTGCCTTCCTACAGATCGTGATTCTACTCGTGTATTAATTACTTGCCAACATCAGTCCATTCACTGCGGCTCATGCCAATCCTCAAGGTGCCAGAGATACCCGATCAAGCGCCCTCCAAATCATTCGCGTCTCGAAGGCAAATTTGTCGGAAAAGCGATAGTCATCACCGGGGCAACTTCCGGAATTGGTGTTGAGACTGCACGAGCATTGTCTACTACAGGCGCCACCTTGTTCTTGGCTGCCTGCGACTTGAAGAAGGCTGAGACCGCTCCCGTTGGAATTCTGGAACTAGGTCGTGGTTCGCTGGTAGAAACGGACAACGCCTCTTTCGCTAGCATCGAGCCGCCGCGACAACTACCCTCGCGAAATCAGACAATAGGGTCAATACACTCGCCAAAAACGCTGGTGGCATGGGAATTAAGAATCTCAAGCCCACCGAGGATGGCCACGAGATGCGATTCGCTACATACCACTCGAGACATTTCCTCCTATCCCAACTTCTTTAAACCTGCTTAGCTTGCCAGGTCGACGTTCACTCCAGAGTTGTCATCGTCGTGTCACCAGCCTATCACGCTCGGAACCTTTGCGAAAGTGACAAGTATCATTTCCAAAAGGGAGGATATCATTATAGGCTGGCATTTGCAAATTGTAAGCTTGCCAATGTCTACATGGCAAACGAATTGGATCGTCGCTACGGTCGTAAGTGGCTTAATGCAACAATTCTTCACACAGTCTCCATCAATACAGACCTGTCCAGGCACTTAGGCAGCGAATTTGTGGGGCAGAATATGAGCGGCAAGAAGATTCTCGAGATCTTAACAACTCCTGAGCATGGAGCTGCTATAACTGTTCTTGCCAAAGTTGGGAGAGAGTGGGGGAATAAAGGAGGAAAGCATCGGGAGAGCTGGGAAGAAGAAAAAGGTGGTGAAGATGATAATGAAGCTTTTGGGGTTGGATACACTCGTCAGATTTATGACCCAAAGAAAGAGGAATGACTGTGAAAGGCTCACTGAATATTGTGGGAATGAACGACGACATGTAATAGTGTGACGACTCTTGGGGGGAGTAGTTAGAATACAAACTTCTGAGTTCTGGTATTCGTTTCGGAGGCCGTGGACAGAATTGAAAGGGCCACGGCGGACACATCAAACCCAGTCGTTCCACTTCTCCCACCTGTGGGTCCCCTGCAACCTGCAGGGTACTTTTCTGTGAGATCGGAAGAGGCGGTGTGCATCCGGGGCAAGAGCTTCGCGTGGCTGCACGGTTCATGCGCAGCTGAAAGGGGCGAAACGAGGAGGAGGCGAAGGCATGACGCGATCGACGGTTAGGTAGTGACAACGAAATAAATGCTCTCCAGTAGACGGCGGTTAAGTGAGACATCAACTGACACGTACAAAAGCTTAATGCCTTCGAAGAGGATGTCACTCCGGAATATTATCACGAGAATTGCCGCATTCGTCCATGGGGCCAAGGAAATATCCGAGCGTCCTGCAATCCGTCGAAACAGGCCTGTAATTCTGAAAGGATCATAAATTTGAAGCAGCAAAGTCGAGATTGCACTGAGTGAAGGGAAAGAAGAGGAATGAAAATAGCAGCGAATGTTGGCCATCTGCGGCAAGTCCACAACCCTGTCTGCAGATTTACATTGCATGAAGGGTGTGACGATGATACGCCCGAGGGATTCTGTCGGACGTAACTACAAGGATGTGGTTCTCAGGCCCCAATTCATTCCATGCAATGTTGAGAATGCTCTTTGGGCTCAGTGGTACGAGAAATATCGCTTCTGGAGTTGCTGCGAAACTGTATTGGGATTTACCATCATGGTCCTGCTTTACCATCACCACCAGCGGATTATAGGGCAGATCCCGGAATGCGGATTTCTTACGGAAGAGAAGATGCTATGGCACTCTAGTAGGGGAGTCATATTATGCTGAAATATGCACGGAACATTTGTCCGAAGACCAATATTATGAATTGCATATTTGAGATGCTTGAGAGAGTATGGAATAGGCAAACAGTATAGGGATATCACTTGGAACAGCCATGCAATTTACTTGCTTGCAATGAATGCGTTTCTTTTGGGTAGACCGAAAATAACCGGCCTGGGGCCCAGGATCCAGGAGAAGTACTGAGCATTTCAAGGCTTCCGCGAAATGACCGATGTTTGATGTAGAACGCAGTTTCCGTTGCAACACTCCTTGGAGGTAATTAATTGGATATTGACCGTCCCGATTCCGGTAGTTCACTTTAGCGCCAACAGAGAGGAGGTATTCCAGGACATCCTCTTTCGGGATTTTGGAGACAAGGTTCCGAATTGTTTTGTTATCACGGCCACTGGGGTTTACATTTGCGCCTCAGGCGACCAGCAATTTTACTTGGCCCAGGATGAAGCCTTCTAGTTTTCCACCCTGAACCCTCAATGCGGATTACAAGAAAAGCGCTAGGAGTGTGTAGCCTGGCATTGTAGTTGTTTGGGTGCCAGGGTAGAACATAGTATGAGTTAGTGGAAGACGCTAGGACTCCCTCTTGCTACAGATACAAACTAGACATGAGATTCACTTTGAGGAGCGTACACAGCCATGGTCGATTGTGGAAAGTCGTTCGTCTATTAGGGCTCGGCAGTGGTTGCATAGAGAGGGCAAGCCTGAAACATCCCGCAAGGTAACCTATCAGATATGCCCTGACATCTCTAACTTGCGCAAGATGTTCGATTCACCATTGCCAGATCTTGTTTTGTTGAAACAAAAGGGTTATCTAGTCGACGCGGGAGCTTGAGCACAAGCACAGCTGTGTTAGGAAACTGCGTCTATGATGGCCTACAATGTCAAAGTCGAAATTCCTTCTCTCTAGAATGGTAACTATGCCTTCATAATTTGCACGTCATGCTGAGACCTTGAACCTACACGGGTCTAGAACGAATAGAAAGTTCTAGTCATCGTCATTTAATACATCTAGGTTGGCGGTGTTCCCGATGATGCATGAGAGCACGTATGTCAGGACGGTGGAACGGGCGGCAAAGAAAAGAGCGTTATTTCCAAAGCAATGAATTTTATCATAGGGACATGAGGTCCCGGTGTGGGCTTCAGCTAGTTGGAAGACAACCTGCTGCAATGTTGCATTCACGATTTTCTGATGAAGGAAATCCTTCTCAGAACAGGCTCGATATTTCAATAACAGGGTTTTGATTGCTTCGTAAATTTGCGCATATGATCATCTGAGAGATCTGAGATACATTGCTTGGTATCTAACACTGGTGGATAGTGTAATGGTAGAATTGACAGCAGGAGATCGTCCGTCGACAATTTGGATTCGTGGGGTGATGCCCTAGAACTAGCAACGGAGTAATGGTCTAGAAGACTGGTAATCTCTGACACGCATGATGAAGTTCGACCTCCTCTCCGAAGAACCACTTTGAGCAGCTGGCTACAATTCGAAGACGAGAAGGAGGAGCGAAATATACTACTAGACCCGCGCGCCGATTGGCGAGAGTCGACACATTGGGCTGACTTTGTATCCACTGGTGAGTGCTACCGAGATGGTGGCATGTATGGGTTTCCTACAATGGTCGGTCCATGGATCTCCTGGCTTGGTCATGCCCGACTTTGTCTCTGAGTGTTGATATGGGGGTCTGCTCACGCAGGGCAGCTCGACATGCTGTGCCATCCGATAACTGTTTGGTGGAAATTCGGTTTTTTAGATCATTCAATAAAACATCGGTCTCGTCGGTTCCCCTCCCAGAGCGATCTCCGGTGATGTCAATGAGATGTTTGTGGCGTACGGATATTCGTTTGTGCGGTCTTTTGATATATTTGAGAAAACGCACTCATCCTAAGAGTCTCGGAGTTGGTGTTGCGGTAGCGTAAGTAACCATTGGACAGCCACTCTCGAAGTTATCGTGAATTGTGCGTGCTGAGCAATTAGCATAAAACAGAGATTTCCACGCGGGCTTCACTTTGGTACCACTTAGAATGCCGATCAACTGTCGGATCTCCATTGGTGGGAGTCCACAAAGACGGAACATGAGTAGAATCTGATTACAGGGCTCCAGAACCTCGTTTAGCCTGCCATTCTCCCTCCGAGTGGATGTTAACAACAAATCTGTTCGTCCTTGGACTCCACTGACTGAGGCGATCGCTCCCGACATGCCACAAGTTGTTGAAGGATAGTACCCTGTAATAGAAACAAATGGAAAGGTTGTGGTGGGTTGCTTGGCATGTTTATTGATATTGAGGTGCCTAGCTATCAGTAATTCGAAAATGAGGTCATGGAACTAGCAAAGAAGAGTGTAAAATCTAAGATGGATTCTGCATTATTGATCTTTAAAGCTGTCGAGGTAGCGTCCTTGATGCTTAGCTGGACAACCACTGACGATCATGGGAGAGGTCAGAGGGACACAGCAATTTCCTCCTAATTGCCCTAGCTATTAGCTTTGTTTAGCTTGGGCGATTCGAGATGCTCCTGGGAAGGCTGAGACAGCCACCCTGATGAGCGACCTGCAGGTAGTCTGTGCACCGGTGAAGGACCCCAGGGGCTTATGCGAAACAGTTCTGAACCCTGGACAAAAGTTTATTGAGGAGTCGATACGAAGTAAATCTGAACCATAGATGCACGCTCACGGAGCCGATGCGAAATAATTGACGTGTCTCTTTTCATCAAATGTGCGCACCTGGACAGGCCTGCGGGTGGTGCGAAACAATTCGACGCACCTCGATCTAGGGCACTTACCCCAGAGGGAAACAGCTTTACCAGAACAGGGAATGTGGCCATAGTGAAACAGCGAGACTGGCCTGAACAAAGCCAGTAACATCGATATCCAACCTCGTCCTTGCTTAGGGAATATCGCACGAGGTTGTTGACCGGAAAATCAGGCGAAACAAATCTAAAGCTCAGTCAGAAAAACAAACACCAGAAGGAAGAAGCGCAATAATACCTAAGCATGAATCGCAACGAGGGAAAGGGATTTCAACACTGTGTAGAGTCATGGGGGCTTGGGGCCTGAGGCGCAGACAATGCTGGAGAGAAAGATATAAATCCAACCCAAAAACAAACTTGCGAATCACTTCCAGTATCTCGACATCTTTAACCATTCCTCAAGACTCAGCTCCATCGCCGTGCTGATGGTCAGTAATTTTTCACCACCAACAAGCCGCTCCTGCTCAACCATGCCGGCCGATTCCAATCACAGCGGAAGTATGAACATCTTCCAACTCCTACACACCTACAGGGCGATGCTGACGAGATTCATGAATTAGACTCGTTCGCTATGGCCGTCACTTCCCTCATCTCGAACGTCTTGCAAGCTGTCTTCCAGCTCATTACTATTGCAATAGTGTTCTATCGTCGTCGACGGGACTGATCAAGGACTGGGGTAAGAAGCGAGTGAAGCGAGAAGGGATGAGTGGTAAGTTTTGCATCGTGTACAAACCTGAAATGGCGGCTAATGTTGGAGGATGTAGGTGCGAGGGCTCGAACTAGACTTGGTTAGGTTGTGCTGTGGCAAAATAGGAAGCACTTGCCTAGGTATATCACTCTTTCGTGGATCTGGAAAGAGCGGGTGTTGGTATGGCACGTAGGTGAGGACTTAGGGATCTCACTCTACCTAGGTAAAAAACAAACACACTTAATTGCTAGATCCACTTGACCTGGTGAATTACTTTCTGATAGTATGATATGGGTATCAACCTCGACATGATCTTACAACCAGACGCCTTGTCCTCTAAAAGTTGCGTAAATCGTGAATATCCCCCTAAAGAAATTCGTGATATGTCCAAAGAAGTTTGGCCAAAGTCGTGGATCTATTTATGTAGCGGTTTCCTTCCATATACAACAGTGCTGCACGAGTTAGTGATGGTTGCATGATTGGAGGGAGGGAGGATTATACCCAGGGAGATAGGCGTGAGTCTTGTACTCCTTGAGCGACCTGCGCATTTCGGCGAGGAAGACTTGGGCGCGGGCAACGGACCACTGCAAATGTTAGTATGCAATTGAAAGGACAATTATCATTTTTGGTCCTACTCACCCCTCCGACCTGGGTCAACAGCCTGATCATAAACCCCTCAATACCTTCATGCAACCGCAGCTGATTCCACCGCCCGATATTCTTCATTTTCCTGTCTTCAGGCCAACCATTCATGGGCCACTTGTACGTCACCTCAACGACATCTACAAATCCAGCCTTCTCCATCCTCTCCTTGCTCTCGCTCCAAATAGTAAAGCTCTTTCCAAAAATATCCCCCATCTCCACTACCGTCTTCCCCCAGAGATGAAAAAAGTGATCCGGCCCCATGCTCCCGTCATCGCAAATCGGCTGCACCGAGTGTTCGACGATTTCTATCCAGCCACCGGGTTTGCAGTGCTCGTACGCCTGCTCGAAGAAGAAGTCCCAGTCCGGTATACACCCGAAGAGTTCGCGGATGTGGATGAAATCGAAGTGGTCCGAGGGAAACGTCCACTCGAGCGTCACATCGTCGATTTCGAAGTGGCAGTTTGGAGGTACCCACTCCGGCTGGATGGGAGAGAGGTCGGTGCCGATGACTGTTGCGCCGGGGTACTGGTCTGCCATGTCGATTGCCCATATCCCTGTGCCGCAGCCGACATCGAGGATCGTCTGCAGCCCCACCGTCAACATTCACCCACTCGACAATGAATATTCGATGCTGTGGTGGCCAGGGGACATACCTGCGGGTGTTTGATTGGCGCAACATGCAGTTTATGGTCTAGTGTCAGCAGATACATGTGATGGGCAAAGTCCAGGATCTCTTTCGCCAGCTCGTCGTTGGGACCCTGCAGCACGTCTGTCAGACTCTCCCGCAACCTAAAAGGTATCGCTCGACATCAGGCGAACAAACACACCCAGTAAGCGCCATCTCTGTACGCGTGGTACTGTCGCCCGTTCTCTATGCGGTAGTTCATTATGGACGATGCCAGCGTGTCCGTCTCGTCTCCGAGCAGACTGCCGCTGTCAAAGCCCGAATCAGAGACGTAGTCGTAGGGATCGTCTTGCTCGTGCTGCGCATTGTCGTGCACATCGCCCTGGGGTGCCTGGGGCTCTACTGGATCTGCAGGTGCGGGAGCGGGAAGGGGGCCCGTCTGCTGCAGAGAAGATTCGGCCTGCGGTGCTGCATCGTCGTTGATCAGGACTGCGCTGTCCTGGCTGATGGAATGCAGGCTGAAGGAGTCGGAGGGCTTGTTCGGCGTCGGGGCAGCCATGCTGAAGCTGTGTGTCTGGATGTGTCCTCCAGCAATCTTCACGGGGGGACAAAGAAGTGTAGAGAAGAGAAGAGTGGAAAGGCTGTTAGCATGGCAGTGGGATCAACATCTGCGCAAGGATATTGGCGAGCTGGCTCGGTCTGGTCTTTGTCCGGTGGCCGTCCCAGGAGGGGAGCACCCGGTACAACGCCGAGGCGCTGGGAGATGCCCAGGTTCGGATCAGGGTAAACCCCAGCGTCGACCACCAGCAACAACCAAGCACAGCCTGGTCCTCATCGGCTGGCGGCTGGCGTCCTGGGCGAGCCCACCCCCCACGTGCAGACGGCGATGGCGCAACCAAGAAGGGCGAACAGAAGCGATTGCTGCCGCTGTTTCCACCAAGCAAGGAAACGAGCCCTGAATCCTGAAGCGAACGGCTGGTCAAAACCCCCCATCGCTTCCTGGTTACTCGTCAAGCTCGTGCTCGAACCACCCTCTACCCTGAGAAAGTGTGTCGCACGACTTGCCCTCTCACAGTTGTTGCAAAAAGGAACGTTTAAACGTCAACCGCGCTTTTCCAGACGCCTGCAAATGGCAGAGATCCTAGGTCCCAACGGCGTCGTGCAAGCGGATTCTCCGCTCCCCATTCTTATCGTCGGATCCGGTATGGAGGGTCCTAATCTAAATCCTTCCTCCTGTTGTTAGCACATACGCCTCTAACATGATTCGCAGGAAGCACAGGACTTGCCCTGGCACAGGGTCTTCGGAAGGTATGTAAGACGTTTTCAGCCCCGTTGGTGCTACGTGGTCCAGCATATGTCATTGTGTCATGGCTTGTTCCAGCAACATCCTAATCCAGCCGACGTCCTGTTCGTCAATTACACGTCGTCTTTTTGCCTCGCATTTGTCGCCCCAATTTGCGGTTTGCAGCGTCTGCTAAGCGGTGAAAAGGCAGGGATAAAATGTGTCGTCTTCGAGAAGCAGCCGGAGCAGGCGAGGGAAAGAGACTGGAATATGGGGTTACATTGGGGCGCCCTTGTGCTCAAGACCTTGATGCCGGATGAGTGGTGGTCACGCATCCAGTCTCTCCAGGTGGATCCTCATGTCCCTACCAAAGACGAGGATACGTTGGCCTTCATTCACGGCACGACTGGCGAGAGAATGAACGCATTCACGTTTGGTCCTTTTTACCGTCTGCGGAGAAGTAAATTGCGAGAGCTCCTGTCACAAGACCTGGAGGTCCAGTGCAGCAAACACCTCTCCGACATCACGTACGCAGAAGACGGCAACTCCGTCACAGCACACTTCGCGGATGGAACATCTGCCACCGGAAAAATGCTCGTCGGTGCAGATGGCGCACGCTCGAGCACCCGTCGGTGTCTTTTAGGCTCTGAAGCTGGCGCCATCCATCGCATCCCCTATGCAGCCACATTCGTGCAAATGCGCTTTACCAAGGAGCAAGCCCTCTACCTCCGCTCCTTCCACCCGCTCTACCTTGCAACCGCCCACCCTGGAAACTACTTCGCTTTCTTCGGCATGCACGACGCCGTCGACCCTAATGACCCTTCTTCTTGGGTCTTTTTTTTTTACATCTCTTGGCACTCATCTCTTGAAGAGCAAGACGCCACTGCTAATTGGACTGATGCTCAGCGTCTTGCCCAACAGAAAGATTTCGCAAAAACCTTCTGCGATCCGTGGAAATCCGCATACGAATGGACGCCTGACGACGCTCCTGTCTGGCATCTCGGGCTCACGGACTGGGATCCGGGATTCGAGGGCCATCGATGGGATAATCATGCGGGATTGGTAACCATGGTGGGGGATGCGGTGCATCCAATGACTTATCAACGGGGACAGGGCTTGAACCACAGTATTACTGATGCGGGAAAGCTTCGAGATACAATTGTTAGGATCAATGAAGGGGGAGATAGGAAACAGTTGGTGACCGAGTTTGAAGAAGAGATGATTGCACGAGGAGGGGACGAGGTTAGGACTGGGACAGCGAATACAATACTACTACATAATTGGGAGAAGGTGATGCAGAGTCCTTTTTTTCAGAAGGGATTGAAGAAGAATCATTAGCGTGATCCTTTGCGGAGGGAGTATATACTGGAGTCGACTGTTAGGGGCTAATACACGTGACAATGATACCCCGAAACCGTCAGCCGTTAGATTGTAACTAGATACGTAGCAAGCAATTCCATACTATATATACATCATCAGGTGTACTTTATTACGCATGGTAATCGAGTGCTCAGCTCACATGTATGTCTTCCAATGCCACTCCTTAATTCCTCCTACAGCTTCGCATGATCCTCAAAATCATCATTCACAAGCACATACCTATACCTCGCCTTCCCAGCCTCCATGTCCACAACCGCCTGATTCACATCCCCCATCCTCCTCTGCTGGACCCAGGGCTTAACCTTCTTGTCCGCTGCAAACCTCAACATCTCTTCGATCTCCCTCGGACTCCCAATCTGACTCCCTCCGATCTTGCACCCCTTTCCTATCAACGCCCCAGCCGAGAAGGCAGGAAGCTTATCCTCCGGAGCACCGACTTGGATAAATTGTCCGTTAGTGCGTAGTAAGCGGAGATAGCCTGATAGCGGCATGTCTGGGGAAGATACGGTGGAAACTATGAGGTCGAGACTACGCTGATGTATTTTCGCCCAGTTCTTGTCTTCAGAGGTTGCGATGTAGGTATCTGCGCCCATGGAGATGCTATCTTTTTCCTTGCTGCGGGAACGAGATATCGCGACGACTTTATCACAACCCAACGCTTTCGCGAAGAGGACTCCGAAATGGCCCAATCCGCCCACCCCCACAATACCAACTCGCTTCCCAGGCCCAGCTCCATTTTTCTTCAGCGGTGCGTACACGGTTATCCCGCCGCACAACATAGGCGCTGCATCTGCCGAGGGGATTGATCCAGGAATCTTGACTGCGAAATGGGAAGGAACTCGCACGTAATCCGCATAGCCACCGAAACTCCAATTCCCGTCTGGATACCGGCCATTGTATGTCCCAACGAAGCCCTTGGCACAATGGTTCTCCATCCCCGAGCTGCACTCCTCGCAATCATCCTTCAGACAAGATCCCGCTTGTGCTCCGACGCCGATGCGTTCACCAATAGATATACGAGTCACAGATGAACCGATCCTGACGACGTGACCGACGATTTCGTGACCTACGCAGACGGGGTAGTGCGTAGGGCCCCAACCGGAGCGGAGCGTGTGAATGTCAGTGCCGCAGATGCCGCAGTGAGAGACTTTGATGTCGATGTCGGTTGGAGCGAAGGGTTTTGGGGTAAAGGACTCCCATTTTAGTTTGCCCTGCGCCGAATCGGGAGCGTGACCTAGCCAGCCGTGGAAGGCTTCAGGGGATGTCATTGTAGCAGTTGGGATATGGCGAGAGTGGTGATAGGCCGGTTCAAACGCGGACTGAGGACTGGATAAAGAATGAAAGATGGAATTAGAATAGAAGAAATCGAGCAAGAATCTAAACCGACTCAGGAGAGGGCGTTATGGCTGGAAGCTTGAGTCGTGTAGCGACAATTGGTGGAGCATGTTATCCGAGGCACGTTGTCGGCCACAGTTGATGCCCCGCTCATGGGTGCCCAGGAACTGCATGTTAACTCCAATATGCCAAGATTAATCGGTGATGCTCGTGATGTTGGGAGATGTATCTGCGTACTATCCCGCGGATCCGACAAATATCTTAAGCTTTCAGGACTTCTGTCTTGTTGGCCTTGGGATGGATTCGTGAAAGAGAGCGGGTCTGATCTAGGATTCCAGTTGAGATCAGATTAGCGAGCAGACTCGAAACGGTTAGTACGTTCGTGCCAAGTCTAATTTTGGACCAAAACTGTATCTTCTTCGTGGTCCTTATGATTCCAGCAAGTGCTGGAGTAACTAGTTCCCTTTTAACTATCTCATATATCGAGCCTAAAGACATATAGTCAAGCAAACCTAGCATTGCCATACCACCAATGTTCATCCCCTCTAGCATCCCAGCAATAGCCCGCTTCTCTCTTTTCAGCACCAAAATCGGTTCCGGAGAATCTGTAAGTATTCAAGCATCCGCAGGGGCTGTAAATCTAACAGTGCTCCATCTGACTTGAGCTTTGATAACTCTCTAAATAATTGCGGAATAACCGGAGTATCCATCTCAGGTCGAAGGATAATTCTTTGCTTGTTTGATAGCATTTGGGATATCAACCAACAGCTCCCATCATTGCTCCAAAACATAGCATATCAGAGCAATCGAAATAGATGCTTGAGAGCCTCGGCTAGGTTGAATTTAGCTGAAAAGCAACATCTGCGGGGTGATGCTTGGCTGTCGACTTTGGAAGGCGGGTCTTCGCCAATGGCAGAAATTATTCGCAAACTAACGTGCTAAACAGTCTAGCTTATTAATTAGTAACGGTTTCTTGGGAGAGTTCTCGGCGTGTTGGGTACTTGGACAGAAAATAGATAGGGTGTCCTCGACACGTGTGGTTTGTTTTGCTGAAGCCACGCGCGCTAGCCCAGATTGGTTAGATTGCGGATAGCTTGCCATTCCAGGCATTGTCCGTCTAATGGATGTCCACTTGCGCGATCTAAATCAAGAGATGTGCCAAAACAAATATCATGGGCGCGGCTCTTAGTACGCAGAACGAATCGTTGGAGGAACTTTTGGACATTTACAAATCCCCAGGTAGCCGTTGATTGTTATCTCAACTGTACACGTGCTAAAGGGCCAGCAGAAGACGTCAGGGTGCGACTACTCGAGACTCTCTACTTTGGAAGTGTTCCTAGCTCAATTGTGAACCGCTTCTACGCGCAGCACATCACAAAAGCGGGATCTCCACGTATATGGACGGAATCTACTTTCACGGACTTTCTTATCAAGGCGTTCTCTACCCAAGAGCACATTATTCGGCCAGCTTCACCGGTGTTGTTCCGGAGTCTTCTTCATCATGGATGCTATCCCTTCAAGCCGAACAAGGATGATATCGGCCTCACCCTGGAAAGGTTGGGTACTGGCGTTGCATTTATGGCAGCCGCAGACAAGTTCAGCATCGTCGTAAACGAGCAACAACCGCGAAGTACCTATCAACATTCCCGCAATTGGGAAGAAAGATGCCGACTACTCTTCCAGAGTCTATGCGATACTGACTGGGCGCGTACTTCTTCCGAGGCCAGCAGAACGAGTGGTGACGATTATGACCTCATCGCAGTGCTTTATTCAAGCATGCCCCAGCCAGGGGAGAGCTACCCATTTCCATCCGTTGCTGCTACACTACCCAGCTCGTACTCGTTAGAGCTAAACGGCAGAGTTCTTCTCCACGATATTGCGGCTTTGATTAGGCTACTTCTTGTGGTGGCGGCAGGTCATACTGAAAGCTCACGTGCCGATATCCAGAGTGGACTCGATGGTGCTATCTCCTCGCTTCTGGGCCCTTTTCAAACGGAGAGCATTGGATGGGGCTTGTTCAAGACTACCTTAGAGACCCACATGGTAAGCATTCTTTTCTGGTGTTCCTTAAGTTTCGTCTAATCGCTTGCAACTAGCCGTATTTGCTTACACATCTGGCCGCTTTTGTTCTCTCCCAATTCCCGATCGAAGGTTTTGTTACTTCTGATCTGAAATCAGAGCTCGATATAGAACTGTGGCCATTACCACCTGCCGTAAGGCCCTTCATGAAAATATAACGCATGATGTTAAGACTAATGATACTAGATCTTAGGTGAACAAGGTAGTCAATCACGCTCGTTCCTTAGTTTAGCACAGTTCTGCCAATTGGGTCTCTTTCTACGACGAAAATGGTTCCTTAGCACACTGTCCATTCTTCACCAAGGCAAACCTCAAGCTCTACAACCTTCTACCATCCACATTCTGATCTCTGGCACATCGCCACGACTCTTTCTCATCCGTGGTACAATCGAGGGAAGCTCTCCTGTCATTTTAGGTGCTTATCTTCCGTCCCTCTCAGCCTGGGAACCAAAGGAACTCAACGGCTGGTTCAAGCAAGAGGATCCATTTTGGCTCCCAAACACGGATAATGACTGCTTTTTCCAGCTCTCGCCGACTCACGCAGTATATCGAGGTGTGTATGATAAAGCTAGAGTGGATGTTGGAGCCCGCGGTACGCTTTCATTCCACATCGGAGGTGCTTCACTGTGGTTCGAGCAGGGACTGAGACGGGGAAGTCTTTGCGGTGGATGGGAAACTATTAATTTCGTACCTGAAATGATGGAGATTTGGGGTTTAATTTCCACCTGAGAGGCCTTCAATTTACGAAAATACCAAAGCTGGAAGTAGCCCTACTTCAACTTGGATCCCTCTTTAAATCTGCTACCTATTCGGGCCAGTTTTGCGAGAAGACGCGCGAGCCAATGGAATTAATGTCTCTATTGCTTTTCCATTAGAGTGTTAAGGAACGGGATTGATAATGGAAGTATCTTACCGGAAAATCGATCTAGTTTCAACATCGAATTGCTCAAACTGTTCCTTAAGATACGAATCCATGATTTTCCGGAAATGGGAAGTGTTATCCCGCGTAAAGATCGATATCGTAATCTTTTGTAGTCTAAGGCAAGCGTTATGAAGTTTATGTCCAAGGGGATTAAAATTCGAAGTAATGGATGGTAAAACCCTATCTAGAGTCCCTGCATCTCGAAGGTAGAGTTCGCGAATATTTCGCGGCAGGCTGAATCTTAGGAAGTTATTATCTAGGGAAAAGGAGTTATGAGAGGCTCCAACAGACAAACATTCGATATCGAGTTCCAGTTTTTAGAGTTTTGAGCAGGGCTTCCAACGGGCCGTACTACGGTCCGTACAAAGTGAACCGTAACGGTCACGTGTTCAGTACGAACGTACCGAGTTCGTGAGCCGTACCGTACGTTTAATGATGCCCTAGGTACGGTACGTAGTACGGATTGTATTACCTTTTTTGGAAGTTTGTATAGGGGTTCTAGAGGGGTATAATGGCTCTGGCGAGCAGGAGGCCTGCGGACGCTTAAATCTCTTTCTAAGGGTTTTAATCTATCTATCTGTCCGTCGTCTTAAAAATGCCTATTACAGACTATTTTCTATTGCAGAGTTATCTATCTACGCCTCTTGCAGCCTTACAGGCCTTATCTAGTCCTATCTGCTCTTGTTACTAGGGAGAACTAATTAATTAGACCTTAATCTTGCGTCTCTAGAGACCTATAGTCTTAGCTGTTTTAACTAGAGTACAGCGTACTTTAATTAAATTGTACTACTTGTACAGATCACGTGAGCCGTAACAGTTACGATACGTACACCTACCTCTCCTCCTCCCTGTCGTACGAACGTACACAAAATCTCACCCGTACAGGCCTCAAAATCGCCCAATCGTACAGTACTACGCCTCGTTGGAAGCCCTGGTTTTGAGTTCCTGAGGATATTGAGGGCGTCTAGGTACGGGTGCTCAAGTTGACTCGAGAACGAACCTTCTGATTCATTGACATCGTTGGCACCTCGGTCCATCATTTCCAACTCGTTGAGTGAGGATTTGAAGGCTTTCTCAAAGGTTTTAACGACGTAGCGGAACATACCCGCACCGTAAAGCTCCTCAGACTCATGCATCTTGAGGGCCTTTAACGAGGCGAAGATGTTTGCAAAGGCTTGGAAGTTCGGATCTTCTTCATTTGGTGCCGAAGTGCTTATGGACAGAGACTTTATAGATGTGTTTGTAATTCTCCATGCAGATCTTCTTTTTTCCTCCTCACCATCGTCGATATAAGTCACTGAAGGGGTAGTGAGGCTGAGATTCCATAATGCTAGGGTTTCCACTAATGGGAGTTGTAGAATAGGAGTAATCTGCTTGAGGTCGTAGCTGTATATATCCAGATCGATATTTCTCAGACCCAAGAAACTCTGAAATACATGTGGCCTGGCTTGGTCACTTTGACGCAGTTTCTTGATCACATTGACTAAAACGTGTGGCGCGTATTTCTGCGAAGCTGCGAAAGATTGCAGGTTTGGTAACATGACCATGATATCATGAAGTGCTTCTATCTTATATGGATACATCTCAGAACCGCCTATGTACTGATCGTGTGGGGATTTGGTACTAAATCCTATGACATATTGAGCAAGTGCTGAGCGTCTTTCTAGAGTCTGTTTCAGCCGCAAACAGGATCCGGTTTGGAAGTTCACTTGAACTTTTTGGTACGAATACGGTTTGGCAATCCGATGAAGCTTGCAGGAGACCAAAGATAGACTGAAAAGGGACTTCGCATCTTGTTCCCTTTCCCCATCCTCCGATGCAGAGAACTCCGAGATGATGAAATCAAGCGCCTCTTCGGGAAAAGAGTTCATTGCCGTGGAAGCTTATCAAGAAATGAAGCAGATTATGGCAAAATCAGTGTTTGTGGGAAAGCGAAACACATAAGAGAAACACATAAGAATTAGGCAACATTCTTCGATTTTTCCCCCCCCCGGCTGAGTCATCGGTTGGGCAGCGCACCGGAGCCATACTTTCAGCATCGGTATTCCAAGGTTAGTGCCTACTACAAAACATTAACAAAATTACTTTCATCCTAAGTTACTGGGATTGAAAAGAGTGTTTAAGGCATGCATTTTCCTATAACCCCCATGTTCTGTTTGCAAAATTTCATGCATTAGAGCATAAAGTGAGGCCTGCAAAGCCTGAAGAATTGGTAGATTGTCTATCACTTCATCTGAAATGCTTTCGGAGTATGACTGCTTTAGATTTGAGTGAATTGGATGACGATATGAGTTGGTGAGGTTCCTGGGAGGGAGGGGTGGTGAGGAACCGGAACGCCATGGAAATACTTCGAAAGAGAGAGTGACCAGACAACCAAGTGCTTAAACAGCATGACTGACATGAGAAAGTAACCCGAACTAACGCGAGGGCCCGTGTCTGCCTTTCAAGCTCCCTTGGTTTGCTAGTGAGGCATCGTAAAGCTATTCATTTTAAAGCTTAGCCTGATCGGCCTGGTCTGGGGAGCGTGCCGCCCTCACGTTAATGTGAACATCGGCCATGATCTTTCTTTGAGGGTCTTTACTGAGTCCTTCTTTCTTCTTAACTAAGGCCTTCGACAATGATAAAGATCTCTTGCCAGCCGCAATGGGGTTGAGTTCGGCGTCCTCACACGTCACAGTGAAATTGATCGCAATATGCATCCCACTGATTCGCCGCCTGTGCGAGATACTGTGGCCTTGTGAGCGCTATGCCAAAGTCCTTGCATATTACGTGCTCCGCCCAACCTTCAACCAGCTGAGACATCGACGGCCCCAAGGCTCACCAATCATCTCCCGCCAAGCTCAGCCTTGTGCGTCAGATGGTTCCACTTTCAGCCTCATTACCCATCAGCTGAAAAGGGGAGTGGCAGAACTCCCACGCCAAGTTTAGGGAAGCATGAGAGTCGTCCGAAGTTCTTCGTTGACCTCTGTCAACGAACCCATCAAGCTCCCTCCTTGGGCCGCCCGCTTGCGATCTTGCTGGCACAAAGGTTGAGTTCCTTGGTTTCAATGGATCCCTTATCAGTATTTGGCGGCGTTGCAGCCGCAGCTGGGATCATCGTCACCATCACGAAGACCGTGAAGAACCTTTCTGACCTGCAGAGCAAGTATGCGGAGGCAGAAACATCAATTAGGCAGTTGATCAGGCAGTTGACAGCGATAAAAGCATCCCTCATCCAGATTCAGGACTGGACAGAGCTGAATCTGTCTGGCTCTCCGAGGGAAAGGGAATTGGTCGAGGCCTTCAATATCTCCCTAGAAGGATGTCAAGAAGCCATGCAGTCAATGGCCAATGAAGTTGCGACGTTGGTCCAGGACGCGCTCGCAGGAGACAGACGCACGATGAGAGCACGCTACGTCTGGAACGAAGAGAGCATGAAGGACCACCAGGCTCGCCTTGATCGTCAAGTGCAAGCTCTTCAACTGCTGCTTTCAGCCGTCCAATGGTATGCACCCAGCCTGACCAATGCAGCGTTTCTTGCGGCTCAGCTAACAACACCTAGTCGCACTGCATCTGAGCAGACGACCCTGCTCCGTGAGCCGAAGAATCGTCAGATTGTTCAGAAGATCCACGATGACACCTCCTCCCTCCGCGCACTTTCTATTCGAAACTCGACTGCGCGATCGTCTTCCGTTCTCAGTCATGGGGATTCCACTATCGGAAGTACGGAGTTCGAGATGGATAACGATATTGTCAACAGTAGCGCATATCGTCGGGCCATGGCCCATCAACGCGCAAGGAGCGCTGATGAAAGGAACAGGCATCCACAGGGACCCACTAACCCTGTTCACAGTCCGATTAATCTCGATAGGCAGGACAGACTTCCGACTCCCGGTTCGGGATTCGCCAAAGGGTCAGAATCATCGGACTATTTATCCCCAACTGATGCCCAAGTTAATCGCAGATTGGAAAGACCCAGGCCGTACGAACGCTCCATTGCGTCTGACCCTGCTGGTAGTTTCCGACAACGTCTCAGACCGCATGTTCCCATTACATCCACGTCGGACTCTTTCCTACAGGGGCTCAACTTTCCAGTCAGGCCGAAAGTGGTCCAAAAAAAGCGGTCTTTCTTGCCATCGATATTTACCGGAAGCTCAGCCAATCTCGTTCCACCAAGCCCACAAGACTCACTGAAAGTGTCTCCAAATCATCGTCGTGGGAGGCGGCATTCCGACACCGACATACACAAGAGCATTGACCTAAGTTCCACTGATGGTCGAAGTGCCCCCCTTATTGTGCAGGCTGCCCAATCTGGTTCTGGGACTGAGATCGAAGAGTTACTCGACCAAGGTGTAGATATTGAAGGCAGACATGATCGCACAAAAAGAACGGCTCTTGCTGTTGCGAGTCATTGCGGGAATGATGATGTGGTTGCAATACTCCTACAGCATGGAGCTGACCCATGTTGTAGGGATATGATGGGCATGACGCCACTCCACCTTGCTGCAACGAGAGGTCATTATAGAGTTGTCGACTACCTACTTAAAGAGGAAGTAGACGTGGATGCATTGGGTCCGGACAAGAAGACCCCGCTTCGACTTGCAGCTGATAATGGCCACGTAGAAGTTGCTGACTTGCTGCTCAGCCATCGGGCAAAGGTTAATGCTCGGGATGCACAAAACTTGACTGCTCTTCATTCCGCTGCTAAGAATGGGGATGAGGATATCGCTAGCCTTCTACTCCGCCACAAAGCAGATATCGAAGCCAAAGATGGGAACTTCATGGCAGCTATTCATCACGCATCAGAAGGCGGGCGTGAGCGGATTGTTGACATGCTTCTAGCGAAGAAAGCGGATATTGAGGCTTTGGGAAAAGAGTCAATGTCTCCTCTCACATCGGCCTGTGCATCTGGGTCTACTAGTGTCGTTCAACTTCTACTTCAGCGAAAGGCGTCTTGGAAGCACAAAGGCGATGGTGGCATGACCGCACTACATTGGGCGAGCTACAATGGTCACTCAGATGTCGTTGACTTGTTGTTCGAGAAAAGAATCCCAGTTGACCCTCGGACCAGCGATGGGAGGACACCGCTGCATCTAGCCGCAATGGCAGATAGTTTTGCAACAGCAGAGGTACTACTACGTAAAGGAGCTTCCGTTGACGCTGAATGCCAGAACGCGCTGCGACCTCTGCACTACGCAGCGATGAACTCCCAAAATACCGACTTGGTGCAGCTTCTCGTAGGACACGGTGCATTCATTGAAGCCGAGACACGAGTTGGAAAGAGACCTTTACATTATGCAACTTATTATGGGAATTCTGCGATAATCGACTTACTGCTGCGCCGTGGAGCAGTTATCGATGCTCGTGACAGAGCCGGGGATCGGTCGCTTTGTATTGCCAGCGCCAAAGGAAATATCGACGCTGTTAGATTGTTACTCGATCGAGGAGCAGAAATGCGCTCGCGCTATTCAAAAGGGCCTTCTCATGAAGATTCTCCCTTATGTATCGCTGCAAAAAATGGGTTTCTAAACATTGTGGAAGAATTCGTTCGACGCGGAGCATCGGTGCGACAAAGAGATGAATCAAATTGGCAACCGTTACGTTATGCTGCTTATTTCGGCCACCCTGAAGTCGTTCAGTACCTGCTGTCGAATGGTGCCTCTATTTCAGGCCTCGATACTCCCGGCAGTTTCGGTTTCAATCTCACAGCATCGCGAATCGGTTTCGCTCCGACATCCGATATCGATGAATTCCGGCGCCAATCGGTTTTGACGCTACTAAATGATGCAGAGGTGCGTGAGCAGGAATCGTTGAATAGGGCTATGTCACGACACCCGTCCGTTGGATCCCCAAGACAGGATTTCCCAGCGGAGAAAGCAGACGACGGAGACAGGGAACAGTATGGCACATATGCCCACCAAGCTACGCCTGAGCGACAGGAGTTGCCGGTATCGCAGAGATCACCTCGGGAGATAGCTCTACCCTACGACACTCGTACAACAGAGGCTGATACTCAAGTCGAACAACAAGCTGCGGCAATACCTTCAGAAATATCAACATCCTCGACATCCCCAAGGTCGAGATGGCGAGCAAACTCCTCACAAGCGAGTAGATTTACACTAGACCCAAATTCTTCCTTGAGCCCTCAGTGGCAGCCAGTAGCACCCCCTGTTCCACCAGTCCCACCACCTGGCGATCGCCTCGTTTCGCCTCTACCTCCTTATATGCGAACGGGTGATTCGAATTCCCCCAGAATTATATCCCCTCTCCCACCTCAAAACACCAGCAACATTGAAGGCATATCCTCGCCTTCTCGATCTCCACCAGGGCCGCAGTCACCAAGCCGCCCTCCGCCTCCTCCACCTTCCCTATCGGCAGTTGGCACAGACGAATCATTTCAGTCTTCGCCTCACTCGCCTCCACCAACTCGCGCACCACCACTGCCTCCAAATCTACCACCTATTCCGGATCCTAACGAAGCAATCGTTGTTTGTGACGGCTGCAATGCTCAGGGGCGGACTACTACAGATCTAGCTTGTGCTGCTTGCCGCCAAGCGCTTTTTATGTATCACCACATCATGTTCGGTGATATAAATGCTACCCCTGGCACTGGCGATGCTCCCACCGATCTCCAACCTCAGACAACGCCTCCAACGATATATGAACTTGCCTGAATTGAAGCTCAGCCAAAACCGGCCGAGACCAGGCTCTCATCTTAGGGGAATCTTCTAAGAGATGGTTCAAAACTCTCACAAAGGTAGCTAAATTTGCTCACTTGTACTTCGAGAATCCTCTAAGAAGGCCTCTGGCACCATCTTAAACAATTCACAATCTTCTCTATCCCTTCATCTTTGTGTGTACAATAACAAGGATATCATGTTGCCTTACGGATCGAATACCTTATTAAGGTCTAAGACATTCATGGGTAGTTAGTATTGCTATAGATCTTCACCTACTCACATTACAGAAACTCAGAAGAATCTCCTGCATATTGACCTCGCTGGGACCTCTATCATACTCATGCTCGAAGCGCTATATACGCCTTCTTTGGAGTATTTGTCTCCGAAAATGGTTTATTCCTACTTCGCGAAGAACTGGAAGATGGGAAACCTAGTTCGGCGTCTTGGATCAAGAAAATGTCCATGATCAAGCCTATCGCACTTATTCTTACACGAGTAGAATCTAGTGGTAGTGTACTCTATCTTCTCGGACGCTCACGTTCCTCCCTGGTGTCACTGACACTCTCCGAATTCTGCATCGATCACATGTTCTTCTAGGGAGTTGGAGAACAAATATCCGCATTCAGAGACTAGTTTGCAGACTGCTCATTTCGAGAATCAGTCCTCAATAGCGTGCGGTTTCCGGAAATATATCTCATCACGGCGAAAAACGAAGCCAGATTTTCATCTCCATACTGGGTGGAGGTGATATGCGGCAGCCATAAGGATTATATTCGAGTGAGCATCAATCTACAGGGGCAAGTCGCAGGTACTGAAGCTGGTCAGAGTGTACGCTTGGCCACCTCTCTTGGCCAATTAGCCCTCAGGTTCCAATCGAACGGTAAATAGCTCCAGCGCAATCCTTGTGCACCCAAGCTATTGGATACTTCTTCATTCCGACGGCCTTTACCGTCTAACATTAATCGCCCCTTCTCTAATGTTACATTGGGAACATGCGGGAAGCTTGCGCTAAGTCTGGAGTTGAATTCAGCTACAATTGTAAGTGACTATTTTTTGCTGCATATTGCACAGAAACCTAATTTAGGTACAACAGAAGAGATGCTAGTAGATGCATTTGAAAGCCTACCTGTAGCTTAACTTACCGATGCGCACTTATTCGGGATCTGCTCGAGATATCAACGAGATATTTTTGTGAAGCCGTCATATTATCCAAGTCTAAATCCCATCGTAATCCATGTTTCGAAGCTCAGTTTCAATGCCTGAGATAGCCATGAACAACTCGGCCTGGACGTACAGTCGCAAGCCCTGAATCGATTGGTAGCGATTAAATGTCTGTGCAACCTCAATGAACGGGCATGCAGAAGTAAAGACAAAGTTGTCTTTTGTGAGGTCGAGGTTGAACCGTGCGAACCACATAAATAGTTCACAATTTTATGATCCGCAATAGTTGACAAATCCATTCTCTGTTTCGCGGAACCAGGTGCAAGGGAATCGATGATTTCAGGCTTAGTCTTACTAGCGAGCCGAAGAAATATGCGAGAAGAAATAGATCGGCCAAAGTGCCCACAAGTAGAGACTACGACGTGGACCGACCATCGTAATATCTTCGACTGATATTCGCTATGCCTAAGGAACACGAGTCGACAATGTTTCCTTGGCCAAACTAGCCTCCACTTTTGATGAAACGCGACCGAAAACTGCTTGAGGTTCGTCCGATGCTGCAGTTTCTGATTCTGTCGGGACTGATCGGCTATTTTTGTACGGGCTCGGGCTTCCGGCTGATGTCTAAATCGGTTTCCTCTCCATCGGTGAATTTTGCCTCGGCTAGTGTGCGTTTTCGGTTACGAGCCCGACCCAGGTCAAATGAAAAGGTCAAGGCTTCAATTGTTTGTCTTGTCCAATGATTGAGCTTTCAAGGGCTATTGAAGGTTGGCAAGGTGAAGTGAGAATTGCGCGGTCAGCGTACGACGAAAAGCGCGTCAGTCTCACCTTATATCCCTTCCAAGAATCGTTTCTTTTCATGCAAAGTTCTTCAAATTTGTGAGCGTTCATATAAACTAACTTCGCTAGAGTTACTACGCGGCTCTTTCGGAGTTGGGCTTAGATCATCCATCTGTACGAGCCTGGTCTCATCATGATCGCCATGCTGGACCTCAAACGTCTTCGTATATGTTATCACGCCGGGTTGGCTTGCGGTTGAGGTACCGTGACCAACTGCTCGACTGTGACTTCCATATTTGGCGTAGTATTGGTTCGTAGCGTTCCTTGTTGAGCCAAGAGCTTTGGGAAACAGTCGGACAAGAATGACGCGGATCGCTGGCATGCAGGCGCATATTACTCCGACGTTGATTTCGACGGTACTCCAGTTGTTTATATCCCATTGATCCCAGGTAGGATTTGAGGAGTTGGCAAAGTGAACGAGGGACTGAAGACGGAGGATGCTAACGATTGTCACGCTGTAAGAGAAAGAGGTTAGCTGACACCCAGTAAATGTAAGCGAATCAGGTCAGTATAACTTACAATGTCCCGACGCAGAACATCATTGCTACCCCAACCTTCTTCTTCCAAGCCAATTTAAGGTGGATAAGCTGGGACATGGGAATGGCTAGCATCCAGATGTCGAGCACAATACTAATCGTGGCATTCGCCCACCCTAGCGCGTTGATGTTGATACAGTGGCCCGAATGTTCGGCATCCCATGAGTTCCAATAAAAACTAATGGGCCGACACTGGAAGATGGCGGTAAGGACAAATGCAACACCATAAAGTGTGTTAAAGATAATGGTTGCCCAGATGAGCCGCCTGACGGGCTTGCCGGGGAAGATGCGGAGGTAGAAAAAAAGCAGCGACAGCTTTAGAAGCGAAACCTGACTGAAGTACAAGACCTCCAGGATGTAGAACCATCGGACGAAATTGGTGATTGTGGGAAATGATAAGGTCCAGATATCTTTGCCTAATCCATTGGCTGCCATGCCACGGACATTTATGATGGTGCTGGGAACTCCGTCAATCAGGGTTATGCCGATAAAGCAATCGTCCAGTCCTAGTTCGCCCATGGTGAGTACAAGCTTGTAGAATAATCGCAGCAGAACGCAAACTGCAGATATGACGCCGAGAGTGATGGAAATAGTACGGTATATTCCGGTTTTATTGCGGATTGGGGCGCCACATGTTGTCATGGTTATGTTCTTCGTGGCTATTTAAGCATCAGTCCATCGAGGACAATATTCATTGCATCAACACTACTTACTCAATCCTTGCTTGACAGTGCAAGACTTAAGGACGCAAGTTTCTACACTGCTCTGCAACTGCTGGTTGGTGCAAATGCACGTCTGGTTTGTGAGTCCGCATGGTGATGCTGTGATTGCAGTTGAAAGACATTCTAACTGAAGACCTTGTCAGCATATCCTGGCGTCCTTCCCGAGAATAGTTCCTACCGCGCATGGGGGGAGCTGGTCGATCGCCGAGAGTAAAGATCCTTGAGCAGCAGTGTTCGCAGACCAGGCCAGAAGAAGCAGCAACAGGCTGATCAGCGTCCTCATGTTTCTTTAGTGACCCAAACTTCCAGAAACCAAAATTTCGAAAGAAAGGAGGACGAGGGGGAGATAAAGTTTTAACTTTCCAGAGGCGCAGGTCACAGGCTGAATTGCTGGTCCACTATGGCCCCTAAAATGCGCCAGAGCAAGTCATCGTATTCGCTTTTATCAATTTGACATGTGGGCTTTAAGCGGGTGCAAACCTTAGCGTTGGCGTGCAGCATCAAGGAGGGAATTTGGGACGGGATCCATCCAAGGATCCAAGGTGGATCAGGAACTGTATGCCATTCTCGTCCAGTGGTGTAAAGCGATGGCCCGGCCCGAAACTACCACAAGGTGGAATCGGGTCCGGCCATGATTCTGCTGGTCGATGTTACGTACGAGCACCAATTATTTGGAGCCAATGGGGAAAGGGGCAGGTTGATGATGGTTTGAAAATCCATCAGCTTACCACAGAGCCGTCTCATCAATATGTGGGGCAAGAAAGAGTACAACCGCGGTCCCCAGTTCGGAGATGTAACCCGCTTCGTAAGGAGAGAGATGATGGAGAGAGAAGCGGGTGATGTCTCGCTTCACGATGCAAAGACGGAGAACGAGGTGGCGTAAAGCGTCCTCTAGGAGAGGACAACCCCGCGGCATTGAACTCGAACCATGAAGCCACGCGACACAATACGCAAACTACCTATGCGAAACAATGGTCGGTCCTTCGATATGGGGACAAGTGCCGTCGCGGTTCGAGAAGAACAGGGCCAGCATGTGAAACGAGGGCACCAGTGAGGGAGCTTGGCAACGCACGGGGCACTTCTTAACTCAACAGTTCTGCTTCATTTACCGAGGCTGGCTGTGATATGCCATGGATTTCCAATATGGCTCCGTGTTACAAGGGTACGTCTCCCTGTCGCATATGATTGCTCTTCCTTGTTCGATTCTCCGCCTTGGTGGATGCATAACGTGCTCGCCAAAATCTCCTCGATTCTAGATGGTTTCCAATTCCGGTCGCTTCCCAGGTTTATGATTCTCGCCTGCTTCTCTGCATGTCTTGTACCAGTATGGGTGTTTGAGGTTCATGACCGCCATTTCCTAAGACCATTCACCCAGGGTCTAGAGTGCCCTCTCCTTTCTCCAATCCGGAATTCGAATTGGATGAAAGAACAAAGGTCCAGTGCCTACAACCAGACAATGACCGTCTGTTGATATCCTTTTCAGTACGACAATACTGGCAATCTATCTTCTCGTGGCAGCTAGCACTTTTGCCGCCTAACCCTACGCGACACCTGGAGGCAAGAGGATTTTATTGTTGTCGACCCGGAGCTGCTTGTCGTCCTTCGGAGCCGAATAATTACCGCAGTAGTGGTGAGGCTCGTTACAGATGTTCTCATCAGCATGAGATACCACAACTTTAACTACCATGGGGATGTATCAGTGACCTCTCCCACAAGTGCAGTAAGTATTCCTGTTGCATTCATTCTGAGACTGACCTGCTGATTCTGTATTAGTCTCAGCTCATCCTCGTCTGTCACGCAGTAGTACCTTCTAAATCGAAGCTGCTATCTATTCACTCTCCAGCTTCGATTTTGCCTGCTGGACAAGCTTGCCAGTTACCCTGTCCACGTATCTTCGACTGCCGATGCAATCGCTACCCTCCCATTCTCTTGGAAGAGTGACGGCGGTTTCACTGTTTGAAACGATGGGGATGAGTGAACTTTATTCTTGGACCCTGCCCACGATCCCTTCGACCGTCGATCCGTTCCATTCAGAAGCCCAGGAGCTAGATTTGTCTCTGTCCACGTTTCACTGCGTGCGCTCGCATTCGTCTCATCGCCAAATATTTCTAACAGGTTCAATATCATTTCCTTGAGAGGATCTACGGGACCCGGCACCCTGGTATCCAGAGTCAGTATCCTAAGTCCATACAATCCTCATGCTGACCCTTTTCCTCTTGCAATGGATCAGCTGTAAGGGTCGGTGTGGTTGTCCTCGGATACTAACCTGTAGAACTTATTGAAGTGACGTACTAGCCACTAGTATATGACAGACCGTATGCACTACAGGCGAATTTATCTAAGGTAGTGGTCAATTTAGACTAGCACTAGCTTTGAGCTCGTTGCTAGTCCGGTCCTAGAGTCTGGGAACGTGATTGCATTTAGAGAGTGGTAAAAGTATTCACTGCTCAGAGTTCAGGCTTTGTTAAGCTTTGATCGGATCCCGTGGAGGAACTCAGGCGTGGGTCTACTGCAGCAGGTTGCACATATCCCCATTTTAAAGCCTACGGCGCTAATCTGCAGTTTCTAGCTGCTAGCCTAATTTCAGAAAGATTCTTCAAGCCTATCGCGAAGTTTCACACTCCAGTGGCTAACAATATAGACCGCGTTGTCGCAATCGCATTCAACTTAAATCCACGGGTTTTGCGATCAGCAGGTTCAGCCCTTAACTAACCGGCATGCAGTTTAAGGAGAACTTGTCACTATCCATCAATATCTTAAAGTGCCTCGGAATACCTTCCGAAGCCGGGTATGCAAACTTCGCGTCAGACTGGAGCTCCTATGATCAATGCCTGGGTCCTCTCGCATAGTGACCGCCTTGTATTCGAGGAATAACTGTTCGGCGGCGGCATAATCCCACGGATCGTTCAGGACAGGAAGAGTGTCGGGCTACAGAGGCAGGGTCTTGCGCAATCTCGCCGAACACAGTGTACTCCCTGTGTCAGTTACGCTAAACGTTTCGCCGATCGTCCCGACTCGGCCTTTTCTACATGAAACGATACTGTAGTGCACCCGCAGCACAACGCCCTGGAAATAGTCCATGCCGCTGGCTGAAATGGTTGCAGCACTCCCATTGAGCTTACGGTGGAGGTAATTTAGCAAGAACGATGAAAAACAGACGTGAAGGAAGGCAGAGACGATGCTGACAGGACTGAGGCTGCTCATAAGTGAGACTTTGTCAAAGTATATTCAAATATGGTATCGCGCGAGAGAGATTAATAATGCAGATCCGAAGGTATGTTCGGTCCGTTTAGCAACAAGGCCTTTCCATGGTCCAGCTTTTCCTCTCCTTATCTCTACAGATTAGCAATGACGCCTGGCCTGATCGCCTCTAACTTCTTTGATAACTCGTCCCAGACTCGTTCCTGCAATACATGTCCCTCTTCACTTGTCACAATCGGCGCCGCCTCATGAACTTTACAATCGCTCAGATATTCGCCATGAGTTTCGGAACCTTGACTCGCAGCATGGACAAGCGTTCGACTTCCCTTTTCCGTTGACCGCGCGAGAATAATTTTTATTAACATTAGACCCAGTCCCGCGTCTCTAGCAAGCTCACTTCAAAGCGTCAGCAATTTGTATTTCCATTCGGAATGTAAGTAATGATGAGACTTACGAATGGCACAAGCCAGGGTTCAAGCAGTTAATCGTTACTGGGTACTTGTCCGCTGGAGTCCGCTCAGCCATTGCTCGGATGCAATACACCTCCAACAGCTTCGAAACTTGGTACCGCTCGGCCATATCCGTCTTTGGGTCCGCACTTAGCCGCTCGAAGATTCCTCCTTCGGGGGCCTTCCTCTCCTCGAATTTAGCGAAGAAGTGGACCTCAGATGAGGTAATGGTGAGATTCGGTCTCGTGTTATACTTCTTGGCAGTTTCCTTCAATTTCGGCAGCAGCAAGAGTGCTAGCAGAAATGTTGAAACAACATTCACAGTAATCGTCGCTTCGTCCTTCTCGTTCATCCTCCACTCCCCTCCTGCTATCCCAGCATTCAACAGCGCGATATCCAATCTCGGCAATTCTCGTTCGGCGCGGGTGGCGAAGTCTTGAACAGAGGCGTAGCTTGACATGTCTAGCTGCCATACTTTTATGACATTCTTGGAGCATCCTGTGGTGCGTTCGATGTCCGCTTTCGCGGCGTTTCCCTTTTCGGTGGAGCGTACTGCAAGGATCACGGAGGAAGCGCCAAGCCGAGCGAAGTGCAGTGCTGCTTCCTTTCCGAGCCCAACATTCGAGCCTGTCACTATAATGGTTTTGTTGTCAAAGCGGTCCTTGGGATATGGGAGACTGACGAAGTACTGAGAGCGGAGGAAGCTGAAGATGCTAAGGCCAGGCATGGTTTGGTTATGGTATCTTAAAGATTTGTGAGACAAGTGGCCTTGGGAGCAAAAAATCTTTGGGTTAACGGTTCTTGAAGGAGGGTACTTTTATCGAACTTAAGGAGCTTTTTAAGTCAGTCATGTTCGCCACCTCGGTGCTATCACCGCCCATGCCGGACCAAGGTCCCAGATGCAAGGTGTACAGATCTAGGGTCTCCGAAGCAATAGGATGCAAGGAGACCGGCGTTAGTGGAGTTAGAGTGTGCATTTCAAAAGACGGGCGTAGGCTGTTCTACGGAGACGATAGGTCGAGCTGTCGTTTCACAACCTCTCAAACTAGGGACTGCCAAGAAGAGCAGTTCCCCAAAGAGCTATAGCGTTGTTTGGACAAGGCTACACAACGTTCATTGGGCGGGTGGGTGGATATTGGGGGTTTAACTCCGAAGTCCGAACAAACAACTTGAGGTAGCTAGATCTTCAGAAACACAGCACTAAAGGGTGGAGACGAGCTGGTGTCGCACTCATGCCGTTCCATAATTCTTAAAGCTACACCTTACGCATAAGTTATTGCCGTCCATACTCCAAGACCCCGTCGCAGAAGGATTCAGGATCCTACCTCTTCCAGCCATAGGCTGTTATTACTAATCTGGCTGTGGAGAGCTTCTTCACTAGTATACACACAAGTATCCTGAGTTATAGCCCTGGCCTAACAGGCGAACTAATTTATTATCTGCACTAAGTTATTATCCGCACTAAGAAAAGATGGCAACTGAGACAAAGCCATCAGAATCTGTAGTGTTCGGCGTACGCTCTCGGGGTAGAGAATGCTTTACGTTGAGCGATTGATCAATACTGCTTGTACTACATATACCGTTAGTCTCTGGTCTGGTATTAGATTCCTCAACACTTCTAGCAAGAGCAAAAGTCTAATAGGGAAAGGAGACAGCGCCTACAGTTCCCATTGACTGGCCTTGAACTCTCTTAGACTACCCAAACAATAAAGTGGTTTCGCTTTTGAATACATAACTGCAGGTAGAGGCAAGAGTGAGACAGGGTTACATGCCGATTGGTGTCTGACTTGGGACGTCAATACTATTCTCCAAACCGCCTTCCGTATTTTCGCAACAGTCTTAACATATCAAAACATACTTGTTAAGGTCCTAATATTGCTATTAATATGTTGTGGAGATACTAGTAAGGAATGGTGTGTGGTTCAAGCTTCGTTTTAACAACCCTTTCCGAGGCCCTCTTATAACTACGCAAGGACCACTGAATTACATAGGCGCTGGCTGTAGCAACATAACTTCAATATTTCATGTTAAAAACTAGTTAAATCTCCGCAAACTGAGAGTCGTGGGCTCTCATGTATTCCGGAAGGTACGATCATCCTGTGCAGATGCTCTACAGCCGTTGGTAGGATGAGGTCTCTTAGCCAATCATGCCATCATTGCGGTTTATCAACTTGAGGAATCGAACCGGAGAGGAATTGCGACGTTTGTGGCTACGCCTTCGTCACTTCCGCTTGCTGGCTGGAAAACCTACTGACATTGTGATGCGGTTGGTCATCCAAAGAGAAGGAGTATACGGTGAGAAAGAAATATTGCGTGGACAGCAAGGCACTTACCTGAGTACGCGGTGAGCTCTTTCCTTGGTGGATACAAGAACGGGCTATCTTTCAATCATCTCACTCTTTGTCTTCTACGAACACTCACTGCTTGTCCCTTTCTTACAACACTCTCTGAATACTACTTCTTTACTAGGGATCAGCTGTTAGGGTGCGCTTGGTTATCTACCTTCTACTATACCTCGGCCTAGTTCACGACACATTGCGAGAAGGAAAGGTTCATCCACCACCTACATCCCCACCTAAAATGCGACTGTTACACCTCTTTTCCACCGCCATGCTCCTCGCCGGAGTTTTGGGTGTTGCTCTCCCAGATGCAAGGCTCAATTCTATCCAAGTACACCCAAAAGCAAGTCATTCCCTTCTGAAGATTCTAGTAATCTCTCAAGTTTTCTTAGTCTATACCCTAAGGTTGCTAATGATCCTACAGTTGACAGAACTAAGCCCGGCCGCTCTCTCACCCCCAAGCCCAGACAAGCCTTGCAAACCTAACTGCGAATGCGTGGAGGGCTCTCAGCCTCCTCAGGGCAGGCTGTACTGTGGCTATTGCGATGGTATCTGGCCGGGACCAGGAGAGACACTTCCCGGCAGTGATATGTTCCTATGCAAGAATGATTCCTGTTGCGACTATGGCCACGACGCGCGTTGCGAGGGGCCGATAAACCCGGACAAGTACTGTCCGGGAGGCTTGGCTAATAAAACTCCTTTGTTGCTGCCCGTTACACCCTCAATAACGGATAATCCAAAGCCGTCCCCGACGGTGACGGCTCGAGCAGCCCCGGTCCTGCCCCCTTCCCCAGAAATTGACCACGCGCCGACCAACCTCAAATTCGAAGATGAGCACTGTTCCTACCGCTGCCAAGCGAACCCTTCGGGAAGAGAACGTCTCTACTGTGGCTACTGTGAAGCGATTCTGCCAGATCCTGATCATCCGGGTTGGCCCGAGCCGTTCTAGGGAGAAGACATGTTTCTGTACCGTCATAACAGAGCATGCTGCGGTTATGGACGCCACAATACACGCTACAAAAGGTGGCCCCACATGGAATGGTGTCGGGGACATCCGCCTCCATGAGTATCGAGTGTTGTGTGAAGAAGATTCAGACCGGATGATCGACCATAGAGCAAAATGAAATTGAGGATGGTTGGCAGAGTATTGAGTTGGGAATGGGGATGTGGATATGGCATTAACGAGAGAGGGGCGATATATGGCATGGATTAATGGCATGATTAGGCCGAGTTGGTAACGGCTCGGTCAACTAAAGTTGATACTTGTAAGACTAAATGCAATCTTCATACATGAAGTCCAGCTCGCGAAGGCAATTGCAAAGCTAATAGAGGATCAAGCAGAACATTAGGCATTTACTGGTACGTCACAACCGGTCCTCGAACCCCATCCACCACAAGCCAACTACACACTCTCCCTAATCAACCCCACTCCTCCTCACAAACGCCCTTCTAGTACCCCTCCTCCTCTTCTTCACTCTATAGCTCGTCTCATTTGCCACCAGCGGCGCGAACTTCATCATCACCTGCTCTGTGTACGGAATACTAATTAACGGTAAAGACTGACACACTCACAGCCCCACCCTCAACCACATGCGTCTCACCAGGGAGACTGCAGTCCACGTTGTAACACACATCAACGCCCGCGGATTTCGGAGCAATATTCTGGTAGTGGAATGGCCCCGACGACTCATTAAACGCCGCAATATCCACATCCGCCTCACCCGTCAACCGGGTCGCAACAATCTCTGGAACCGTATCATTTGTAAGTGGCAGGATGTTGACATTGACGCTGTAGCCAAGAGGGAAAACCAGCTGGTTGTCTTCCGTAGCATGATGAATTGCTGCGTTATTTGAACGCGACTGTGGCTTCCCACGTCGCTGGGTTGGTCGTGTTCGTGACGTTGAAATACGGGACTGAAGGGTTAGACGCAGAGAGCACAATCGCAGGAATTCTTCTCCTAACAGCTGCTACGTTGCTCCCATAGTCCCACTAAGTGTGTATAAAAGCGGCCCCATGTTCGTTCCAAAGTTCGGCCCGGCTACAAGAATGCCTGGGGCTCCCCAGTCTTTGTAACATCTTGGGAGGACAGAGTCTGGGCCGACGAATGCGCAAACTGCAGGAGTCCCGTTGTAATACCAGATGCCCGGGTTGTGTGGATCTGTGCCGACAGAGGGAGCGCCTGCAGGAACAAGGTTGAATTCAGTTGGTACGGTCAGGATAGCATATTTGATGAAGCCGGAGCGACCACCTTGTCCCGGGTGGTCGGTTGCAGGGGCGACCATGATTACTGGGGGTGTTTAGATGTTGCACATATAGTACGAGAAACATGTGGGACAAAAATATGAGATTGTAGACCTTGAACTGATCATCGTGCCCAACCTCCTTGAGCATTCGATAGAACTCGCGGATATTCCCACTTCCGAAGTCGTCATAATTATTAGGATTTTTGCCACCGAAGCCACCGAAGAAAGTGCGAGCACCGCGCCGAAGGCGAAGATGAGTGCACCTTTCCTCTATCTAGCCTGTTGAACGAGAGCAGGATTAAAGACGTGTGAGTTTAAAAGAATACACAAATTGGGATCAATTGACGCGTTTGCAATTTAAAGTTGCACCATTCGGCGAGAGAAATCTACCAGATAAAAGGAAAGATATCAGAAGAAAGGAATTAGCACTCCAAGGCCTCGGCATCTCTTTAAATCTCACCGTCCTACTTAGTCCTCCTGCGTCATTCTAGCCTCGACTTTCCTTTTCGGGTCTACGATTAGCATGCTGTAGGAACTAGAACAAACAATGCCTGGTAGCCGGCAATTTTCGTAGGGAAGGGAACAAGGAGCTACAATATAACAGTCGAGAGGGTTCACGCGTAGCTGATAACGGAGATCCTTAGACAGGACAGCAAGGTGAGAGGGCGCCCGTGGACGTCAGGGACCTCGGCGATCGGAGCTCAGCGAAAGTTTGATACGGAACATGAGAATCTTGCAGTCACCGGGAATCCTTTTGAACTGGTACGAAGTAAATATGCGTGGTAAGCGTGCATGTAATTTTGACAAGTCCGCCCCCACCGAAGCTATTCAATCAGTGCCAATTTCCTTGGATGAGTGCATCCATCCGACCAACCACGGACAACTAATTTACACGTAGTAGGATCAAGTCCTACAGATTAAAAACCACATGACGCCATGCTAGACACCATTTTGTAGGAATCGCATCCATCCACTTCCACCAAGCAAATCCGGAATCGTAGCCCAGTCACATCTCCACTCCAGTAACCCATCTCTTCGAGCTATCCTAATCACAGCACCACGAGTAGGTAGGGAAGTGAGCCATATATGTGCATGACGTACTTACCATCCATTAACATCGAACAGCTCCTCTGAGAAGAACGTAACGACGACCGTGCGGTCGGAAAATTTGCGTCCAGCAAGCGCCTTCATAGCCTTCTGGCCCGATTCGACATTATCGTACTTGATATAGATCTTGCCGACACCAGGACCCATGCGAGAACCACCAGTCGGGCGTGGCATCTTAATATCGAGGATCTTGCCATACTTGGAGCACTCCTCTTCGACGTCCTCCTTGATTTCTATATGACTAATTAGCAGTGCCGGTCATGCTTCTTGGGAGGAACAATACTAGCCTTCGTAGGCGTCCCTGTCCATGACCTCGTCTTGCGTGATCATATTTAGCATACAAATGACGCGGCTAATGATAGTTTCGTCATTTTGAGTCTCGGATCGCGCTAGCAAGGTCATGCCATTCACGCCCGCCTCGAGTCCTGCGGCCTGAGTGAAGCCAATACTAGCGCGTTGGACCTTGAGATTGCCATCACCGAGGGCGAGCTGGTTCAGTGCTTCAATGATCTCAGTGGTGTTATCGCCCTGGACATACTCGCAGAATGCAATGCCCTGTAACTGTCAGTCTATGGTATTTCAAGGGGAGGAAATACGTACCCGGAATTCCCCTGAGGAAGTGTCCTGAACCGTGACAAAGGATTTCAGCGGACCCATAGTCGCAAGCAGCTCCTGTAAACTCTCTTCGTCTACAGTAGTGGGGATGTTGCTGACGCTGACTTTATTCGGACTATCCTTGACAATGTTTGACACCTGGCCTTCCACATAATCGTCGTCGGTGGATGCTGGAACAATGTAGTCCTTGGGGCGGCGGATGGAAAGCCCTTCTCGGTCTGGTTGTCCGTTCGATGCGTCGTCACCCTCCATGTGGGAACCATCTAACGCAAGTGCCATAGTGGCATCTTCAGGGGCCTTGAATTCAAGGAGGGCATAGCTCCGGTCATGAGCAAGCTGGGCGGAGATGCAGGGGTCAGTGGCAGAGACAACGTTGAGGCCATTCAAATTGAGGTTGAAGTACTCGGCGATTGAGTCCGAGGTGGCAGACGGCGGGATGTTGTGCACAAACAGACGCTTGGCTTGCCGGCCATGACCAGGCTTCAGAGAGTTGTTAGAAGCTGAGCCGGACGGCTGGTTCATGAATGCGGCGAGGCGGGAGGGGTCCATTGCTGCGGCACGCGGGGCCCCAGGGAGGGGGAACATGCCCGACAGCTTGGACTGTTCCGCCGTGATGTTGTCGTATCCGGCAGGCTTGATATCCCACTGGGTCATGCGGCGCTGACGACCGATGATGGAGGGCATATCCGTCAGGTCTGGGGTTTTCTCGCGCTTCTTGAATGGCGGAGTATTGTCCCGTCCGCCGCGATCTCGTCCGCCACCATGTCCTCCGTCCCTGTCACCCCGATCGCGGTCTCGGCGGCCACCCCTGCCACCGCGCTCGTCGTGTGTGTCTCTATCACGCCGACCAAGGCCACGGTCATCATCGCGTCGCGAGTCGCGTCTCGAGTACGAATCGCCTCCTCCCCATCCTCGATCATCGCGCCGCTCGCGCCTCGCATAGGTATCGTCGCGCTCGCGGGCGTGGAAGTCTCGGCTGGATGAATAGGTATCGACCTCATAGTCGTTGCGGCGGGAGCCTCGGTGGGGGGACCTCGAGCGGCGGCGGTTACGGTCCCGGTCTCGATCGCGGCGGTCGTCGCGCGAGGACTGATTTCGTTAGCATGAAGACAGTGAATAGCGGCGAGTGCAAGGGGAAAAGACTGACGTAGTTCCTTGAGCGAGCTGGGCGTTCGTCTGTCAGAAGTCTGTTAACACTGGGACACAATTAGCGGAAGTGTTCATGAGACGCATCCCTACCTCTGGAATAGCCGTCGCCGTTCATGGTGAACGTCTGTTTGATGTTGGTAGGACTGGACGGAGCTGTTGCGTCGAGGTGAGGAAAAGGTGGAGCTGGAGCTGTTGCGCAAAACGGAGCTGGTGAAGGCGGAAACTCGACCCTGCAATGCCGCGCTAGGCTGAGGGTTTCTCCGACGCCGCTGCCAAGGCGCCAGCCCATGTTTCTTGGTACCTGCAGCAGGGGCCGCATCGAGCAGGAAAAGCATGGCTAGTTGAGAAAACAGATTAGCAAAGCTACTCACCAGCTTGAACTAACTGTCCATACCATTAGACTTACTTACGATTAAGAGAACATGGCAGTTCGAGCAACTGAATGGCAAAAATTGCCTGTCACTTTAACCGAGCTGTGCATCAACACCACCCTCCGTTGCGGGCAATCATTCCGGTATGTCGGCTTCCCAATCCCTCTCGAGCCGCTGCTAATGTGTCTTACAGCTGGCGGAAGTCTGCCGATGACGAATGGTCCTGCGCGCTACATGGTCGCATTCTTTCCTTCCGCCAAGATGCCCTGTACCTGCACTACCGAGCCATCTATCCCCCGAGCACTCTCCACACACCACCCCACGACGACGACACCCCTACCCTCGTAAAGCACTATTTCAACCTTGAGCCCGATCTCTGCAAGCTGTATTCGCAATGGGCCGCCTCCGACGCCAATTTCAAGAAACGTGCGCCCAAGTTTGCAGGAGTGCGCATTCTGAGACAGGATCCCTGGGAGGCTCTGATTGGGTTTATATGCAGCAGCAACAACAATATCTCTCGGATCTCGCAGATGGTACATAACCTGTGCCTGCACTATGGCCCCCTGATTGGCCATATCGGAAACGAGGCATACCACGACTTTCCCACCCCAGAGGCCCTAGCTGGCCCTGGGGTTGAGCAGCACCTTCAGAAGTTGGGCTTTGGCTACCGAGCCAAGTACATCTACAAGACCGCAGTCATGGTGGCAGATAGTAGGGGCTTGGCTTGGTTGGACGAGTTGTGCAACCCAGAGAGTCCAGTCTTTGGCCAAGAGCCGAAGCCGGGGGGGCCCTTGATTGAGGGTGGAAGAGAAGGATATCGCAAGGCACATCAGGAGCTGCTGGCGCTGCATGGTGTTGGTCCCAAGGTTGCGGATTGTGTGTGCCTTATGGGACTGGGCTGGTCGGAATCCGTTCCCGTGGATACCCATGGTAGGTACCCTGCCGCTTCCAAATAAGAGGCCCCGCTTACCTCTGCATAGTCTGGCAAATCGCCCAGCGTGACTACAAGTTCGGCAAAGGCAAGCATAGCAGCCTGACTCCAGCGACATATACGGCCGTAGCGAACCATTTCCGCAAGCTTTGGGGTAAGGAGGCCGGCTGGGCTCATTCGGTCTTGTTCACTGCCGACCTGAAAGCTTTTTCTGAGCGCCTCGTTGCCAAGACGGAGATAAAGACTGAGGAAGTATCGGTAAAAGCAGAGCCCGATGGCTCAGGAGTCGTCGAGAGCACGACTAAGACAGCAACAGCCACCAAAAAGAGGGTAAAGCGAGATGTGGGAGATGATGAGCATCAGGTGGTCGAGGTCAAAGAGAAGATAGTCAAACGGAGCAAGCGACGTAAAGCCTAGTTGCCAATATATAGAGCTGGCTCGTCTAAATCGGGTATGAGCGTGAGCGAGGGTGCTCTTCCTACTTAGACACTAAGATATACCCCATTCACACGCTTACTCCCTCTGCTTATGGCTGAAGACGAGCTACTAAGGCGTCCTTTGGAGTTTTATATTCCTGAGTATGATTCCTAGAGAATCATATTGCATGCCTTGCGCTAGTTCGTGAGAAACGGAGCATCTATTAATAACACCTAATACTACATCCCAATTTGCGCACAGTTGCTTTCTCTTCCCGTTCAGGGAACTGAGCTGCTCTTGCTCTAGCCTTAGGTGGAGCTGGATTAGGGTAAGTGGGTACTGAGTTGAGGCTGGGCACCCTGAGCACAGGTATGAGTAGGGCCTGGTTTGAAGTTAGTTATTCTTGCCTTGTTGCATGACCACTGGCTTCACGAAAGCCTTCTGCCTCACACTAACCGCATATTATTAGGAATTCCAAGAAGCTGTACCGCCTGCTATTGTACGTAATCGCTCCACTCCACGTCGCTTCTCATCCACCCAGATAACGATTGACAAACTATAGAGCGCAAAAAAGCCATTATATTTGCTCTCATCTTTAACCTGATTCCTTCTACTTAAAATCTAATAGCACTAATTTTTTTCCCTTCTAATCCCTAAGACTCTTTCCAGCTACAGAGTAGAAGAGCTTCAACACTAGAGCGTAGTCAGATAACACTGTTAGTTAACGCTATCAAATTCCTTAGCTCTTACAGGCAACTTCATAGCAAGCCCCCCTTTCCTATATCTTACCAGTGCCTGATGCTGTCAATGCATTCCTTCATTGCTAGGTTTACTAGGATGGTGCGATATAAGCCGGAGTGCGGTATGTAAGTACACACTCACTTCCAGTCACGTCCGCTTGGGCTGCGCTATTTTGAACCTAATAAATTCTGCCACTACACACAATATCCGCCTCTCCATGCCATCGCCCCTATTTACCCAATGAACTCCCCCCCAAATCCTGTGAGCCCACAAAGCTCCTTGAGACTTTCTTTCTTCAGGTCCACCCTCTCTTCCGGCATACTCAACAAAGACCCAAACATCAACGGGTCATCCTTCTTTCCTTGCACTAACCCTGTGAATCTCCCTTCCAAAACTGCCTGTACCTTCACTCTAGCAGCAAACTTCCTGCCAGGTGTGTAACTCACAATAACCGGTGTCGAGAGGCGAGGAATCACACCGCTTTTGCTAAGAGTGTTTTCCGCAAGAGCAAATGAGAGTAGGTTTTGTGAAGCGCCCTTGGTGACGCCAGTGATGCTATGGAAACCTTCTTTTACAAAGGGTCTCTTTGCTTCAACCTCGGCGCTTAGTTCCGGGACAGGAATGCCAGGGACGAGGCCTGCGGACGAGATACCAAGAGTAGCTGTGATGGAGCCTTTGGCAGTGGGGGTGCTGGGGGCGTGGCGCATGTAGTTCATTGGCTGGAATTCGAGGACTTTTGGTCGGTGGGGGCGTGCAGCTTCGAATGCGTCGTCGTTATCATCGTCGTTAGGGTCGAGATATATGACACTCGCATCTTCGAAGAAGATGCTGATTTGGGCTGATTTGAAGCGCGATTTAGTATTTGCATTTTGAAAAGCATGGTCTAGGATTATCAGGCAAGCAGGGCGGTCCTGATACTACATAAATCGCGTCAGTTGTTAGTCTAATATAGATATTAAAAGCCCAACAGCATATAGTCTACTTATCTACTTACAACGCCAAATTTCGGTCGCTGGCAGCGTACTTGCAAGTAGAACCGACCAGCTAGAAGCTCCCTTTCCGTTACGAGGTCCCTGGGAGAATATTTGTGTGCTTCGGCCGTGTTTAGAAATACCGGAGGACTGAGTTGGTAGTCCAAAGTGTCATCATTCGATAGCTCTATATCAAAGGTCTGCTCCCATTGGAGAGCTTCATCCGCAGATTTGGCATGTGTTGGTGTTAGAGCATCCATGATGTTTCTTTCTGTAGTTATAGTATCGGTAACTCGTGGAAATAGTTTGTTTATGAACCGTGAGCTGTAGAAGGTTCGGAATGCTTCCCCCGAAACTCTGTTGTTGCCTATACTTGCTTTTTATTGGGCTGGGCTCGCCTAAGAGAAATCCACCCCCACATCAGGTAGACAACTGCCAAACTGGCAAAACTGTGAGGGGATTTTTGTGGTAGACGAGCTGGAAACATCCGCGAGTCAGAGCTCCAACATTTTAACAGCAAGAACCCCACAACTCTGAGTCTCTTCAAATCAATTTACTCACTCACATCAAGGTTAGTTCTTTGGAAAGCTTCGTCACTAATAATCAATCATGCTTTGGGGTACCCACACTTCCCTGTACCCAGAGCTCAATTCCATCGAAAAAGAAAACCTTGAGTATGCGCTATCCCTCGCCTTCTGCGGTTTTTACGACGAGGCCGAAAACACCTTCCAGGCAGAGCCACTCTCGAAAAGCCTACATCCGCTGGTCAAGCTTGAGCTAGCACTGATGTACGATGCGATGGGCTTGGAGAATGAATGCTCTAAAGTTCTTCATGGATGTCGAGTTCCTCTCGAGCGACATGTTCCTCAGGAAGGTGCCAATATCTGGGATCTCATAAAGCTCAAGTGTATTTCCTCAGATATCCTTCGTCTAGGGAAGGTGCCTGCATCGAACCAGAATGACGTGTTTCTGATTATGAGACGTCTAGCGTCTAAAAATCTATCCGAATATGGAGACATTGAGGTTGGTGTACACCCTAAAGTGGGAAGGTTACATAGCATGGTGCTGATAATTTGGGCCGTTAGGTTCACTGCACTATCGTTTGCTGGCAGATACTCAAGTTAGCTAGGAGCCAGAGCAGTATCTCAATGGCAGAAGAACCCCCAGCAATGTTTCCACTGCCCTCACATCTTCACGTTGCGTTGGAAGATTGTGGAAGGGTTGAGCTCTTTCACCCATACCTACCCTACGAGGCCACCTTAAGCGGAAATAAAGGATTGAAGAGAGTTGAGCCTTATAAAAAATACATTAGTGCGCTGTCATCCCAACAGAGTCCGGGAATCAGCCCGCTGAAGATGGCTGAAACACGATTGTTCTTTGCAGAGACCCTCGCATCTATTGACATGGACAACGCTAGAGAAGAGCTCAATATCGCTTCACAACTCCTCGCCGAATGTGGAATTCCATGTCCACGCTTAGAGCTGAAAAAGAAGGCCGTCAACCTCGAGTTGACAAAAGGACCAACCGATGTTTCGCTCACTCTTTCTAATGAGATCTGCAAAGGCTTCATTGAAATGAAACATCTCGCCGGGTATCGGAAGCAACTCCAAAAATCATATGCAATTGCAAAATCAACAAAAGAGAACAGCGAGAATGCTTCTTCACAGCAGGGACGAGCGGACGAAATTCGTCGTATCATTCTCGAAATGATTACTCTTGAAGACCAGCACACTAGATCAGCTTTCTTCCTTGCCTCGTCGCTCATTTCCTATGGCTCAGAAATCGCAGGCCCGGACGTCGGGGCCAATGGAGCAACCTTCCTAACAATCTTTGCCAAATTCCGCGATACTTTTCCAGAATTTTCGTTGCCTATGTCAGCGAATACACTCTATTCCTTCGCAGCAAAAGCAGCTCTGAATCTGGGGAACCTGACGCAGGCCGCCGAGTATTTGGAAAGAATGGAATATTGGCAGAAACAATGCCCTGGCGCGACCGGTAGTAAGAATTCATTGCCTGATGTCTCGGATGAAGAGGCCATGGTGCTCTGGGATATCGATACTGACAGGAACGACTCGAAAGGTTTCCTATCTTGTCTTCAAGAAAGATGTATCGCTTTGCTATGTCGCTGGATTGGTCGGGACATCGAAAAAGGTATCATACCAGAGCCCCATGCTCAAGCCTTGTTGAAATTAAATGGTCAAGACATGCCGGATGCAAAAACCGTACAAAGCATCGACACTCGCCAGCTCGTAGACAGAATCTTTGGAAATGTCGAACCCGCATCTGTAGCCCATTGGTCTGACTGGTTTAACAACCTCGAAAGATGGGTAAATCTGCAAGCCGGACACCCATCCACGATGCAGAGGCAGCTTCTTCTAACACAATTCCAACATACCCGAGTATTGACGCTGACTACATTCGAACCCTGGACGCTATTACATAGAACCAAATATCTCCAAGAGACAACGAGGTTGTTGAATATATACACTAAAGTAGACAAGCGAATATCGGAAGGTGGCAGCATTGAAAAAGCCCGTTGGCTATACGGGCACAGTACACTCTGCCTGGCATCTTTGAAAGACTTTACCGGAGAAAATGCTGTTTCGGATCAGGACTTGATTAACGCAGTGACTTGGATAAAGGCAGATGCTACGGCACTGGAAGCTGAAGGCAAGATTAAAGATGCGTACAACAGTAGAGTTCTCGCCGCTAGATTGAACTGGCAAAGATACGCACGCTTCAAGTCCATATCACCATGGGCCTGCCTGTCCGAATGGTCTCAAGCCGACAACCTATACCAAGCTTTGCGAGCTGATCATTACCTCTTGCCAGCTCATCGAGCCTTCGTAGCTAAAGAAAGTTTAGCTGGAGCTGTGAATTACAACGCAAATGTCAAAGATGCCATGATGGCTTCTTTAGCCTCTCTCATCGAATTTCTAGCTGCATCTATAGATAACCTGCAAATATTGGTCGAGGATTCGACGTACACATTCATATGTGTGGAATTGACATCTTGGATTCAGCGGTCTAAAGCCCGGGCACTGACGGATCTCCTTGGACAAACAACTAATATCCCGCGATCGGTTGGGCGACTGTTCCTAGAAGAGCCAAGTGCAGCGGCTTTGTGGGAGGATTGCCTTGCCACATTACGTAGAAGAGAAAATGCATCGATAAAAGAGTTGGTTGGGGTGCGAGACGAGTTTCAACGAATCACAAGACAGCTTCGTAGTGAGCATCCACGGATTCAGCCTTTCCTTGACATCCATAGCGGAGAAGCCATCTCTCCGAGTGAACTTGAGAAACTTGGCCATACTCTAGGGCCCTCTGCTGTCATGGTCGAATGGGTCCATGCTCCAACTTTCCCAAACGATATATTCTTAGTTGTGTACAGGGAAGGCATTATTTCGCGAGTGCGACCGTTGGAGGGCATAACCATGGCGGAGGTGGACGACTGGATCGAAAACTACTTACACGTAGAAGAGGACCCGGGAATGCCAAGTGCAGTGCTGAACGATGGACAAGCGAAAGAAAATCTTAACGAATTGAAACCTCTCGTAAAGCTTCTCGCCGAGCTTACGGAGAAGGGCGAGACGCTGGTTTTGTGTCCGACACAAGGACTTCATCGCCTCCCACTCCATGCTATATCCCTTGGAAAACCATCACAGCCCTTAATCCAGAGGAACCCAGTCGTGTATATACAGAGTCTATCGCTTTTACGACTCTGCCAGGAATCATTTCAACAGCCAATTTTAGATACTGAGTCTCCTTTCACTGCTACCTTGTTCAACACCTTAGGGCAATCCCATAAATCTGAAGAAGAATTATCAATGAAAGAATCTATAACTCAGATAAGCCAGATTCTTCACACCCACCCCATCGACCAGCCTGTTGGAGCAAAAAATGCTTTTAGGTCCCAAGCGCTGCAATCGAATATCTTGCACATTCACGGCCACGCTGATTTTAAGATTACAGGGAGGGATGTTCGACAAAGCCTTCTCCTGCGAGAACCGCCACTCTCCGAAGAGGATATACTGGGGTTTGAAGATATTTTCGACCTTGAGTTCCGAAAACCGTCCCTCATGCTCGCAATGTGCTGCAACACTGGCCGCGCAAAGGTGTCTGAGTCGGATGATCTGCTTGGCCTAACTGCCGCGTTCCATGTCGCTGGGGCTGGCGCCGTAATTTCGACGCTATGGAAGATTGATCGGAGGGACTGTTTACGGTTTTCAAAGGAGTTTTACAGAATTGTCATGGATGGATTACAAAAGGGTGAGGGCGAAGGCGGCGGGGAAAGCGGCTGCGTCAACTTAGCTCTAGCATTTCAACATGCTGTGTGTACACTCAGAAAGGAAGAAGAGTCTAAGCGGTCGACGCATCCATATCATTGGGCTGGGTTTGTATTACATGGCGCCTGGCTTTTTCCTCGGCTGCGGATAGTTTGAAAGTTAGTGTAGAGGGGAGACGGCAAAGATACTAAGCCGCCAGTCCTTGGCTTTCTCCTCCCACCTTACACTGCGATTAAATAAGTAGTTTCCACTAAGCTTAAGAGACCACCTTGAACCGTGTTCTGATGTAATCAATTACCTCCAGATATGGCACCAAATTCACGACCATAGCAACTACCATTACTACCCAAACCAACAGTAGAAATCCTCACATCATCCATCAATGGCGGGCTGACCCGGCCAATAAAACTGCAAGGGAGAGGCCAAAGCCATCCAGGTTGCTATCGCCGATATTTCTTTCGTATATCTCACAGTTTCTAACTAATCAGAGAGTGACGGCTCGGAGAACTCACCTAAAGGCGGGAATTTTGTACACGCAGAATCTACCATCAACTGGGAAGCCTGCACCGACGCGCCACCGAGCGAAGGCAATCAGGCTCAGTAGCACAGTATTGAGGAATAGCTGGCCAGTGGTATGTAGCTAAGCGTGGAGAACCGGGCCAGCAGGGATCAGAGGAGCTGGGCGTTAACCTTTACCTAGGATAGAGTGTCTATCACCAAGGAGTAATGCAGCAAAAGGACATCTCTAAACACATTTTAACTACGCAAAGCAGATCCAGAGTACCTTCAAGGCACCTTACACTCAAAGCTTAGCTTTGAGCGGCTTCTGCCCTTGTCCAGGCTTGAGGCTTTCGTAACGCCAGTTCGTGCCCTAAACCTTCAGGTCTTCACCGTCTTGCTTCACTCCCTTACCAGCAATGAGCTGTGCTACATTCTTGCCGGCGATTGCGGAAGTCTCCATGACATTGATGAAGCTCCAAATTTACGTAGAACACGTTGTGTGGCTTAGAAGGGGTATTCAATCTAATTAAGTAGCTTTCTATCACTTCTGATTGAAAAGGCTGGAGGAGCAACTAACAACGTACACCAAGCACCGTCCTTAGCTCGATTCAACCCAGGTTATGCCCCCGATGGAAGGCAGTTACCAGCATTTGCTGGCCTGGGATACTCCGCAGGACGCATTATCTCCACGAGGAGTCGGAGCCATTGTGTTTGCTCTTGTCGACGTCACTCGGAAATACGCGGGTCTTTGAATTGTGCAGATTTAAAAGGGATTCAGATATTTAAGTGGTATCCGAACGGAACTCTAACGCGTCGATTTATTACGGAGTCTGAACCACTAGTAAACACAGGATCCCCAAGTAGAGGGAATTCCTGAGTACATTAGGGGGTGGAGAGGGTGGAGGTTTGGGTGCTGGTGAAGCATATGTAACATGTCGAGTTTGATTCTCTAGCATTTATCTGAGGTTAGGGTAACTAATGCAGTCTTTCTTTTACATGATAATCGACGGTTTGCTTAGCACCAAGATCGATGCGTTCTCAAAGCTACGGATCGACTCAGCTCACCACTACGGGAACACCCGCATAGGCCGATCTCCAAACACTTGGTGATGTCTCACCAGAGAGGCTGTGACGTAATGGATATTTAATTACCAGGATTAATATGCGGGTGCAATAACAGTGCCGATGCGATGGCTACCGATTCGTTCCAAGTTGGTGGAGTGATCAAGCAGAAAACCCGTGACCATAAATTAATATATTATCCGCCTCATCTCTACCCTGTCCCCGGAATCTCTCCATGATAGAGTAAGATGGAAAGGTTGGTTAGGTATGTACGGTCAGTGCTGAATCAGAGCAAAATGATAATGGAGTGCCTCAGTTAAGGTATCTACTACCGCCGGCTTCATCAATAATGTCGCTTTTATCTTTGTGGAGTATGCCTAGCCACATACAGTGCTAGAACTCAAAAACTCAGCTGCAGGGTCAGCATGCGCTCGTCCAGGTTCGCCCTGGCTTCTGGTAATATAGGCTTCCCGCGAGACGTGTAAATATCTTAAGCTGCATACGAAGTACCCAGTTTACGGTGTGCGTTCTCGCCCTACCAGTAGGAAGCCATTCTTCCATCCTCTTTCGTATAGATGTTACTGTTCCTTTGCATATGCTAACAGCACAAGAACTTGTGAGCGTTCCTCTCGTGATGAAGTGCAGCCGGACATATAAGCCAGGTCATGAAGAGGCAGACGATCTCAAACTAGTCATTCACCTACTACTACAACAATCCACACCATCATGAAGTGCCTCTTCCTTGTTCTTCTCGGACTTTCGGTAAGCACGCAGAGCTTGATGAAGGACATGCGTTGACCCGTCATCTAGTCCGCCGCCTCCATTAAGCGGCAATGGAGCTGTCCAGCCCTTATTTCTGACTGCACCAAAACCTACCTCGTCGTAGGCGGTGACACTTGCGAAACGGTAGCCTCGAGGAACGGAATCACTACAGCGGATTTCTTCAGCATGAATCCATCCATCAACTCTGGCTGCGGCAACATGTACGCCGGCTGCGCATACTGCGTCTCAAAGATCCCCGGCCAAACGTGCCCAACAAACTACAACGCCAATTGCGACCAATTCTATACAGTCGCATCCGGCGACATCTGCTACACCATTATCGCTAAATACCCACCCCTCACACTCGACAACTTCTATGCGTACAACCCCAGCATCAAGAAGCCTGAATGCAACAACCTGATGCCGAACTGCAATTACTGTGTCCACATTCGCACGGCTGTCCCTGATCCGCATCAGCCAAACATCAAGACAGATTGCCAGTTGTACTACCAAGCCGTAGGTGGAGATTATTGCTACCTCGTTGCCCAGAGGTATAATGTGAATGTCAACGACTTCATGAGCTGGAATCCAGATGTGGGGCCACCGACTTGCCTGAACATGCTTGCTGGAGATTGGTATTGCGTGAAGCCTTGAGAAGTAGGAATATGGGGATGGCTTTGGGAAAAGGGTTGATTGGGTGGATGAGAATGCATAATTTGCGAATTTGGTGCCGTGGATTTGCTTTATTGGCTGGAACGGTCTTTCCTACTTGATATAAAATTTGGTTTATGCTACTATAATGATAACAGAAGAGGTTTAAGGCCCTCCCAATCTGCTCAGGTTCCAAGGAAACAAGTTAAGCGCACGTGCCATTCCCGAAGATACGGATCTGAGTTTTCGTCAGCATTGCATTTCGCCACTGAAGTTGGATCTGAACCCTTTGCCTTTGCCCATGCTTCAAAATCATGGACACCTGATGTCTTCCGACCTGGAAAATAACCTTATCCCTAGCTGCGGCAGAACGGCGGGACGAGACCGGGTGACTTCCGTGACTACCGGTGAGTCGAGTGGAGTGACGCCATTTGGCCTTGTGACTATACCGTATATGGTAATATCCTGGTCTTGAGAGAAGCATGGTTTCAAGAGGGAGATGGAGTGAAGGTTCTGTAGCTTTGATAGAGATCTGTAACCTATGAAGCATAAGGAGAAGAGGATAGATTCCAAACTTAAGTCCCTTCGGATTCTCCCCTATACACTTTTATCCTCCCTAGGAATGCTTCAAGTTTCGATTAAACCTTCAGGATTGAGAAATTTTTGTCATGCTACTCATGTTCGCGGACGTTCCCCCGCCACACCCAAAGTCAGCTGGTTTATCCACCGCCAATGCCCTAGAGTTTCAGCACAATGTAGGTCAGCTGGAAATGCTCTAGGACTTCATTACAGCGGCCATGAGGCGAGAGCGAGTCTCAAGACCGCCGCATATGAGATGAAATACGTTATTCGCTGTACTTCCCTGCGGTGAACGGCATGTTCTTCACCTCTTGTCCGTATCAAAGGGAAGGCTGAGGAGACACCGCCTTGCTCGCTATGTGGTGACTTACACCAGCAGGGCCATGGACGTAGCTTGATGTAGCATTCGACGATGGATGTGTGGTGGCGGGTTTCAATATAAGAAGGTAGGTAGGAATGAAACAGAAGAGCAAACCAAATCCAACATTCGAGTCTCTTCCCTACCTTTCGAGATCAGAACCTCCCATTGAGGATCGCATTTCTCACGCATAGCTTGTCTTGTCCTCTTAGTAGCCCAAATGAAGCTACTTGCGCTTGCTGCCCTCTTCGGGCTCGCCGTATGCTTGACGCTCTTATGCTATCGATGATAGTCGTGCTTACAGGTCTTAGTCTGCCAGTCCAGCCAAGCGAAGCTGCCCCCCAGTCTCCCCAGGATGCCGACAGACACTGCTCGTTAAGTCTGGCGACTATTGCCAGTTGCTCGCAGACGAGAATAACCTCACTCTTCAAGAGTTCTATGCCCTAAACCCATCTATCGATACGAACAATTGCCCCAATCTGATTCTGGGATGTAGCTACTGCGTCAAGGGACCTGGACCTGATCCCAACGGCTGCCCTCCTACTACAGATCCTACATGCACCAGTTGGTACACCGTTAATGCCGGGGAGTGGTGCCTCGGAGTTGCCAGCGGCCATGGCATCTCTCTGAGTGACTTCTACGCTTGGAACCCTTCCATCCACAATTGGAATTGCGATAATATGCTTGCGGGTTGTGCATATTGCGTAGCGAAGAATAACGTCGACGGATGCCCCACGATACACCCTACATGCCCCGGAGTGAATACGAAAGTCTTACCTGGCCAGATTTGTTGGGGTCTTGTAAATGGTGATCCAACCAGACTGACAAAGTTCTACCAGCTTAATCCCAGTGTGGATTCGTCGGATTGTCGCAACCTTCTTGCTGGCTGCACTTACTGCGTACCAAATTGAGCAGTGCATTGAAAATGCTAAGGTTGTTCGGGAGATGTGTAGAGGGATGTTGGTGTTCTAGGAATTTATATTCGTTCAAATTGTACAATAAATTGTTTAGTTCTAGGTCATCGTAGAGTCATGTATATCCAAATACTTAGAGTTCATGCTCACCTGTTCCTTGGTAGAATAAGAAAAAAAAACCCCCCAAGGCGACACAATGCCTACTTAGGAAATACTAAGAATGGGGACAAATATCAGGAACGGCCCCAACGTGCAACCAGGAGACGCGAAGGCTAAAGAGGACAACAACAGGCATTGTCAACCTCGATGAACATGCTTATCCCAAAGACCAGTCCCAGTCTTCTTAGGCCTCGGTCTTCTATCAGTGTCCTTGCCTAGAAACTTCAACGGCCCTAATTTCCATTGTGCAGCATCATCTAATGCGGTATCCATCAACCAAGTTGCGAGAAACGTGAATGCTAGGACGAGTATAGCGCTGACCCAATAGATCCAAAACTTCCCGGCTCCGGGCGCGAATGCTTCCGACATGCTGAATAGACTTGACGTATATGCTAGAGGAATAAAAAGTAATGCGAGAATGTTCAGGCGCTTAACTCGTTTGGCTTCTTCGAGATTCTGTCGGTTTCCGGCTATGCTTGCGAGACCGGTCATCGCTTGCATGAGAGTGTCGGCGCGTTGCTTGAGGATCTTCAGACGGAAGTATATGTACTGGAAATCTTTCTGGTCATCCCTCCAGTCAACACGCCGTGGCGATTGGAATTCGTTGACAGGATAGCCGAGACTCAGAAGTGTGTCCTCGATATCGTCCCGATAGTTACCACAGCGACGGCTAATCGTCTGCAGACTCTTCCATTGATCCTGCTCTTCGATCCAGGCTGTTGTTAGGCGAAGCTCGAGCGATGGAAGCATGGCTTTTATATAATCGACAAGTTGGAGGTAGTGTGCGGCAACTATTTTCTTGAGGAAGAAGGACGAGGTTACGGGTTTCTCCCAATCTTTCTCGGAAATCAAATCAGAATGGTTCTCGAGATAATGACAAAGGTCTTGCAACATTGAATGATGGGGATGATGAGGTTTAGAATGAGCCCGATCTCGATCTGGAGTAGGAAGGAAGTCATTGTATCCGTCCTGAAAGGCAGAATTTGTTATGGAATCGTATTTCACTCCGTCGTGATTTGAAAGGTCGTGGAGCTGAGGATCGCAGAGAATGACAACTAGAGTAGACAATTAGAATGTCGGAGGATGGCAAGGTTAGTGTACGTACCATCCCAGCCACCACCAGTGGTCTGTCTACACCACCAAGAAATCTTACGACGAAGGATACCTGCGGTGGTTTTCTCTGCGTGCCGTGCGGGCGTCATACCAACGTGACGCCCTGTTCTATGACAGAAGAACGGCGAGTTTGGCATCGTTTTGCTAAATTGACGGAGTTCGCAATACTGCAGGTGAAACATCTTTTCCGGGTCTAGGAGGGATGGTTGAGGCAAAGCGTCGCTCGTGGGGGTGAATCTGTTACTCCAAACGCAAGTACGCTCTTGCCTCTGGAAGAACAATGGCTCCATAAAGAAGTGCCCTCCAAGTATCGCCACGTAGTCTTGAGCAAGACCCTCCATTATGTATATTCTTCTCCGGTCGTGCGAATGATTTGTGGTGCCAAGGTGCCTCCGCAGACCTGATGGGTTCTTAAATTGTTCCTTCGCAAAGTTTGGCTGTCCAGCAGCCGATGCATCTAGAAGAATGACAGTCGCATTCCCGGGCTTTAGAGGGTGATCCTTGTTGTTAGGATCTGGGTGCTTAAGCCCTGGAATGGAACCAATTAGTGAAGCGATGTATTCCTGATATGGCCCTAAGGAGAGTATAAGCGTCGCCGAGAAAGGGCTTCATCGTAACAGTAACTACCTTTCTCGCACAACCAAGTGCCAATTTCCTCTTCATTGGTCGAGGATTTCTCCTTCTCCCCACCCACTTTTGGAGTCGAATTTGGGGCTTTCGCGCCATTCGCACCAAACATCTTGGCCCTTCAAGGGCTAACTCGGAAACAAACCACCGCGACCACCCCAACCCCCTGCAAGGCTGAACCTTGAAAGACGACGATCTTGCACTTCAAAAAGACGAATGAGCTCAATAACAGTTAAGGTCTCTCTGGATAGAAACTCGTGCCATGTGAGACTTAGAATATCGCGATTCAAGGAGTTCGGGAGGGAAGAGTCGGCAACCTGCAGAGTTGAGGGGAAAGCGGTTTTGAAGCGCCAATGCGGCTCTGTGAGAGGCTTAGCAATTGGGGGCCGGAGCGCCTGCAGAGCCCGCCACGTCATCCGTGCTCTTCAAATGGTTCGAGGAAAGTGCCTCGTCTTTTTTTGCAAACATCTTGCTTTTCCTTTGAAGTACGATTTTGTGAAGCCAGGGGACTAACATGAGGTCTCAAGGCGGTTCCGGTGAGAATCCCAACCTTTTCTGTCGAAGCTGAAGAGGGATACTCAATCTCGAATCTGCCTTGATGTGCTGTGGTCAAAGCGCACCCTTGAACTCAGACGGACAGCCCGGATGTGCCTCGGATGGAGACCTCGGGCAGAAAACGGGGGCTTCCTTCGTGGAACAAGTCGCATAAATCACGTGCGCTTATGCTCTAGAATCCGCTAACAGACGGAAAGTTACGCACAGGTCCTCTGAGGTATGCTGAGTCATACTTCCCACCAATCATAAAGTACTAACTACAGCTCTGTGGCTTTTCTCGTTTAGTCTTACCGGCCGGTCGGTCGAATCTCTATCAAAAGTCTTCTTCGACGTGTTGCGCAAGCTTCCTTGTTCCAACTGCCCAGACAAGTTCGACGCCATGTGAAGGGACGGAATTATCCTTACCCTCATAGTGCAGACCACTAATTGGTTTACTCGTTTATACTTGAACTACTTCGTTTACAGATTCGTAATCCCCTAGGAGCTATGCTATAATCCAGGACTCGTATAATGCTGGATGTTTACTCCAACTTCTATAAAGATGAGGTTGATGGAGGCTCATGTTCACTATTGCAAGCTTTGTATTTCTTCTCCACCGTTAAAATGGGTCGCTTAATTTTTCCCTCAACTTTTCTTACTCTTTTGTTGTCTGTTCCATTTGCTTCATGTTCTTGCCCATTATACGGCCCTGTATTTCCAATCCCGACAAATCTCGCCAACTCAAATGTCACCCAAGAAGCACTTCAAACCCTTACGGAAGCCATTTCTACTAGCTTCGATGCAGGGAACTCGTCCTACGGTCCCGTAGACTCCACCGCTGCCTACGCAATCCAAGTCTTCTCCCTCGATTCCGAGACGGCCTTGTGGGAATACTACCATGACGGGATCACGCTTTCAAACACCACGGGTGTTCAAAAGCTCGATGGAGATTCCATTTTCCGAATTGGAAGTATATCGAAGCTGATCACTGTCTATCTCATTCTCACCGAACTCGGCGACAGCATTTGGAGCGACCCGGTCACGAAACATATCCCGGAGCTGCGTAACCGAACTAAAAGTCTAGGAGACTCAGTGAACTACGTGAATTGGGATCAAATCACAATGGGGGCCCTCGCCGGGCACGTCGCAGGGTTGCCGAGAGATTTCATTGATCTGTTCGGCTTGTATGCAATCCAAGACCCCACGTTTGGCCTTCCCATACTATCACCCTCGGAATACCCAGCGTGTATTTTGACCGAGACGAATTATACATGCGATCGGGCGGCGTTTTTTGATGCTATCAATGATAGCTACCCTTCCTTTTTGCCGAATACGAAAGCAACCTATAGTGACACTGGAATCATGCTCCTCGGATACGCCATTTCCAGTATCACAGGCAAACCATTCGAGGATATTTTGAAGACAGCTCTGATAGATCCTCTTGGCTTGACCGGGACCTCATTCTCCAAACCCGAGGATACAAAGGGCGTGATACCCTTCAACATAACCGCCAGTGAATGGGCCCGAGACTTCGGGGCCGCTGCACCCATGGGCGGGCTTTACGCCTCCACAAACGACCTCTCCAAGATCGGACGGTCAATACTGAATTCCACACTCCTGGACCAAAACACCACGCGAGCATGGCTAAAACCAACGGCATTCACCTCCAGTCCTCTCGGCTTCGTGGGCCGGCCTTGGGAAATCTTCCGAGCTGTCGACCTTGGTCCTAGTAAACGACTCATCGACCTCTATACTAAGTCAGGAGAAATTGGATTGTACCATACGAATCTAATCGTGGTGCCAGACTACAACATCGGCTTTGTAACCGCAGTTGCGGGCACCGGAGCGCATCTCTTCCTCGACAATCTTATCGTTGACACGCTATTCCCAGCTGTCGAGGCCGTAGCTCGCGAGCAAGCAGCCGCAGCATATGTGGGGAAATTCACCGCCCCCAAGGACCTAAATTTAAACTCTAGTGTGACATTTATCACCGATGCTACACTCCCTGGCCTGGGTATATCAGAGTGGGTGAGCAACGGCACGGATTTCCTAGCTGTGCTTTCTAGTCTCGGTTTTGGCGACATCACACCTGATACTCTGCGCCTGTTGCCTACCAACCTGGAACGAGCGACGGGAAATGGTACCGAAGTGGCGTGGCGCATGAGCCTCTCTTTCGAGACGCAAAGTGCCAAAAAGGGCCCATTTTCAGCTTGTGATTCGTGGTTTAACGTGGATCTTTTGACGCTGGGGAAGTTTGCAATTGATGAATTTATATTCACATTGAGTGGTGATGGGGATGAGAAGGCGGTGAGTGTGGATTTGAGGGCTTTCAAGGTTGTGTTGGAGAGGGAGGGATGAGCAGCAATAATGAACCGTTTGGGAAGGAGTGTATCCAGAAGACTTATCTGCAGCTAACATATCCGAGGGTGTTAACTATATACACATACCATGTCATTTATACTATCGTGTACTCCACATTTTGATCAGACCACGAGTATCTTGAAATGAGAATATACTTATTATTTTTCCACATAAACTCCTACCAATGGCCTATCCATTTCTCCCTTACCCGTTACGCGCGATTCTTTATAATATCAGCCGCCTGCTCATCACGTCAGCTACACACTCACAAACACATATCACAACCTCAAAAAAAAAACCTTACCTTCTCCGCCACCGCATAAACAGTAGCACTCAAGTGCGCCGCAGGAATGAGCGGAAACAAACCAGCATCCACCACACTCAACCCCTTGACCCCATACACCTTCAAATCACTCCCAACGACACCACCCAACTCCCTCGGTAACATCGCCGTCGTCCCACAAGCGTGAAAGCTCGTTGGCGTGGACGTGGACCTCACCCACGCCTCCAACGCGGCTGTATCTGCGTTGGAAACATTTCTACCCGGGCCAGATTCTACCGGACCTAGGAACGCGAGCTTTGGGGTCGCTATGTACCGGCGGGTGAATTTGATGAATTCCACCGCCTGCTCAACATCGAGGGGGTTGCTGAAGGTGCGCCAATCGACCACTACCGGCCCAGTGGGGTCGCTGCTGTTGATGTGGATGGTGCCGCGAGAAAGGGGTTTCTGGAGAAGGATGGATTTAGGACAGATACCAGAAATTGGAGCTTCATAGACGGCCGAGAAGGGGGAGGAGAATAGGTTCTTCAGGACACGCTTTTGGGCTTTAAGCCCTTCAATGACCTCTGCAGAGGAATTTGGACGGAGATATGCGTGAACGGATTGCGCGGCGAGCTTCGAGAGGAAGGAAGTGGGCGAGGAATGTGTGACCGAGAGGGAGAGAAAGGCTACAGCATTGCTCAATGCCATGGTGTACGGGCCTTCTACATGTTAGCATACAAATATTAGGATAGAGTAAGTCTTTCAAAGACACCTGTCTTGTTTGCGTTATATTCTGCAAGCGCTTCCGCTGCAAATGTTGCATTTTCCTTCAGCGTTGTTGGATTTGGATATATGTCTTTCGTAACTGCGCTCATTTGGTCAGACATTTATCCTATCCGGCACAGATGCTACTCACAGTTGCAGACGAGATGCGCTTGTGGGTGATCCTGGAAATTTTCGCCTACACCTGGAAGTTCGATTCTCACTTTGATGCCGGCAGTCTCCAATACCTTCTTCGAACCAATACCGCTCAACTCGAGAATTTGCGGCGTATGCACTGCTCCTGCTGCTAGAATTGTTTCTCGTGTTGCTGTAACCGTGGACCTCTGCTCGGGCCGATCCCGCTGGTAGATGACAACACCCTTCACTGCCAAATCCGGCCCTAGGACTAGTTTTTCGGCCCTGTGGCCCACTAGTAGATGATAATTTGTTCTTGTCTTGATCGGGTCATAATAACCGTATCGCGCATACGATCTAGTCTGGTTCACCGGGTGTATCGATGACGGCATCCAGAAACGCCCTACCGCATCACCAAGAGCATGCTCTATAGGGCCAGTGATATTCAGGTCTTCCCAAGCCTCGAACATAATTCCTAGACGAGTTTTTAGAGTGCGCTCTAGGTATTGAGTATATGGTTTCTCTAGACATACTCTCAGTCTCCCACTGAAAAGGTGGAAAGCTCGCCTGGATTGGTCCTTCCCCATACGCATGCGGGTCCCACGTATATCCAAACTTACTCGTAGCCTCATTCCGCGGTGGCGTGAATGTAGAGCTCTTCTTAAAATACGGATAAAGCTCGTTCCATCCCCATCCTGGGTTGCCCAGATCTTGCCATGCGTCGTAATCAGCCTTTGCTGCTCGGTCAAACACCATTCCATTGACGGCCGAACTCCCACCAACCGCACATCCAGCAACGTAGGCAGTTGATGTCCCTCCAATCTCGGGTTGAGGAACGCTAGTCTCATTGAAGGTGTACCGCCTGCCGCAACCTTTTGTGACACTTAATTGCGGCAACCAGGTGCATGGTTCGTCAGCAAAGTAGCCGAGTTCTACTACGAGGACAGTCTCTGGTAAGCATTAGCGTCTTTCGGAAAGGCGGAAAGGGGAAAAGATGGGGCGTGATGTCAGAACACACTCAACGGGTCTTCAGACAAGCGATTTGCGACCACAAGGCCTGATGTACCGCCGCCGACGATGATGTAGTCATACGAATCGGCTAAGTCATGAACAGAACGTTTGATGAGGGCATGGTTAGCCAGCCGAGGGTTCGCATTAGTTCCCGGGAATAGTGCTGTAAGCTGGATAAGGCTGCAGAATAGGGCTGAAGTTTGAACTCGAGGTGCCATGTCAGAATGTGAAGCTTAGCTGGACGGGATGCTTGGTGCGTTAAGAGGCGAACAGCTTCTTTTAATCGCTGTCTTCATCTCTCTAGGATTGCGCCAATTCCTTAATACCCATGATTGACGGTCCTGCAGCCTTATGTGTATTGCACAACCCTCAGTATTGAGTGCATCCCGGCTATGGGGCGGGACCTAGATTAGATCGGAGAAATACACATGACATGGCGAAATGGCGAAGTGGTGAGAGACGACGGAGCAATAATGAAGATCGAAACGCCATAAGATGAAATACAACCAGGATCTTAACAATTGAACTCTATTCAGCATGAAATACTAGAAGATTCAGTCGGCCCACGGCGACAAACAGGATTATCACCAGCCGTGAAGAAGTTAGGCGAGGTAGGCAGTGGCTGACCGTAAGCGCATATACGGAATATGCGCTGATAGAAAGCGGGGAAGAGGAACGAACTGTTCAATAGAGAGCGAGCAAGAAATGAGGAGTTCATGGCGGCACTACCCACAGATTTGGAGGAGGCGAATCCCGGTTTGAAAGGTAAAATACCAAGGTACCATTCACCACTTTTAGCTGGTTGGTCTGCTAGTTCTAGCATCCAGAACGCATATGCGGGTAGAGACATAGGGGTGGACGTAAGCTAGAATTTAGAACGATGTGCGACCAAGCAGAAGCATCGGTTATATGTATGGAGGACAGAAGTTTGAAAGATAAGGGGGAAAGGGGCTAAGATAAGGCTTCACTTGGCATTTGCTTGGCAAGGTATCGGCTAATAGATCAAAGACAGTGGCAGTGCACGCTGACGCCGAAAAAGGGTCCAGGTGGAGAGCTCAAACACATTGCGCGACCACCTGCAGCACCCCCTTTAGCACCCATTGTTGAAAGTTTGGAAGAAGCGAAGCCGCTGCATTCTCTGTTGCCGTGGCCTTATAGTCCCACGGGCGCAGTAAGGCGAGGATGACTGCGTGGCGGTGCAGGGCTGGGCAATGCTGCAACTGGTTGTGACAATCAAACTACACGGACTCGGCGTCTCCCCCTGAGTAATGCTGGAACCCCCTAAGCCCCAAGGCTTTGCCGCAATCCTTCCAAGAGTAATCCTTCAGAATATACACCGTCAACCTTCTCCTTCTTCACCCCCTCCTCTCCGCGGTATGCACATCACCACCACCTTCGTTTGATTCCTGTCTAGCACAAGGAGCACGACCACCACCATGGCCATCTTACGCGACTTCCGCGGCCTCCGCATCGTCACTGCCGCTGCAATCGCCATCCTTATCGCCCTCCTCGTCCTCCTCAACCATCGCCTCCCAGAGGGTTTCCATCCCTTGGCCTCGCTGCCAGGCTCGTTGTCCACCCAGCCCACCCATCAAACCATAACCCAACACACTAACAGCACCGGCAAGCTCGCTTACGTAACATGGCTGTCGAGCACGCTGGTCGGCCCCGACAGTGAAGACCTCGACAACGACAACTACTTCATTGCCACGCGAATCCTCGTCTGGCAACTGCTCCATGCCCCCAAGACTCGTTCTCATGGCATCGATGTCGTCGTCGTAATCACACCTTCCGTATCCGAATCGCGTCGTAAGCGACTAGAGAAAGACGGCGCCATTGTCAGGCGCGTTGAGTTCGTACATGGTAAGAACGAGGGCTGGATCAACCCCGAACAAGAGAGATGGAAGGACATCATGACCAAGCTGCGCGTTTGGGAAATGGTCGACTACGAGCGGATGTTGATGTTAGACGGGGATACAATTCTGAACAAGCCCCTAGACGATGCTTTCAACGACCCAGGTGCTCAGATAGTGTCTACCCTGCCTGTTGGGCACGCAGAGTCTAGGCGGAAGGGCGATGAGCCGGACCTCCCGTCTCAATACCTCCTCGCTAGCGTCGGCGAGACCAAGAATTACAATCACACTTGGCCGCCCACCAAGCCCACGGACTTCGAACGACCTGACTACTTCTGCGCCGGCTTCTTTTTGCTCTCGCCATCCCTGGAGCTGTTCAAGTACTATACTGCTCTCCTCGACATCAAGAATCGTTTTGACACGAGGTACATGGAACAGAGCTTACTGAATTATGCCCATCGACCGGATGGACCCATGCCTTGGAAGGAGGTCGACTACAAGTGGAATGTTCGCCACGTGAATGAGAGGGATGTGGAGAAGGGCCTCGTCAGTATGCACGAGAAGTGGTGGCTGCTTCCATGGAGTGGAAGCACCAAGCTGAGGGACGAGTTCCTCAAAATACGGTGGGAAATGGAAGGATGGTATATGGAGAGAAACAGGTAGTCGCGCTTCAGATTTGGATTACATCTATACGGCAGTGCAAACGGAGTACGGTAGAGTGCTATTCAGAACTATTTCGAAGGCAATTGGTACAAAAGTTTTAATAGCTTTTGAAGATGGATCGCTTTTTACATAATATTTTCACTGTTATATAATGTACTAAAACAGCAATGGGAATACGGTGTTACTCTCCATATAAGCACTTTACTTAGACACTCGCTACCCTGCCTGTAATGATGGCCCACATTTGCGGGCGTATTCTAAAGCTGTAGGGCCTCTACCCCAGGAGCCATTTCTATACTCTCCTACGGACCAGGATTGCCTAAATTACTGGCCTTCTTGGCCTTCTCTTCTTTTACGTAGGGAGCGGGTACAAAGGTGCATATTAATGAACCCCGCCAGAGACTGTTTACACAACACTTCATCCACCTCCCGTAATCGTTCTGCGCGCTCCAAATATTCTTGAAACCTTAGAACGAACCAGTTAGCCAATAAAATTCTAAACTTAGCAAATCAAAACTTACCTTAAACACTGATGGTCATCGAGGATCTTATAGTGAACCAACCCTAACATCGCTGCCGTAAACGAAATCCCACGTCGTGGGTCACTACCCATGAGAAGTTCGGTTCTGAACCGCTTCATCGCCAGTCGCCGACCCTGTATTTCCCGGGCTGGAAGTCCTTGTAGTCTTTCGTTCAGCTTGCCTAAATCGATTTCTCCAGGATGAAGTGGTAATCTAAATGTACAGTCCTTGACTAGTGTGGAGATGGAGAAGTCATCGTCATAGACGCGCATACTGAAGCCTCCAGAAAGCCGTGCGATGAATTTGGGAAGCAAACGCGGCGATATATACCCTGTTCCTTTCGGATCCACACTTGCCCACGCTTCCTTGAACTGGCGGATATCATTCTTCGTGATGGTCCCGCCCTTGGTATTGAACCCATGATACGCGTACGAGAAACTCTCATACACAAGTGAGATAAACAGATTCGTGAAAAGATACATACTCAGTACCTTCCAAGAGATGAAGAAAACACGCGCTAGGACTGCATATCCGCAATCCCCGTCGAAGCGCCTCTCGCCAACTGTGCAATATGGTGGCACAATAGAAGCAAAGTCTTCCATTATCTTAGTTCTGCCTTCGCCAAGCGTCATTCGGAAGAGGAGAATCAGCGCTTTAGGAACGTTGCGGAAATTGACGTTGCCGGTCTCGTTCGCACCAAATCGAGTCAGTCCAAAGACCTGGGTGAGGCTGATCGCGAAAAATAAAAGTAGGACGAACCATGTCACCAGGAGGGTTTGGAGAAGGGGTATGCTAGCAATTACAATGTTTAGCAATTCGTCGAAGGCAGGGACGTACGGGATTAGGAGAAAGCAAGTGGCGTCCTGGAGAATCTGCTTGCTTTGGGTAATTGCTGCATTGTTCCTGAAACAGAGTTGAAGGATGGACGTGGATAGTGCTCCAGATATTGAGATAAGGCCGTAGAGATCCCAGGGCCTTTTGATAAATTGGAGCCAGGATAGCCCAATGATGCGTACGATAACATTCAGAGCTAAGACTGAGATGTTGAGCACAGAGAGAATATCTATACTCTGTAAGCAATATTCGCAAGAAGCACCAGTCCGGTTTAGTGCTTACCTCTTGTCAATTCCCAAGAAGCGATAGAGGGATAGAAATCGATACAGAGAATTATCAGATGCAGTACCAGTAGAGCGGCGATGAATCTTTGCCATTTTGACTGCTTTCCTGTGGCTCTTTCATAGCACCAAAGCCTCCACGGGCTTAAGCTGTCTGGATTAGGTGGACGTTTAGAAGGGCGTACCCGCTTGAGTAGCCTTCGCTGCTCGATCCATCCTCGCTGAGGTCGCGTCAGATATGCAATGCCCGTTGCTTCAGTATAGTTCTGGATCATGATTGACGCGAAAAGAGCGGTTACAAAGATAGTCCCACAGAAATTGAACACGACGAAAAATAAGGCGTTCATGTTTGAGGTCGACGTGTTGGGGCGGGTAGGGTCATTGCTGATGCCTCGGGCCCAATACATCACATCCGTCCATCCTTCTTGAGACACAATCAGGAACAAAGTATAAAACGACTGTCCAAAGTTGTCGAACGAGTAATATGGCCGGGTAACGACTCTCGGGGTGAGGATTGTCCATTGACTTAGCCCGGAAGCTTCAAATTCCAGGGCACAGTCCCGCAAGTCCCAATGGCTAGGGTCATTACAAGATTTCGACTGCCCCATAAAGAGGTTGAGGCCAAAGATTGCGAAGGGAGTCAAGAGACTGAGAGAAACCAGTATAGCTGCGAATACCCTCTTACTGCCCCGACGGAAAATCAAGGTAATCTCCTCCATGACTTTCTTGTTTATAGTCAACAATCGAAGTACCCGAAGAGCCTTGAAGGCTGCAACAAAGCTAGCGGCTTGTCCCACCTCATTATAAAGCGACAGCGCGATATCAGTCCACACTGTGATGAGTACCATGGCGTCCAAGAGATTCCAACCTCGAAAGTATGCGTTTGGTCCCCTGATAAGTCCACCAGCGACCATTTTGATGAGCGCTTCTACGGTCCAAATATTGGCAAACACCAAATCGGTCAATACAAACCAGTTCTTTACGGTGTAAGGATGAGTCATCCAGTATGTCCTTTGATAAAGAGGAGTTGTTACGCAGGTGAGAAGAACTTGTACGGCAACGGTGATGTAGATAAAGGTTTTGAAGATGGTGGCGCGTGAACATCCCCAGTGTTGGTGGGTTGCTAGTTGCTGATTGAGGAGTTCCTCGCAGCCTCTTCGAATCTTGCCATAATACCCAGTGTAGTCTAAGCTTAGGCTCCTCCAGGAATGGCTGGAAGTATTCGTAGGTAAGAGATAATTAGAGCGTCTGCTAGTCAAAAGTGTTGGCAATCTAGTACTTAACTTCGCAGCTGCCTGGTACCACCACACCTTAGGACAGCTCTTGCTCTGCTCTACCATGGGCCTGGCCAAGGATGCTTGAAGCTGTGCAAGAAGTCCATCGTCGCCAAGGAATTCTCTGATGGCAGCATCCCGGTGCGTATCGGCCAGAGTAGTTGCCCGACTGGGTGTTGGACCGCCTTTTCCGGAGTCTTGTAGGCCTTTCAGGCTGCGTTCACCGTGCATATTGGTACCCGTGGAGGTAACAGACTCGCGTTTCAGAAATTCCCTGACCTGGAAAAGGCGCTTTTGGCTATCTGGAATTTCTAGCCTGTCATCTATCCGGGAAATAAACATGTTCAGGATGATGAGAGATGAAAGGATGAACCAGCCAATTACGAATATAGCACTGATCCAGGCAGCCTTTTGACCAGAGTCGCGTTCAGTGACGGCGTAGAGAAGTTTGGTCCAGTCTTCGCCTGTGAAGATCTGATACATTTCTAGAAACGATATCCATGTTCCCGAAAATGGCATTTTTCCTTGCGAAGTGGGGTTGTTCACAGGGAGAGAGTTTTGGAACATCACCGAAGCCAGAATAGACGCCAAGAAGACGAGTAGGAAAAGGAAGTTACAAAGTCGTAACAGGGATGGAAAGTAGGTAAAGGAAACCATCTATAGCACTGATAAGCGTTTGACGAATATGCTTGGACATTAAACCACTCACCATGAGACCTCTGACTGGACTGATCGCCCAAAGAACACGATAGATTCGGACAATTTGAAAAAAAGTTAGCCAGGTATATACCCGGCCTGCCCTTTTTAAGATCTCTAGCTGCATAATGGAGGTGACTGTCGCAATAATCAGGTCCGCCAGATTCTGTTTACTACGGTGGAAATTCCTCGGGTTCAGCGCAAGCCGTACCACGATCTCTACTAAGAGCAGGAAAGTAACAGCGGTTTCAGAGGTGTTAATAAACTTCTCCCTATTCTTAGCCATCGACTCTGTTCGTAGGGCTTGTACCGTAGAATTGTAGGTGATGATAGTGATCCAGAGCCACTTAGTTTTCCAGAAAGCTTTTTGAAGTGAAGCACGTTTGAATCGCGATGGGTCGCGATCCTTTCGTTGGGTTGGTTTGCCTAACTTATGGTCCTTCTCGCTTACTGCCGTTTGACTCTTCTTTCTAACGTCCTGAATTGAGTCGGTTATAACTCCAATCAGTAAGATTACAAGCCAGAAATAAAGTACGATGATCACGGCCGCAAAGAAAATGGCAGTAACGACCCCATCTGTGTCCATAATGTTGTACATAAGGGTTGAAAAGGTGTTCGCGGAGAAAATTACGAAAACAAGTTCCAATGACTGAAAAATATTGTCGAAGCTGACGGAATTGTTGTACGGATTCATGCTCTCCTGACACAACGACCCTCGAGGGCAGAGGTAGCCTTTGTGTCTGACAGCTCCGGGGGTGCCATCGATCTTTAGCCACGGCTCAGGAAGTCCTGTCTTGTTGTCGATATAACCTCCGCAAAATTGGATTGGGCCTGTGGACGTAGTATTGGATCCGGCAGTGCCGGTGCTGATCGGAAAGCAATTCCTCTTCAGGCTTGACTTAAAGCATTGAACGCCAATAACGGCAAAAAGAAGCCAAAAGAAGGAAATAAATGATGTAACCCTCCCAAGTTTTGCGCTTGACACTTTCAACGCTCGACGAATGACGGTGGTCTCCAAGTCCGTTCCAGCCGTGATCCCCAGCAGCCTCGAAATCCGGAGAGCGCTTAGCATGGCAAAGACATGGACATATCTATTGTCACGCGAGGTTGCAAAACGGATGATGAAATGGATCCAAAACGAAACCACAGCCACTAAGTCGAGTGAATTGAAAAAATCCCGTAAGAATGGGCGTGAGTATCCGCTCGTACACCTTTTTTTCCTTAGTGGTATCTGTCGGATACTACTCTCCGAAAGAATGGATGACCTTTTATCAATATGGCCATCAGCAATTGGACAAGCTTTTCCCCAAAGGAATCCAAACGTTACGATTTTCAAGACTATTTCCAGGGTGTATAAAATGAAAATAGTCAGATAGCAGTAGCTGCTCCATGTGGCACCAAATGTGAAGTGATGGGTCTCGGAGTATTGCGCGTGAAAATTGGTTTCAACCAAAAGGGTAGCCGTCTGGAGTAGTATAAGGAGCAATATACATGGTTCCACCCATGAACTGTGGAGAATACGGCACATCTTTTTTCCCAAATAACTCCAAAGCGAATGTGGACCCGATCGTTGGTTTCGGGGCAACTCGGAAGATTTGTACAATGAGTCCGCGGCAATTGATGGTATGCTTGCATCCAAATCAGTTTCAAATTCTCGCGATGATATTGAAGAATTATTTCCGGAGATGTCGAAAGCCTGGATCCCATAGAACGGACGAATTGATGCATCTATGGCTGGATCTGAAAGTCTGTCGCTAGTCTCACAAGCACACAGGACACCCCCTTTATCCTTAATTTTGACGACCCGTCTTGAGATCTCCAAGATCATGGATACCATTTTTAGGAGTACAGAGTTGACTGAATTGTTGGCCATGCTGGAATCCCGCAATGAGTGGTGACATTGCATTCCTGATTCCAAACTAGACATCTCAACGCTGGGGTCGTGCTGTGGTGGAATAGAAACAAAGGGGGCTTCGAGGTCTGTATTGCTGTTGGAATTCGTATTTCCTTCATCAAGAGCCCTAAATCGGGTTTCTCTTCGAATGGATGAAGGCGCTAAGGAACTCTCACGTGATGACCTAAGTTGTCCGGTACATCTTTCCGCACTGGAATCGACGAAGGCCTGTGGCTCCGAGGAGCTCTGAGGAGCCAGCAAATTATTCCCCTGATTTCCTAGTAGAGTTCCGAGTTGAACGTCCAGCGGCTTCGAGGGCATCACTGAAGAGAATCGCAACGGAATTGGCTGCTCTGATTTGAGCCTTATAATTCTGTTTCTACCAGATGGTAGACCGCATGATTGACTCGGGTAGCACAAATGGGAGGTGGGAAGAAATCGGAGGAGTGGACATCTAGAAACCCTCCGTACGCCTCAAGAGAGTGAGGGTAGAGAAACTGCAATCTGCCTTGTTAGGGTTCTGTTGCAGCACAACGCCTCGCCGCAGTTTACTGGTTTAGTGGTAATAATAGCTTCGACAATCAACTCAGCCACACTCCCCCGCGCTTTCGGACCCATTTTTGTGCAACGACCTGTTTTCACCACCCACGGTCCAGTTTCACCATTTCCAGATACCTCGAAGTAGTCCAGTATGCAGGAGCTGTGCGTAGTAGCAAGGTTCTAGGAAATGGTACTACGGCACTGTGGTATTGAAAGGTTGGAAATTCAGAGTTGGATTTGGGGAGGAGACTAATCCTAATCGAGTTAGGTGAGATAGGTCTTCAGGGGACTGCGAACAATGCTCATGTACCTCATTATATTCAGACTTTCTATTATATCCTTTCTATTTAGATGGCTGATAGAGAATATTCAAGGGGTATACAAATGCGGTGTTGCTTTACCCACGCACTTGCCCGTACTCCCTTAAGGCATATATTCCTAGAGATTATTCTTGATCGTGTACAAGATCTTTGATCCAAAGAGATCTATAAAAAAAACGGGGGCATGCTGAATAATTTCTAAGAGGTAATAAACATGTGCTATAAACTCATTTAGCTACTTCCCTTTAGAGTAACTCACTATTTACATACCTTGGAAGTTGCTAAACCAAGTTATGTGTATAAAATCTGCTTTCTGCTCAAACAAAGAAGAATAGGAAAAGAGTGCAGAAACATTTTGGATCCCACTTTCTAACTGCAAAGCTCACCTAGTGGAATGGAAACTGCGTTGTAGAATTCAATCGGCGTAACGGGTCCTTTTAAATTCAGACACCATCTAACAACCTCCGTATACTTTGTTCCTACGCGATATGGTAGGTCATGCTCTACCCGAATGTCTACTCTTCTCTGAAGTTCCTCTGCCTCGAGATGGTGAAAATGTACCATAGTGGGTGATAAATCCACGGGAGGCTTCACTCTAGGTATAGCGGCTAGGAAGTCCATAAGAGGGGCCCAAATACCAAGCTCTAAGAAAACAAGTCCTAGGGAATATATATCGTAGTGGATCTTGTAGCCGCTAGCAGCCTCGCCTTGGTAGTTTGGATGGCGGTATATGGCCGACTCGAGATCTCCCAGCACTTTTCCTCGATCAATGGTCTGAGTCTCTGTATGCTGGCGCGAGTATCCAAACCCCTGGATCAGAGCTGAATTGAGTGATCGAAAACTTCGGATGAATTCTGGATTGGAGAGCTGAGGGAAAATAATGTTGTTACTGTTGATGCTTTTGTGCATCCAATTGCTGCCATACAACTTTTCAAAGGTGCCTGCTAGTCGCTTCGCCAATGCATATCTTTGCTCCAGCGGAGGCTTCCATGGCGAAGTGTAGAGTTTCCTTAGAGAGAGTGGTTCACTATCGCTGGGAAATGTGCCAATTATGAGGAGCGGGAAGCGAAAAATTATCCACCAGCAGTGGAATCCTGGATCATCCATATAGTCGACAGCCTGTAGAGTATGTAGGTGGACCTGAGCCCGAGTACCGCTAAGGAGAGATATCAGCTTTCGAATTCGCTCTTTTAAGAGGTCCTTGTCAATGTCGGTGATGTTCATATCATATTCTTTTTTCTCAAAGAGATAGCAAGAATCATAATCTACTTGTCCTCTCTTGATAAAGCGGACTTTCATGCGGTCTGAAGGGCTGAGACTTGCCAAATTCAGCCCATCGCCCCGGAGCAAACCAAGTCCGTCTGTAGAGGCACTGTTGAGGGTTATGGCCTTCCACTGCGCAAGGCAACTGACGTCGATCTCTGATGATCCTTGGTACCAGCCTGGAGCATTCTGTAGATGCGAGAGCGACTCCATATCTGATAATCCTTGAATGACTTGAAGTCCAAAGCGGGTTTCTTCCCGTTGAACTTCTTTCCGTTCTGATTCTAAGAGGAGCTTGTGAAGGCCATCCACATGGGTTTCGAGAATTCCGACAAAGCGCTTAAATTTTTTCTTGTCGCGGATAGCCCAGGACAAGCGCTTGGACACGGTGGTCTCATTCCTCTCCAGGGTCTCCTGTCTTGATACCTCATGCTCTAGAAGCTCTCCAAGTTTCGACTTTGTTTTAGAATTTGCTAATGCTGCCTGTAAGCTTCGGCACATGCGAATGATCGCTCCTCCCTGCTTCGACTCTCCGCGCTCCTCCCAGACAAGACCGTATTCTTTTCCAACTTGATCAGCGTCGGAAACGAGTTTGCGGATACGATTCAGGGTCTTTGCGATAGGTTCGTCAAAGGGAAGCAGGCTAGGCAGCAACGTTCCATTGCTGAGCTTGGATGATGATGCCCAGATGCTCAGGTGAGCCCGTAGGATTTCGAGTCGGAGCAGCAAGTCTTCGGTGTCTTCGGAGAAGCTCAGGGCATCATCCAATGCCCCCCACGCTCCCACCAATGCTTTGTACGCAATAGGCGCCACAGCGAGCGCCAACTCGGCCATTTCGAAAGAATATTCTATACTAGAAGCGGGTAGGGCTGGGAGAAAATTGAGAGGTGTCGTGAGCAAGATATGGAACTTATATTTTTTGGTCTCATGAGCAGAACACATGAGCCGCTTCGGATTGGCCAATAGAAAGCGCACTACAACCGCCCCAATGCTAACAACTTCAGCTGAGGCTTCAGCATCATTCTTAAATCTAATCATACGTCGAGCTCGACCACTAAACTAATACAGCTACCATGGACGAGTTCGAATGGGTCAAGTCCTTTTCAAGTTCCAACTACGGAACTCTGAGTGATTACGTATCACCCGTTATCAAAGAAAACAAGCGAGAACCACCGAATCCATCCCAATTATCACGAGGCACCTTCTCCTCCTTCATCTGTCACGTCATTCACTTAGAGCGCAAGCTCCGTTCGTTTACGCCGATTGTCCTCGATGGATCCTCCGATATCAGAGTCACGGGCAAAATTCTAGGCCAAGGCAAAACCTTCCTTGTGAGGCACGCTCAATGGGCGCAGAAACCGAACGAACCACCAGTTGAAGTGGCGCTAAAAGAGATCATTCCTACTTTTCAGTCAACTGATGAAACACCAAAGTATGCCATTTGAGAGTATGAGGAGCAAATTTGCTAATTCCATCTCGTACATCCTCTAGTTCTAGTCACAGACCCCAGCATGACTGGAAAGACATACTCTTTGAGCTCCGAGCATTGCTTCATGAGCCGATTCGATACCATCCGAACCTCGTCCGTCTCTTGGGTATTCAATGGGGGCTTTCTCCACTCACTGAATCGGTATATCCGATGCTGGTCATGGAATGCTCGTTGCTTGGTACACTTCAGACTCTCCAAGCCTCATTCGAGCCACTACCATTTCCAACCAAGCAGAAATTGTGCTATGATGTGGGAAAGGCCTTGCTGGCACTACATGCATGTGGAATCGTGCACGGAGATGTGAAGCATGAAAACGTCATCATCTTTCCAAATAAAGAGACCGCGACAAAAATTCCATACACAGCAAAGCTCACTGACTTTGGTGGAACAATCATGGATATGGGGGAAACCGAATTCCGAACCATGGAGACCTGGACGTGGCCCTTTCAAGCCCCTGAAGTTGATCGCGCCGAGCCCCTTACTCGGAACGGAATGGTGCTAACCGACGTGTATTCCTTTGGACTACTCATCTGGCGAGCGTTCACTGACGGTGAGGGTTTTGTTTCCCTACCTGGAGCCGCACAAAGCGCTTCAGACGAAGCTAAGCGTAGCTTGACGGCGCAGAAGTCTATGGACGACTTCACTCGTGTTGCAATTCATGATATCTACAAGTATGCGGAATCGCGCAAGGTTCCAAAAGCTTGTGTAGATATTATCACATATTCTATTATCCACACTATTAGATTAGATCCGATGGACCGCAATCTAGTCTCCGCACAAGCCGCTTTAAGGGGCATAAAGTAGGGCCAAGCAGGAAATATTTGAGCCGTATCTAATAAATTCCAGGTTGGGGAAGATCAATGCTTACATGAGCCTCATTCGCGAGAAGAACGATGAAAAAGAGGCCTCTGAGTTACGCGTGGCACCTGTAAGCAAACAGTAGACAACATAATACCCTCTAATTGTACGCAGGGCAGTCACGGTTTTACAAAAGATAGTGTCCAATTCATGCTTGGACGCTATGGCAATGATGTTGACCTGCAAGACAATCTGTAAGAAATTGGCCCTCATCCAAACAGCTCACAAGCTACTGTCACTAACGCCGAATATAGTCCTGGGTTTCGGCCTAAATTAAATGAACCCAATGTTGAAGAATTCTTGTTCGAGCCAGAGAGTTTGAAAACCTTCTTGACTTGGGGACAACAACAACAGATCCTTGAAGAGTTTAAAGAGGCCGCTGCAAAAACTACTCGCAATGTCGGTACACTAGGCAGAATTAAAAGGACAGTTGCAGCCTTCTATTTATTCCAATGCTACCTCATCGAATTCGGCACCACATTTGACGCGGCCAAGGTCATCCACTGGCTTGCTGAAGCCGCTTCCAATGACAACAGCCGCGAAGACGCAGACTGTTATGCTCAGGCTTGGCTTTGGCGAATAGCTCGCGCTCTAGGTCCAGAAATCACTTTCCCAAGAGCTAGGGCGGAAGGGCTGCTGCACCTGTCGAGCATAAGAGGTTACCGAACCTCTCTTCAAGACATCTTGGAAATTGCATCAGGTAGTAGTGACCAAGAATCGCAGAAGTGGTCAGATACCTACGTTCAAGCCCGAAATATACTACAGTCTGAAATGGGGGGTGTAGGAATGCCCTACTTCTTCCCTAATTTCATGACCAACGTATTTAATCTAGGTAATATTAACCGACTCGACGAACAAATTCGAGCCCACCTTCAGCAAGACTACGAGTCCTGCCTGAAATCAGCAACGAACGAAGAGTTGGAGGCTTCTAACAATGGGAAGGATAAAGAGGAGACTGCTTTCGACCGGATATTCGTCAACGACAAAGGCCATGGGTTGCTACACTTTGCTGCTGCTAGAGGGGCTTCCAAGGCACTGAAACACATGATTACCAAATACAAATGCGATATCAATCTACCAAACCAGCACGTCGATGAGACACCTCTCATATGCGCTTGTGAAGGGGGAAAGGTCGCCTGCGCTATGTTTCTCTTGGAGCACGGCGCCGACCCAAACGGCTACCAGTATAGTCAAGAGGGCCCATTGCACTGGCTCAGCAGCTTCTTGCCCAGTGAAATGGGAAATATTGCCTTGAGGTTGATTACCGCAGGTGCCGATATCGAGCTCCGATCTGGTGGAATGCGCCACGATGTCCGAAAAATCGGAGCCGATTGGGAGCACATTTTCGAGATATCTGTGACCCCACTCGGGAGAGCTGTCTTGATGAACAATCTTCCTGCAGTCAAGGTGCTTCTTAAACACGGTGCAAATCCGCTCGCAAGAAGGGCCAATAAGCATCGAGGGAGACGGGAGGGCGTTCAAGATGCGAATAATATGGTAGATGTGTCTTCCGCATTTGATCTCGCTGCGGTGTTAACCCTCCCCGACATCCTTGAGGAGTTCATCAAGCATATTGACAACTCGAATGGGGGAGAACTGACACCCAACATCAAACTTCTTGACGAGGCATCGATGCTGAACCTGGCGCATGGAAAGGAGGTCACTAAGCATGATCCACTGTCTCTTCAAAGCCGTCTAGTGCGATGCGGAGCCAACTATAAGAGCTTTTTGCGGCGAACCATTTCATTACTCTTCACTCGCGCTCTTCCATGGCACTCATATCAGGGAGATCTTTTGCAAAAGAAGAGGAGCGAAGTACTATGCAAAGAAGTGTCACTTGGAAACGTAGACATTGTCGAGTGCCTTCTCGAAATCGGTTACAACGCCAATGGAACCAAGGATTTCCGTCCGTTGGAAAAAGCAATTGAACTAAACCACGATGGATTGTTCCAAATGCTTGTGAGCCACAAGGCGGACGTGACTATTACGCATCTAACGCCCACCGGATATGTTTCTATGCTACATTTATGCGCTAGCAGGCCGCGCCAATCTCGGCCGGGTCGCATGATCGCAGATGCGCTGATAGCGGCTGGGGTCCCAATAGAGAGCATCGATCCACGAAGCAAGTCACCGCTGGCTATGGCAGTATTGAATCAAAATTTCGATGTAGCTCGAGCACTAATGGAGCACGGAGCTAACGTCAATGTGAATTACCCGTTGCAAATCTACGGAGCTAGGGGGACGGAAATGCGAACCGTCAGTATCTTGGTTGAAGTTTTGGCTCAGCACACCATACGAACCCTTGAATCGCTGAAGTTTTTGTTCGGCAAGAAGGAAAGCAGGCCGATTCAACGACCGAACTTTACTGTTGACAAGGACAACAAGTTCTCCGTCCTTCATCTCTTGGCTGGGAGTGAGCAGTTTACCGAAATCGCGCAGATAAGCCCGATGATTTTCAACTTGTGCCTCGACACCTATTCGGAGCCTTCTTTCATAAACTACAGGCATCCTATTCTTGGCACTGGGCTTTACTATGCTGCTATGAATGGGAATAAGGTCATGGTTGAGCGCCTGCTTGAACGACATGCAGACACAAGCAGTAATGCTGGGCCAGATCTTTCCGATTCGATCCAATTGGTTTTGCGAGAGAAGGGGACTTGGACGCCCCTTTGGGCAGCAATCTCACGACTCGATGGAGAGCTGAATAAATCCATGTTTTTACCTTCAAGTCACAAGCTTGATTCTAACGCCATCCAGAATGTCGAGAGGACTGTTGAGCTTCTAGCGCAGACGGGAGATGAGCTAGCAAAGGAAGCAATACATCAGTTAGCGGAAAAGAAACACAGGATATTGAACAAACAGATTGAAGCTGAAGGAGCCCAACGAAGGGGCAGATTGGTGTATAACACTGGTCTAAAAGATCACCCGATTGATCTCTCTGTACTTTCTGGAAAGGGCGATGCCAATGTTGATGAAGCGCTTCAGAAGGTTCAAGAGGAAAACTGGGTTGTACCAGGGTTCGAGGAGATGCTCACAAATTTGGCGCAGCGGCTTTTATAAGCTGTGTTGGGGGAATAGCTACCTGCCCTCCTCTTTATTCCCGCTGTCCCTTAATGTGAACATGACAGGGTATTTTAGGACGGAAATCTGCATCCTATCAATGTTGTCTTTTGTTCCAGTCAAAGGTAAATTATGGTAGGCAGACTCCACTCTGGTTAATTTCTACGTGATGTGATAATATGTTGGACTTATCTTCAATACTGCCACTGCTCAAAGTCACAATACGAGTTTAATGGAGCAGTCAACCAGTTTGCCTTGCGCTCAGACCTCTCCATCCACGGCTTCCCTCTTTTCGCGCTGTCATAATCTTGCCCCATTATCAATTTCTCATATCTCATCTCATCATTGTCAAAAGCATAAAAATCTGCATCTGTCCCAGAATGGTAAAAGTTCTCACTCCCCTTTTTATACACCCTCCTCAAGTAAATAAAGCAGTCTTTCAACCCTCTCAAGCGACAAAGAGGGCCGACGATGCGATCGTACATGGTGCCATCTTTATTATACCGTACTGGCCAAGATGGCCTAGTTCTGTCATATTCGTGCTGAGAGGCTCTTAGATTCAAGACTAGCGTAAGTTTGGGCAAATGCATCGCGTGCACCATCATATCTATTGTATCGAGGTAGTCAGGCCATGCAGACTTAGGCGCCTGCTGGTAATTTTCGAATTGCGGTATCACCCATTCTAGCCAACGGAGATGACGCAGTGCGTCGCGCGACAGTGAGGAAAGCAATAGCGAGAGTTCTAGCCTCGGCATTGGAATCACGATTCGGTATATGTGTGAGCCATCCGGGCTAGCCCACCGCGGTGTAACGATTCCGAGCGGTGAGACTACGAAACGGTTCTGTTGAAAGAAAATTGGGAGAGCATCGTCCTTGACTTGGCGGCTGACTAGGAACAACGGGTGAACGCGTGCAACCTTTCCGTGGGAGGAAGAATATGCTGCGTGGCCGCAATTGAACAGACAGTCGCATATTCCATCATATGCTCTTTCGCAGCATCTCGGATCGTAACGGCAGTGAATTCCTTTGAAAAAATCTTCTTCCGGGCTCCCTAGGTATTTAGAAGGGTCGTTAAGATACTTTGTGGTACAACCTTCGAGATGGCCTACCAATTCGAAAGTGTCCCTCCCCAACTCGTCGATACAGCTGCAGTCAAGGGCAGGAATAGGGTCCACATTGGAAAGAGATGGTTTCCACTCGACGTCCGCATCGGACACCAGATCAGTGTACTCTAGTATCCTAAACCGTAGCTCTTGAGGGAGGTCTAGGTACCTAAAAGGCATCTTTGGATCGCTGGGTGGGCGAGTGGTAAGACGCTGGACTGTTTTCTGGATAAGGTCGAGGAACCCCTCGATGGGGTCTTGGTTTAGCCATATACAACATTCTTTGAGGGTTGGAAGTTGGTTGAGCGGCTCGAGAAGAGCTTCAGCTGTTTTGACATCGGGTGCCTTGGCTATTAGACGGAGAGTGAGGCGGTTCGGTCGCACACATCGAGACAGCCGTCGAACTAGGTTTTGCCAATCACTCAGCGCAGCTTTACCGTAACGGCTGTGTAACTTTATTGGCAACAGCTGCTCTAACCTTGCCCAATCAACACCGAGCACTATGGTTTCTGGGGGTTCTCCATCAAGCCGTATAGTTAAGTTCGAAAGCTCCTGCAAAGCCGCATGTCCGAGCTCGTTGAAAAGCGGGGAAAAACCTTCCGGGCTACTTCGACAAATCCGAAAGGTATTCCTCTCATAAATCGTCTGGAATACTTCCGTGAATATGGATTTTGATGCCAATAAGAGGGAATACGGAGGATCCTCAAATGAAGCGCAATCATAGTGTTCGCAGTGGTAAAAGTAGTTGTGGATAGGAATCAGGTCGGTTCTCTTCCGATTACATTCCCAGTATGGCTCAAGCGTCGTGTAATCTTCGCATCGCTTGATGGTAAGATGGGAGTGGTGAAAGCACCCAATGCGCTGTGACCACAACGAATCAGGATACTCATTCTGCGGGTACAAAACGAGATTGGAGTAGTTGAGGTCGATGGTTCGCCCCGTTAGGCCAGCATATTCATAGATGAGTTTCCTTGCTTTCGGCGGAATATCTAGGAATGTGCGGGGTTTGGCCATGGGGACTTGAAAAGTGAGAGTAAAGTGGAGGAACGTAGATATGGAGGCTAGGCGGCGCAGATGTGCACATGAAATGCCAAGTACTGGCCCCCACATCCATGGATTGTCGCAGATCACAATATTACAACCTTGACAACCTTGAATTCCTTTAATACACTCTCTCCATCAAAAACCAAGCACAGAGAGCAACGTAGCAAACAAAACAATCATCGGAGTAGCCCCCAACCTCCCTGCGATACCTGTCTGTAACGCACCAGTTGCCCCTCCCGTTGCAGACGGACTTCCACTTGCAGAAACCGCGGGATTTGTTGAGTTTCCCTTGGCCCCAGCCTCCGCCTGAGGATACAACAGCGCCTGCACAACTTCTAAAGCGCCGAACACCTCTCCAAGCCCGCCGTCCTTCACACTAGTCATATTACTATCCTCTCCATACCACTTGAGATCACACTTGACATCTGTATCACCACCTCCACAGCTTTTCGCCGCACCCTTTGCGGAAGTCTCGAGCATTTTCCGGAGTGAATTTGATGCGAATGGCGCAGAGAGTGCAGCGCGGGCGAATGAGCGAACAGCGATGCCTTTGAATGCCTTTTGGTCAATGTCACATTTCCTGCTAGTTTCACACGCCACCTCAGTAAGAACAGAGGTGTCTTTGTTCAGGAAGACTGTGCTTGCATTCACGAATCCGGTTACGGCGTCTTTCCATTTGGCGTCGCCGTTCGTCTAGCAGCGTCAGCTTTGTATTCCATTTTGGAACTTGAGGGGAACATACTAGGTTGTACATGACTGCAGCACCTTCGGTGCAGACGCCATGTGCATATGTCCACTGAATATGGTTAATCTGCGAGCAATTGGTTGCAGAGTCGGTGCCATCGAAAACGTGATATGTATCGGATATCAAGCCGACATCTTGCATCCACTTGAACGATTTATCTGCCCATTCAGAATACGTTTTATTCCCCGTGAGCTGTGCTAGCCGGGCAGAAAGTAAGAAGAGATTGCCCGTGCTGAAACTATTCTTGTAGTTATACCCGTTGTTAAAGGTGAAGATCTGCCACCGCAAGCCTCCACCACAAGTCTTCTCATCCCAGCGCACGGCCTGGGTATCAAAAACGTTTTTCGCAAGATCTACCCATTCGCCCTGTTCCGGTTTCTGGAATCCGACTTCGGCAGCGGTCAAAGCCGCGAGGCCCCAGGTACTTTGGTCGTCGTTGCCGAGCGTTTTGGTTTGGTTCGGGGGCATATATGCGCGGAGTTCTTCGTCGCCAATTTGGGACCACAGCGCCGTGGATACGAGCGCATTGTACTGCGAATCTCCGGTGAGATGGGAGTATTCGATCATCCCGCCCCAGACAGCGCCGGCTTCCCACCAGTAGTACAGATCATCGAAAATGCCAATTGCGGAGCCTTTAGGCTGACTGTTGTAGGCTGCAACGATACCGCTCGCAAGAGATTTTGCAGTGGATTTGATTGAGTCCGAACTGTTTACATCTAAATCAAACGCGCCGGTTGTAACAATAAGGAACGTTAGAACGAGAGACGAAATACACCTTCGAGCGGACATTTTAAATGAGTGACTTTAAAACGAGACGACAAATTCTGAGAGCAGGAGCGTGGGAAATGCCATTTTTAAAGGAGTATTAGCGTGTAGATCCTTTAAGACGCAGCACTCGCTTGAATACGGGATCTGGTCTCACCAGGAGAGTCAGGAGTAGGATCCTAAACTGCTAACTGTGGCGTAGTACCGGCTAAAGACACCGGACGATTCCAAGGGCTGACCTCGGGAGATTACCACTTCGAGGCCTTCTATCGTGTTACTACTTACGGCAAGCGTCCTACTTGGATGCTTACTAACTCGTACTCTGCTTTCCTCACCTCTTACTGGGGGTCAAGTCGGTAATCCCACCATCCTCCGCCTCAACAATACTTCTCTGCTCCAGCTCTGCAATTCTGCTATCCTCAAGTTCTAGAGCCATCTGTGTCTTCGTTTGTGGCCTGTGCCTATCCGATTTCTTCAACAGCAAAACCAAGATCACGAAACCGATGGTCCACATTGCAGCCACAGGGACTATGACAGCGGCTGCGATCCAGTGTTTATTTCTCGTCTTTTCTCGGGCGCTTGGTGTAGGTGTAGGTGTAAGTGTAGAATCGCCGATAGCGGTCGTGGCTTCCCGAAGATACACGGTCGTCGGTGCTTATCAGTATCAGTAACTCCTCCAAACAGTCGGAAACCTCAGTCCTTACCCAGAACCGTCGGCGGCGTAACAAAGATCGCCTGCTGTGGGACATCCCAGCAACCAAGATAAAATGTCGGTGTAGCATCCCCTACAGTCTGGAACACAAAATTCGTTTTACAAGTCGATCCACTGGGACTGGTTCATAGATATTAGCCACTGCCTGCCTCTAGAGAATTTTATCCTCATTGTCGCGACTAAGGATTCTACATACCATGGTACAGTATCACATCTCGTAGCAAAGCCGCAGCTTTCCAAACGCGTTTCACAGCATCGGCCGTATGTGCTAGATGTTGTCCAAGTGGAGCCAGAATTGCATGTCCGTAGTGAGTCTATTCTCGACATTTTAGCGCCGTCTCAATCTAAATGATCCGTGGTTTTAAATGGTAGCATACAAGATCCCTTTGTGCCTACATAGCCCACAAATCTTGACAAGTCTTCCTGTTGTGGGGAAAGAGGGGCTGGTGTGATTTCAGGTGGAACACTGGGAGAGGCATAAATGGGATATGGGTAAAGAAGTTGGATGGCGACGACGATGAGATACCACAACATGATGTATGAGAATTGTGACGATGGTATATGGGATCGGGAGGTGTGGACGCTGAAGATGATGTGGTGGTATTCATATGAGAGAAGGCCATCTCTGCCCCTAGAAATGAAAATGGTACATTATTGTTTCTCGCTTGCTTCCTACCCATCCCCTCTTTTTTCCGGCCTCAGCTTAATAACCAGTGGGCGGGCATTTATAGACAGGGTTCGTAAGAAGTTGGTGAGAGACTGCACAAAGATACTAAAATGGGGGGAGAGCTCCGGAGGGACCAAATTTACGGTCGGAGCGGACAATTACGCAAAATTATGTTTCAGAATGGGATTACATGATGATATTGTAATCGGACTCGGATTGCTTAGTCGACGCGGTTCTTGTCGCCCGTTTAGATGATATATGGGGCTGGTTGAATACGAGAGTGCGTTCTATACGCCATCGATATGCAGTGCCTTAATACGTCTCAGTAGATTATATCCTAGTCTATTCAATACCCTTTCCTTTCAGCGTCAAATCCTCAGGCTCAAATTCAACTTCCCTCTTCTTCCTTCCAACTTGCTCCTTCAGCGCTTCCCCGAAAACTTGCCTCAATCCCTCAATCGCCTCTTCCTCAATCTGGTAGTGCACAACCAACCTCCCACCTCTGATCCTGACTCCGTACTTCTCTCCCAGCTCAATCCAAAAATTTAGATCAATCCCATGCGCTTCAATATCTAACCATACCATGTTCGTATCAACAGGATACTTCATCTTGCCGCCTAGATTGGTCCAGAGCTGCTCGATTCTTTTGGCATTGGCATGGGATTTGGCGAGCTTGCCGCCGAGGAATGTTTCCTCGACTGCAACACGTGCAGGCGCAGCCACGACGCCAGCTTGACGCAGGCCGCCACCGATTGACTTCCGGATCCAGCGGCAGCGTTTGATGAAGGGTGCCGAGCCGACGACGATGCTGCCGATGGGGGCGCCCAACCCTTTGCTGAAGCACAGGCTTAGACTGTCCATTGCCGCGCAATAATCGCGAAGGGACCCGGCGCCCGCTGCTACCGCCTCCCACAACCGTGCGCCGTCCATGTGCATTATTATCCCATGTTCCCGCGCCCAGCTGGAGATTCTCTGGACTTCAGAAAGCGGCATGATGGTTCCATCCAGCGTGTTTTCGAGCGAGATGACGCGCGTGGGGCAGGCGTGGACATCGTCTGAGATGACGGCGTGCTCTTGGATTTCTTCGAGCGTCATGTATTTGCCGTTTCGGGCGTCGATGGGTTGGACGAGTGCTTGGCTTAGACTTGCCACACCGCCAGCCTCATAGTTGAGGATGTGGCTCCTTCGATCGGATAGCACAGCCTGTGGAGGCGCTGTTAAGTGTGTGCGGAGCGCGACCTGGTTGCCCATGGTCCCGGACAGCACGAGCACGGCAGCTTCTTTGCCCGTCAAGTCGGCTACGAATGTCTCAAGCGACAACGTGGTAGGATCCTCCATGAAGACATCATCGAGAAGCGTGCATTTCTCGATTGCTGCCAGCATCGAAGCCGTTGGTGTGGTGGTGACATCTGATCGGAAATCGAAGGCGGCGGGGTTTTGGTGGGCACCCCAGGCATTCCCATTGCCCTCCTCATGCGCCACCTTCCTCGAACCATTTGCAGTGTACGCTGCGAAATCAGACATGTTGGCGCGTTTGCAGGAGCTGTGGAGCCTCTGCAATTGGGAGATGGCCGCAGTGGGCTGGAGTGGGGTGCGGTGGCGTCTGCCCAGCTGGATCAACGTCCGGCAGGAATATGCTGGAGGGCAGTGAGGTCAATTGGACGGCAAGTGGACGGGGCCACGTACTGAGCCGCTGAGAGGAGAAGGCGATGAGTGTTGGAGGCATGGCTAGGAAATGTAGAGTGTGGGTTAATGAGTCGTAAGCAAACACCATGTCGGATGGTGGGGAATCCTTGACGGTTGAGTAAGAGTGCTGGAGTAGTCTAACTAGTTTAGGAAGGGTTTACACCCCATCCAACGTCGGCCTGAACACCGAAGAAGTGATAGAGATATATTGAATTCTACGTAACGTTGCTTGAATAATGCATCCCCCAAAAGTGCCTAGTTCGCCACACTCCTTAATGTTATAATAGGTTGATTTCGGGCATCCTCGACAGCCGCCCGCTTAATACCTCGCTGGGAGTGAGAAAGCCAGACATGTAAATTGGAGCATCAAGTAGCCTCGGTAATTGAAATGTCAAGAGATAAATAGATTGTGACTTGTCGTGAAGATGTCATCTCAGACTGGGCAGCAAAAAGGGCATTGATTGGTACTAAACCAACTCGGTCAGTCGTGGCTTCGGCCCCACGAGTCTTTTGGAGCTCACCTGTCAAAGAACTGCCCAGAATGATGCAAACATGTCGGAGCATTAGCAGGCCCTACTGGAGCCGTCCAACTTCGCTGGCACGGGGAAAACGGAAGGTTTGAATTCTGAGGGGCCGGGTACGTCAAAGCACGCCCTGGAGGATGAGGGGGAGATATCGTGCTCGCATCTGAGTATGCAACACTATTACCCCTCATGGGCGAGCTCATAGGGTTCTCAAGGGGAGAGACCTGGATTGGTTGTTGGTATGCATTGTTGTAGGGCTGAGAGCCTATTGAATATTGGGTATTGGGTGGAGGTTCCTGATATGATGGTTGAGATAGATACACATTCTGTTGTTTGGGATATTGTGGTTGCTGCGGATAGTAGGGGTTGGTATAGTTGTAGTAGTGTTGTGGTTGCTGGTCGGGATAACTGTTACCATTAACGGACGGTATGGGGTCGACAGAACCATAGGAGGATTGACCGCTCGAAACGCTGATAGGATGTGACTCCAGTTGCGCTCCGTATCGATTCGGCTGACCGGTAGGGTCTGCAGGATGGGTGTAATTATATTGAGAAGTCTGGCTAGGCTGTTGGGTAGTGGGAGGTTCGTTGGGTGGCTCCTCAACCCGGCCGTCTACGTAAACTGGGTTAAGTCTCTCGTCTGCCTTTTTCTCAAGAAAGTTCGTCGCAGTGGTGACGTTCTTTACCTTTCTCCAGTGAGGCATGGTGCTATACTGTAAGCTTATGATAATGCCTGATGGATACAGGAGGCAGAGTCTGCGCCTTTAGTAGCTGAAACGGAAGCTGGGAGTATTGTTGAGCCCCGAGGCTGCGAAGGAGACAATACTAGGACAAATCTCAGCCTGGGACAGAGCATACTTATCTATTCCGTACCGCAGCAAATGCCAGTTGGGAAAAGGGCTCTGTGATGCGTTGCTCGGTTTTGCTTTTGATAAGGCTGCGGAGCCTCAAGTCCAATGTTGAGCTGGCAAACATACCTGACCGGTGTGGTAGACAAGGCTGGGTACATTTTACTGCATTACGATAGGCTGAGGTCCAGAGTTGGTGTGGTTTAGTAGCGCTGAAGGATACGCCTCGATGTACAATGTCATGTGTGGTCCCGGTAGGCGCAGGCTGTTCTCAAATGGTACCACACGTGTCGCAGAATGCGCACTGGAGAGGGCTAGTTCGTGCACAGCCTTCGCAACCACCTTATAATTAATATATGCCGTCGCACTTGCCAAAACTCACACGACTTTCCATAAAATTTCCACAATGGCACAGAATACTTGGCAACCTCTGCCTCCCCCAGTCACTTCGGGGTGGTCATCCCCTCCTATGTTATGTCAGCCTTCTCCATTCGCCACCTCTATACCGATTGAACTCCAGAAACTTCCCCAACTAAGGCCTAGTCAGAATCTTCAGCCGTTGAGTGATGACGCAAAAAAGAAGCTTGCATGGAAATACGAGGGTTACCAGGAGTTCAGCCGATGGATGGCTTCCGACGATGACTTTTTCATCATTCGACGCTTCCAGAATCTAAACGCGAACGTCATTCTGTATATGCAGGATCGAGTCACACAAATTGAGGAAAGGCTTAGAGAAATCCATGAGAACAATGTTAACGCACCGGATGGGGAGAACAGGAAGAATTGTAGTTTTCGATGGGACATGAGACATGAACAGGAAAGAAACAGATTGATGTGCGAGCTGACGGGTCTGTTACATCACTACAGTAAGCCATGAACCTGTTGCTGTCGATACTAAGCTTACCAAGAATAGACCAATACGTGGAAACATTTTCCAAGATTCGAAGCCGACCGAAGGCGGATAAACGCCAGGTTAAGAACCTTAAAGAATTTTTTAAAAGAGGTGCCATTAACGAGAAAGAGAGTGCCGTCGCTAGCAACGAGCGGGATCTGATGTCCATTAACTCTCAGGCTACGTCACCGCTGGGTAGGATGCTTGAAGCGTGTCGACTCATCCGGTTAAGCCGTCTCGTTGAGGCGAAGCGAGATCCAACTGCGACAAACTCGCCTTACACTCACTATGCAAGTGACACAGCACTTGCGAACCTCACGACTGGAAGCATCATCCTCCTAGGGTTCTGCATGCTCCTCGGCCCGATGTGGTGGTTAGAATATGTCTCTAACAGTAGGAAGCGATTGGTCATCATTACTGTGTTTATCGCTATCTTTATGGGATTGATGTCGACAGCAACGGTCAATAAACCATTCGAGGTCGTGGCTTCAAGTGCTGCGTACGCCGCCGTTCTTATGGTTTTTATGCAGATCGACAATAGCAAAGGCTAAAGGAATAAGTGATTTAAAGGACAAGGATTGAGTAGTCGCGACGAAACTGGTAGGTGTGTAGTTATGAGAACGCCACGGCCTTAGTCTACTACGTCATTTATAGAGACGATAAATATGGAGGGAACGAGAGCAGTGTAGTATTGGAGTTTTTTTTGAGTGAAATTGAAAAGGCGAGCGAGGAGAAGAGAAATCAGGGGTGAGGAAGGATAAAGTGGGAGGTAGTGGTTAATATTTAGTCGAGAATATAAGTATCACATCCTTACCACCCGGTCCCATCCTTCTTCAGCCGGAATAACCCGTTCTTCTTCTTCTCCGTAGCCCACTTCTCACACCAAGCTTTCATCTTCTCCCTCGACTTAGCGCTGCCAACATTAACCGTTGGAATGATTTTGCTGATCCTCAATGCACAGCAGAACATAGTGAGCTCTCGGAAACTGCTATGCTCACTATATGGTACTCCGAAGCAACTTGCTCGGCTCGTGCTTCCTCGTTGAGGAGTCAGGTCCCACATTGAGAAGTGGCTCTTCCAGTTCGGAGAATGAAGAACAGTCTGAACTGACGGACTTTCAGTGAAGCGGCTGTTTGGGGGACGATAGTTCCAGCCTGATGGCCTGAAGCCAACTGCTCTCGAAAACTGATCACGGTAGTCGCGGAGGTAGTCTTCCAAGGTTTCGGCACGAATCTCAAAGAGCGGTGTCATGTGGACCTGTGCCTCACGGGGATCTGTTGTGAGGAGGGCGTTGAGCTCTGGATCTTCCAGTGCGCGACAGATCTTCTGCTTATTCGGTGGTGCGTAGATCTTGCTATTCAGAGCTTTCGCGATGCCGACACAAATTCGCTCTTTGCCGATGCTGTAGGTTCCAACAACAACAAGCAGACGGCCACGCTTATTTTTGGATCCGCATTGGGTGGCTTTCATTTCATCCACATCCTTTTCATCGTCATCCTCGTCCAGCTTCGCTTCAGAACGCCTGTGGACAAATTTCACCATGCCTTCACCAGCCCTTTCCTTTTTCACTTGCTCCCATGAGTCTGTTTCATCCGGTCGTGCCTTATTGAGGCTAACGCACATGTCGGCGCAAGCCTGGATGACTTGTTGCTGAGGTGGGAACGCATACTTTGGATTAAGGTAGGTCGTGTCAAGATAACAGACATCAATATTTTGTTGCCTGTCTTTCCCACCAGCCGCGTCCAGCACTTCCGGTCTGAGCAAGGGATGTTCAATGTGAGCCTGGCAGGCACGGAAGTCTCCACAATGTAAAATACGCTGCAGCCTGGAGTTCGTTCCCTTACCGATCTCCTTTTCGAATAAAAACAGTGAGCTGCCGGGACAGTGGTTTGCGGGAATCATGGTGACATGGACGCCTTCGGTGTTGGGAATTTCGGCCTTCGTCTCAAATTCCAGATCAACAACCCACTTCGAGTCAACGCGTAGTTGCTGTCGGACCAAATTCGCCGTGACTTTACTGCAATATATCAGGCCATGGGACCATGACGAAGTGAGACCAATGTAGTGGTCACTGTGAAAATGGCTCAGAAAATAGGCGTTCTGATCCTTCACAGCACCATACCGGAACGCGTCGACACATATGTAGAGTCCGGGGAGGATCTTGTAAAAGGGACATGTGCGCTGGTATGATGGCTTCCCTCTAGATGCTGATTCGGCTGCTGCAGCCGTAGCCCATGCCGCGTCCTCTGCATGACTTGCCATGAGCGTTGAAAATGCGGACTTTGGTCCCGTGGGTGCCCCTCCAAGTGGTAAAGAGGTTATCTGACGCGGCTGGGCAGGACGCGGTGGTCGTTTGAAGATCTTACTGTTCATCCTAGGTGTCGATGACTCCTTATTAGAACTCGTGCCAGGAGGAGGCGCAGAACCACCATCTAAGCAGGCATTGACGTGGACAGAGGCTTCTTGGTCGCTGAAGCTATCTAAGCTCGCGCCGCATATGGGACACGAGGGAATCATTTCGTCTGTCTCGGTCTCCGCTTCTAGGAACATCGGGACACCATCAAAGTCATCAAAGTCGCCTTCAATGCCTGCTTCAGCTATCTCGAGCCTTCGCTGTTCTTCCATCCACTGCCTCTCGTTGTACTCTTCACCTTCCGGAAAATCTCCATCGACAAGGCCTTCAAAATCATCAAAGGCTTCTTCGTCTACCGGAGACACCTCCACTTTCAATAAAGGAGGATCCGGATCGGCAAGAGGAGGCCCATCTACGTGGCTGGTTGGGACGTTTGGGTCCTCTGTTGGCCCGGAAATTGTTAGATCGCCAGATGTATTCGGCAAGGGGTCTGTTTCTGTCCGGTGAATCGGCAAGTCCATTTCCTCGGACTCAGACTCTGAATCATCGAGGAAGGGCCCGCTCCTCCTTGGAGCCTTCGTCGTTTCTCTAGGAATTTGTCTTGTTGGGGGCTCCTGTGCGCCAATCGTGCTCTCAGGTGGCGGCGGAGTGCAGGCTTGGACAGGTGGATCCTCAGCGATTTTCCGCCGTTTCACACTACAATCATTCTCGTTGAATCGTTCCTGGCTGGCATCATGGATTTCGTCGTGCCATCCAAGGTCCTCCTCATCGATCTCAGTCAGCCCTTGTACGCTCTTCGCTCCTCTTTCCTCGAGGAATATCCTGCAGTTTATCTCCTCGGCCTTTTTGAAAAAGGCCATGATATTTCCGTTTCCGCTGCCGGTTGCCGGCGTCTTGGGTTTGCCTCTGGAGCTGCTATTGGAGGCAAGGGGCCTCTTGCTCCAGTCCAGCGGAACAAGCGTCGTCTGCGTCTTGCAAGGCGCCATATCTGAGGAGATTGATCTCGAGCGGGATGGTGAGGGAGGCCGACCAACTGCCGGCGTCAATTTGGACGAGGGCGGGAGCTTGCGGTTCTCTCGGGGATTCCGGAACATGAGTGCGTATCTCTCGAGTGATCGGGCCGACGCTGAGTGTGCCAGGGCGGGGCTTCCAGTGTTGCAAGCTATCTTGGTGAGGGCGAGGTGCGAGGAGCAGGCCAAAGCGCTTGCCAAGAAACGCGAAGCCACGTGATTAGTAGTCAATGACGGATTGACAGACCAACTGCAACGTTGGCACACTCTCTGCTCTCGTTTAGAAATTCTTGTATCACAAGGACTTTATAATTCTCTTCAGCATGGCATCCTGTCGCGTCTGTATGCGGTGTTGAACGTGTGTTCCCGCCCTGATAGCTAGAGAACATGTAAAGAAAATCTATCATAACGAAATCATGTTTCAGTCGTGATTCTAACACGATCCAAACCCGTCCTCAACTTTAATCGGCATGTCGAAGCTCCAACGATTATACCAAAAGTCATATTCCCGACGTCGTCGATTTTCTCTAGAAGCTATCGCCTTCTTAGTAAATTTCAGCATTCTAACACCTGCACTACGTCTTGTTATTTGTCTTTACAACTTATTCCCATCCATTGCTTTCCGTCACTATCGAGCCCATCCTCTTACACTCTACGAACCGGAGCGAATGTCAGCTCGTAAGCTAGGAATCAAATAATTTATCTCTCCTTGGTGCAATTCGCCTCTCGAGTTCTATACTTCCGCTGCGTAGGAGAATGGCCAGATTCCTAGCGTTAGAAGATGCAAGCCGTGGACCCCTGACTACCCACTACAAACCTAGTCCATATCAATGCACTGTGGTCATCTCCCTTAAACTGCGGATCTCCCCTGGCGCTCTCAACCATTTCCTACCAACCTGCACAGTGTCGAAACGCTGAAGCTGGATCCTCTCCAACAGCAGGCCAATTCTAAGCACTGACATAAGCCTTTTTTCGCCATTAGAATGTAGGCTCGTAGGGGAAACCACAAGGCCTCTTGCAAATATGCAAATTTCCAGGAAGACTGAAGGGTTGCTATATTCTCGCTCCAGGATCAGCGCGCGTCATTCTCAAGTCCTGTCCAATTGACCAGGCAACGGCAGGCCCGTTTGCCGATCACTCCTCAAATCAACCGCTTAGCTGCGCCTGTTAAGATATCGAGTTGGGTCTCGCCAGTTTGTGTCGTCCGATCCCCATAAGGAGAACAACATGGTAAGCTACACTCAAATGGCTTAGAGCTTACGGTGTGAAATCGTCTCATGTACTAAAGCGTCCTTTCACTGATTTCGTGACTTTAGCATTTATACCCTTCACTACGCTTCCTGTCCATTGTCCGTTTACTCAAAGGTCTCCTGCTTGCCTTTTTGGCCACCCATTTTTGCGCACAAGGTGAGGTTGAACTATCTGCCAGCACCCACAGTGACACCCCGCCTTCAGGACCCGTGCTAGCAACCCCAGCTTCGTAAATATACCGTCCTGTCATCGCCACTCCTCTATTCGCTCGCACAAGCCAGACCGTACAGCTTGGTGTATGCTACTGCTGTGAATACCGTAAGTATGGGCTAGTAGCTGTGCATGTGTCAAATTTCGTTACTGGTGTATTAATGAATGCTTCTGCTCCCACTACGATCCAATTTTGCCACTCTCAAATATCTCGAAATGGGCCGTAATGAAGAATCCGACAATGAGGACCAAAATTCCCGCCGAACTGCGACAATTCGTACAATAGTACCGCAGTACCGTGTCGACTGATAGAATTTGACCAACCAAGGTTTTTATGTAAGAGTTTAGTTGCTCAACTACCTACCGCACCGCCCATCCAAGAGACGGAAAGCAGCTACACTAAGCTCATGGTCTGGCTGCCTCTTAAACCCAGAGGGAGGCCGGTACCCACATTTAGTGCCCAAATCATGGGCTAGCATATCCTTATCTCTATGACTGCTATTCTCCAAGGCCCTATCTTCTCCACTGCCAAAAGTATTGGAGACTAGGAAGAAAAGTGACTTGCGAACGGACAAGTCCCCGTCCTCATCCGTTAATTAGTCATGCTAGAATTGCTTTAAATTGGGCTCGACAGACAGCACTCTCACGAGGGATACTACTACCTCAGTCGTGAGCGCTTCCAATAGACATGAGGATACCCGGCTTGATACCAGGCAGTGCTTATCCTGCCCATGGGGATTCTAAGAAGCCTCTTACTTTCGAGGTTTAGAAAGTCGAAGAGAGAAGCGGAAGAGCGGAGAAGTGCGAATGAAAGATGAGAGACCCTTATACAGAGAGGTTACCTTTGATTCGGTGAGTCGAGCCATGTCTTCGAGGTAGTTCAAGTATGAAATTCTTTCTCAGATAGTCCAAATGCCAACAACATAGGGTTCCACACGTGTGCGTAGCTAGCTTTAAGTTACTAACCTTCTAGAACAATAGCCGCGGGATTCTAGTTCCCTGCCCTTCACGCAAGGTCTACACTTCCCACAATGCAATCAACTCTAGGGATTTAGATCACATTTATTACCTAGTGCTTCCACATTCTAAATCCTCTATTATCCGTCACACCTATTTAAATGCTAATAAAATGTCTGTTCTCATTAATGATGTCGCTAAAGACTCAAGCAGAGGAGCAAACCTCAAATGCGAATTGTTCTTATCCTTGTTTCAAACTTTTTTTTTTAAAAGATATGGAGCATAAGTAGTAGTTAATTAAATGCTAAACCAATGACCTGCAGAAGACTTGGCAGTGGGTTACAATTCATATCTCCCTTATTAATCTGGCTTGTCAGTGCTGTAGACATGGAGTAAAGAGCAATTGATAGCGGCTTTAGATAGTTTACTTAGAGTTACGAGATTCAACACTGGAGATTTCAGTGCGTTCAATTCTAAGAACACGCTAATCCTTTTACGGAAAGCTCACGCGTTGTACGGATTAAATCTCAAGGCTACCTCTCGAGTAGTATGATGATGGAGATACTGATCTATAAGCAAAATAGTAGGAATTTCCGAAGAACTTATTTCTAAAACCTAAATGTCACGGGTCTGGACTCCTTGTACTCTAGACACAACAAAGTCCTATTGCCCAAACACAATCTCTGAAAACCTACTCATCTCCATACTGCGCACAGCTATCTAAAGAAAGTCCCTAACCCAACTCTCTCAATCCTCCGAACTCTAAAAACACTCTCCGCAATCTCTCAAAATCCTCTCGCTGACATGCATCCTCGCGAGGTTACACAACAGCAATAGAGATTCCGCACCCATGTCGATCTCACTCCCACAATCACCGATGGTCGGAATTGGGACGAAGTGGGGTGACGTGACTAAGAAAACTATTGGGAGTGAGCGCGGAGCGGGGTCAATTGTGAGTGAGACGGTGAGATCTCTATTTCCACTTCGGACTGTAATCTGGAAGGGGAAAAAGAAGTGAAGTTGAGCGAAAGGGGGCCTGTCTGACAGGTTTGTGCAGCAGCCCGTCAGCTCAACGAAGAATGGCTGTCAGTGCGGAAGGCTAATCTGACGTTGTTCAGAGGACAAGGCTTGCAAGAATGCGGTCGAAAGGCCGGTGCAGAGATGATGCTATCAAATTTTCGCATACAGGTGTAAATTGTCGTCTATTTTGTCTCGCATGCTTCATTAAGTTTCCAGTGAGCCTGTGGGCCTTTACCGCCCAGTCCCTCACAGCTTCCCCCGTCTGGAATCGACTGCCTCCCTAAGTTTCCGAATCACCTCTCCAGGGTCGGCAGCACCAAAGACAGCGCTACCCGCCACGATAACGTTGGCGCCGGCATCTGCTGCTTGGTCAATGGTTTTCTCTGAAAGCCCACCATCGACTTCGATGTGCAGTTCGGGATACTTTTTGCGGAGAGCCGTAACCTTGGGGAGTTCAGAGGCCATGAATGATTGGCCGCCGAAGCCTGGCTCGACAGTCATTACGAGAACCATCTGCGAATAGTTAGATGATGCAAGCTACTACAAGTTTATTGCTCCTGCTGGGGCAAGCAGGGAGCGGGCGGGTAGAGAGTTGAAGAGGGACAGCGGTACGAGATCTACCGGGAACATCCACTCCAAGAGGAGTTCATGGCGCAATGCGAGACGTGTGCATGGAAGCGGGTGCGAAGATTTGGAGTGAACGGCATCTGAGGCGCAAACGTTCGCCATGTTTAAGCGCCGCCACCTCGAGCCGCCCGTGTCGGTCACCCGCTCTCAGCCTCAGCCTTACCATAGCGGACCTGCTCTCAGGCCGACCCTGGCGACGCTTTATTGATATGGCGCCAGGCTCTCCTTATCGACGATATGTGTTTATAGGGTTGATATGCATTCGTCATTGGTACTCACATCAGGTCGCTCCTCGGCCACAGGATTCTCGAGGATATCCCACAGCACGTCGACTGACGTCTTAGGTTTTATCGCAATGCCGGCTTGCATGCCGAGTTCATGGATGAACCTGATCAGCTCCTTTGGTGATGTTTGAGCGGCGGAATATCCCTCTGGGGTGTCGGCGGCGGTTGAGGAAACAGCAGCCTCATAATGAAAGCAATACAGGTCGCAGCCGGCCTTCTTGAAGTCTCTAACCCAACGCTTGGGCTAGATGAGCGCTTGTGTTAGCCAGGCCCGTGTTGGATATATTGAGGGCGTTGCGGAAATTTGGGGAAAGTGGACAGAGGGCGGCAATGCAGGTGGGATATCGATAAAGCACATCAGGAGAGTTTATACCTCTGCGATCATCATATGGCAATCGAAGGTGCCTCTGCCATAGGCACGGGTGGGACGGTCGACATGCGGGCGAACCTTGGTGACGACAGGGGCACCAAAGGTCATATTTGGGACGAAATGGCCATCCATAATGTCTACGTGAAGCCAGTCGGCGCCCTGGCCCATGGTGTCCGAGCATGCCCGGCCTAGTTCGGCGAAGTCGGCGGACAAAATGGAAGGCGCGATGATTGCGGGCGGCGACATGGCGGGCGGCTCTGCTGCGAGCGCGGGTGGCACTACCACTACTGCAGAGAAGCGCAGATGACGTCTACGGGAGTGGAGAGGCCCAATGGCAGGCTTTTAGGTGATGTGACGAGACCTCACGATGGCGGACGTGGTGTTGAGGTCGAGCGACACGCCTGCGCGGGGCATTTTGGCTTGGCGGCCGAACACTCTTCATGCGAACGCCGCTGTGCCTCCCCATTCACCGGAGGGCTGTTTCGATTCATGCCGCGATTTAAAACGCCGTTTCGTCGATTTTAGCACTGCCCACACTGGCGAGAGATGTCTCCGCGTGTGCCGCACATTGACGTTAGGAGAACTACTAGGGCTGAGAATAGCCGTGGCTGCGACCTCGATCACAATGAGCACTGGCAAAGCTCCGCCGCAGCCTCGTTGAGAAGAAGTGTCGAAACCTGGCACGCGAGGACGGACTTCAAGTCTCTTCAATAGCGAGGCGTTATTGGTGGGCGATGCAGTAGAACGTCTTTGCGCCCTATGACTGGCTGGTGCCGCAACCTCGAAGCGCTGAAAATAGGCCAGCTCGGGCGCTTCCATCCCTCACATCCAATCCCCCACCACCCTTCCGCCGCAACGGAGCCGCCCACCATCTCAAGAGAGAACAGCGCATCGCTCCATCCTCTCCCCATGTCGGCAGTTGCCTTTAGGTTGGCCAACCACAGCAGGGAAAAGATGGTCGACACATCGTGGCCGCCTTTAAGCCGCTATCGCCAGTCGAACCTGCATCCTTCCACGCTGCGAGTGGACAGAACCACTCGCACGCAGCATCATAGTGCCACCGTTGCAATGGGCCATTAGGTAGGTCGGGATGAGGGGCGTCTACGCGCAATATATACTCTCTGGACCAGTGCTCGCGCTCGTTCTTGCTGTCATTTCTCTGCCATTCACTTCTGCTTCCCTCCCGAGTTCTCTCCTCTCCGTTTTGACCTCTTCGTTGATCGAAGCATTCACATTTTTATCAGTAAGCTGTTGATCGGCTCTGGGTTATCGCCCGCAATTTAATATATCTTCGTCGTTCGATTTCCCGTTTATAGTTTTCTTCTCCCCCACCCCCCCTCCATTCCGCCCTGATCCCAGCAACTCGGATTCCATCGTACCGATTCGTAATAATAGCACGAGGCGGAGCTCACCTCAGCCCAATATACCAGTATGCCAGAGATACTTCCATCTGCAGCCTACAATCCTTCTGCACTTGGCACTCTGGACCATCAAGATGCCGTGTCTCCGCTGGCTCAGAGGCACACTCTTAATACCATTGTCGAGGACGACTCAGTCATCCCGTACTACTACCTTGCGCCAAGACACTCACCTACGTCGACATATCAGTGCAGCTTAGTCTCACCAGACAGTAGCGAAGACTTCCCCACCCCCAAGGCACGTATATTCGACATGATGAGGCCGTCGCCCCAGCCATCGCCACGATACACCTCTTCATCACCACACTTTTCACAACACCGAGAGAGCCTGGCAGACAGTGATTTCGACTCCCTGTACGATATTACAGACGATGAAGAGGAAGTTCCTCTCAAGTGCTCAGCATCCGTCAAGAAAGTTGCTCGGTTAAGTCGGAATCGCTATCCATCAATTGTCATTCCCTCACCTTCAGCATGGCCGACCATTGAGAAGCTTAGGAGTGCCATGTCGTCGGTTCCCCCAACTCCTTCACAGTTGCTGCCCCCCTCCCGTCAAGGATTGTCATCGCTTGCAACACACCACCTACAGCTACCGGCAACATCCGCAACCCCTTCACTAGATGGAAGTATGTCATCAGAAGAAATGGACAAATTAAGCTGCCCAGCCACACCCGAGACACAAAACCGCCAGTCCATCTCCAGCATTGACGAATGGGGACCAGTTCAACTTGATATGCAGGCACTTGAAACGCTCTCGCACCTCGGACACTTGTCTACAGATCAACAGCATGAGCGCCAAGTATCTCAAGTTATTGAAACTCAAGGAGGAGAAATGCAGGAAGTATCGCGACCTTCACTTGGACTCAACATTCCATCATCAGTCATCCAGAGTAACTCATCAGGGAATACCCCGCTCTCTTCACTCTCAATTCCATCACCGGGAGGATTCTTTTCCTCACTCAGAGCGTCGGCTCGCCATACATGGAGCATGCCAAGGAAAGCGGAGGACTCTGTACCCAATACATCCACCGCCGAAAACTTCTACCACGTGCCATGGGACAGCCGAAGGAACACGATTGCAGAGCATGCCGTCACCCTTGCTGGGTCGACGCTTGATGGCTACGATGATGGATTGCCAACTTCTCGACCAGTTGTTCTTGGCGACAGGGACGATGTACTCGAAGTCAAAGAGATCAATCCTAGCAAGACCATTTTCCAGTACAATGAAAAGTATAACGCAGAGCTCCAGAAGCTGTCAACTGCAAATCTTGAGAGGACGGGCCACTGGCTGGAAGAGCAGGATGAACTGAAAGCTGCCCTTCGAGAGATGAATGATCTGGGTTCGCCAAACCTCTCCACTGGCAGTCATAGTCGAGGAAATTCAATCGACAAGACTGTAAAGAAGTCTGTCACATTCGCCGAGGAGCCGAAGAAGTCGCCAACCAATGAGGAGTCGCCCAAGAAAATCGTAACTTATGTCCAGGGATGGGAGTATCTTCGTGACCGAAGTCGCAAGCACGATCCTTTTATTCATCGACAAACTCGTGCTGAGGCAATGCACCTATACCGAAGATGCATGCCTGCAGCTCATAGGGATCAACTTCTTGGCAAATTCGAGCTCACGAATCCAGTGCGGCCATCTCCGCCACGACCTGTTTCGGAATTCTACATGGATGACCCAACGGCGTTGAAAGAGCGCATTGCTCGCGCTCAGATGGAACGACAAGCGCTTGACCAGATGATGCCAATCACCTGGGTCCTGCAAGCCCTCAAGCAACTCAACGGTGGAAAGCTGCTAAGCCATCATACCGCAAAATCCATTGCCCGAATTCGTGCACCTCGAATCCTCGATCTTGGTGGTGTTCCTACCAACGACTGGGCGTGGCAAATTGCCTGCGATTATGTGTATGCGACAATTACCACGGTGTACACGGCTGGCAACAATCTCACATCCAATGTCAGCGGGCCAGAGAACCACAAGCACATGATAGTGCCCAACCTTTGGACACTGCCCTTCCCTAATGGGCACTTCGATGTCATTTCAGCACGCTCACTTTACGAGCTTCTCAAAACCGACAAGCCATTGGGTCGCTCAATGGACGAATACGACCTGTGTCTCAAGGAGTGCTTCCGATGCCTGAAACCTGGTGGCATCCTCGAATTCTCTCTCATCGACGCTGACATTATTCACGCCGGCCGTCAAGCCCAAGCTATGGGTGTAGAGTTTGGCTTCAATCTCAAGACTCGAGGCTATGATGCCGCCCCAACTAAATCATTCCTTCCGCGCATCCGTAAAGCTGGCTTCCAAAACGTGCAGCGGATGTGGATGGTTCTGCCAATGGGCAAAACGGCGGCTAACTGGAAAGAGACGCTTCCTGTTGGTGCTGAGACGAAACAAGAAGAAAGGAGCATTACGCCGGATGGCCAGGTCGATGTTAATCCCAGTCCGGTGTTTGGGACAACAGTCGATGCAGCGATGATGACGGGGATTGTAGGGAGCTGGGCGTGGGAGAAGTGGGTGTTGAAGTTGCAAGTCGAGATGGGTAAGGAGGAGGAGAAGTTGTTGGAAGGCGTGGTGCAAGTTTTAGAGGAGGGTGCAAAGGAGGGGTCGGGCTGGAGATATTTGACCGGTTATGCGCAAAAGTAAAAGATATGTGGAATGGGTCATGCGGGTACATAATCTAGGCTCACTCTGGGTTGTTACTGGCATTAGCATGGAGTTTTCGCGATTTGGTGATTTAGGGGCTGTTCGCTGCCATTGCATTGCATCGTCGTATGGTTGGGGGATTGATACCACTTGGCTACTGTTTCCTTTGTTGCTGAATAAGATATCGTGTCAATCATATTCTGGTCCGGCTATATTATGTGATGGTGGCGTTAACGACCGGCATTGAGGGAGAAGTCTCGACAGTGAGGTCTTTTGTGCTAGGAATGGAGGAAATATGAGCACGTGATCGCCGGTTAATTTTCGGAATCTAGCAAATGCCCCACCATCTCGGAAGCTTCGATTTGGCGTGCAGCTTCAGCCTCGATTCTCACTCAATCCCAAATAACAACTACAACCCCAGCAGCTTCCGACACAAATATTCCCTCTCACCATGCTCATTTTCAGGTCCGTGGCACAACTTCTTCCTCTTACCGCAAACGCGCAAGAATTCGAGAGTAAAGAGCTAACGAGACTGCCTGTCCAGCTTCTTCAAGACTCTCATGAATCAAGAAGTCACAGTCGAACTCAAGAACGAAGTATCGATTCGCGGGACCATCAAAAGTGTCGACCAATTCCTAAACATCAAGTTGGACAATGCGAGTGTAGTGGATGAACTAAAATGGCCGCATATGGTAAGTCTGCTCTGCGACAGGGTATTGGAGTTCGGGGCTAACATTCACAGTCCTCGACGCGAGACATGTTTATTCGAGGATCTGTGGTCCGATACGTACATATCCCAAGCGCAACGGTCGACATTGGACTCTTGGAGGATGCCACACGGCGAGAAGCGGATAAGGCAAAGGCGGGTACTGCATGACCGTAATGACAACGATCAATAGGAGCAAAAAGCATGAGTGAGGTCGATCTTGAGATAATTATATGGAATTGGAGTTTATCACATATCAGGTTTACTTGAAAATGGCGTATAGACGGGCTGGTAATCAATTCCTGGGGCGAAGATCCCACCAGGGCTACGTATGATAAAGAGAGACGGTGGTAGAGGAGACGGATCCAGAAATTACTATGCGGGCATATGTATACCCTTGGCCAGATAATGCAGAAATGGAGTTCGGTATTCCGTCTTATACGCTAAGGTAACGGGCATAATGGCATTTCTTTGCCCATTGTGTCTAGCGTTGAGCTTTTTATTCTTTCAAGCCTCACTCGCATCGTAGCCTCGTGCACTGATGTTGTGCTTACACGGCCACCGGGGTATTGATTTCTTAGATCTGGCTTTAGGAAACGAGTGTCTCAACTGTCGGTTCAATGGAGAGGGGAGAGGGAAGCGATGGTGGACCTGAATGGCTCTTGCTCCTGCAAGTCTTCAGTTGTCCCTCCACACCTTCCTTCAACCTCGCCTGCATTACCTTCCTTAAGCTACAAAGCACCCCGCAGACGATGCAGTTGTCGTTGGCTACAACACCAGCCATAGTAGCTGCCTCTTCTCCATCTCTATGCAAGTGGGCCCAGCCCATGATTGGTACATCATACCGACATCTCCAGCGACATCACTCTCACCGCCAATTCTCATGCCGTGGGACTCGACTTCACTCCCAAACACCAACGTCCCGTATTCTCCATCGACCTCATCTTCACGTTCACGGCTCACCACGACTCCACCAAACCTTCCCCCTTCACCATCAATAACATCAACAACCTCCGACCTCTACGCATCCTCGGCGCGCCCGGAACTCCAATCAGACCCTTCGGCCGAATCAGGCCGCAAGATCGCCAGTCCCGTCATTGGGGGCGCTTTGGGGGTCGCACTCGTAGGTCTCGCGATTTGGTTTGTCATTTGGTGGAAGCAGGGGCCGAGAAGGACGCAGATGCATGGCTCGGGCCAGAATAGCCACAACTTAGCTCGGGTTGCAAGTGCGCGGGGAGAGGAAGCTAGAAAGGGGAAAGAGTGATGACTAAAGCTGGGGTTAGTGTTAGATGGCTGAGGAGAGAGAGATAGGTGAGAACTGAGAACTGGAGGTGGATAGAGGGTGGTTGTTGCGACTTGCTATAGCCGTAGCAATAGAGTGCCGGTTAGAATGTGAAACCTTACAGGGGCAAGGGAGAAAAGGATGTTCTCGATTTATTGCTGCTTGGGATGTGTGACGTGATAGGACTACTTTTCGGACTGCATAGCTCTTTCGTGAAAAGAGAGGCTACCTCCTGGAGAATACGCAATTTCAGGATTCTAACTACCACCAAATTAGTCTGATCGCAAGACTCAGTATGCGATCAACTGTAAATAAGAAACCCTCAAAGATGGATATCACATGAGCAGAGTTATCGGAGTCATCACTTGCACTGTCTCCCACAAGTCTTTTGGTGATGAAACAGATCTCCCTCCATTTATTGCAACCCCAAAATACTTGCTAAATTTGAATGGTGATTTTCATTTTGTTTCTAGAAGTTTCCTTGCCGTGGAACGCATAGCTACCCAGTGCTTTACATAACTTACTATTTTTCAGCTAATCCTGCGTCTATTATTTAGTTGTGATTAGAAAATTACAGCAGTTGTTGAATAGGCTCTAACAGCTAGCTGCTTATAGTATAAGCACTTAAGTAGTAAGAGTAAGAGTAGTGTACAGTGTGCACAGCGTATAAAGTAGGTAAAGTAAAAGTAACATGTTTTTAGTTCTATTACTCTTATCTTTCCTTTATATAAAGAAAAAGGGGGATATTTAAATATTTACATATAGAGGTTTACACATAAGCATTATATAGCATAGATATGTAGTCCTGCTTATGCATAATTACTTATATCTAGATTATAACACTGCTGCTGTGTATAAACACTAGCAACTTTTTTTTTTATCTAAAGAGTTACTTTTTATATGTGTTACTTTTTTTCTATTTATATAAGTCTATTTAATTATATTTTTCTTTTACTTTACTTTATTTATTAAGACTTGCCTTAGTAATGCTGTATATTAAAATAAGCTAGTTACACTATATAAATAGCTTTATAAATAGTGTAAAGTATTTTAAGCTATTATTATCTAGCTTTTATACACTTACTTTATAAGTAATTTAGTAGTGTATAAACTATTTTATATAGAGTTTTATACTAAAATAGTGTAAAATTTTTATATAAGTAGGTGTGTAAAAAAGTATATATAATAAAGTTTTTTTTTTTTTTTACTTTTTTTTTTTATTCTTTACTTTTTAAGCTTTACTATATAATTCTTTAGCTTTTTTCTTTTTTTATATAGTGCTAATAGTAACAGATACTCCTGCCTACACACACACACACACACATACACATAAAGAGAGAGAGAGAGATATCTCTCTAGCCTTCCTCCTCTACCTCTAGCGCTGTTAGTGCGGGCGTCTTTAACGTCCTTATGTAGTCTAGCAGCCTAGAGTGCATTTATGTTACTTTTTTAACTAGTTCTACTGCTAATTAGTAGTTTATTTAGTGTTTTAGTATAAATATATAAATCTTTTAGCTTTTCTACTTCTTTCTTATATAAAATGCTAATTATAGATAGGCTAAAAAGTAGCATGTAGCAGCTTTACTATTTTATAATATTAATGTTATTTTACCTACTAGCACTAATCTATAGCTATAGGCAGCAAAGGTTGTGTGTTATAAGAGGTACTTTTGTTAGTTTTAGTCTAAAGTTATAGTTAGGTCTTAGCAACTTTATGTGCTTATTATTATAGTAGCACTACTAGTGCCTTTTTTTTTATTAAGTGTTATATGCTAGCTAACTTTTAGGCTAATGCCTACACTTTGTGCGTATAGCAGAGCTGTGGTCTGCATTGTAACCACCACACGTGAGGGGTAGTGTGTTCTAGAGAGGGGGGGGGGGCTAGTAGCTTTTCTTTTTCTATGTACTAAATAAATAAACTATCTTTTTTACATATTCTTCTCTTCTAATTTTATACTAAGAAAAATAAGTGCGTATAATAAAAAAAAACAAAAGAAATAGGCTTTATATAAAAGTGTTGTTAGTCTAGTTAGTCTAGAGCATCTTTGTGCACAGAATCTAGCTAGTCTATAGATGCTTCTATCTAGACAGAGAAGTAGTTAGTTAGAACTAATAATTAAAAAGCCTAGTTTAGTGTTTTCTTTATATATACATCTACTAAGTTATTTTTACTATTAATTTACTTTATTTTAGTAATTTTTTTTTTGTATAATTTATAAAGTAACATAATATTAATTATAAGTTACTTTTTACTAGTAGTGCTTAGCTTAATAAGGTAATTATATAAAAACTGTCTGTACGCAGCAGCAGCGTCACAATCTAGATACGAGCGATCGCGCACAAGCAGGACCACGTATCTATGTCACATGATGCTCGTGCGCGAACCTCTGTGCGCAAACATCTAGATATCCCTCTTTTTCTCTGTACAAAGGAAAGACAAGAGTAATAGAACTAGAAACATGTTGCCCTTACTTTACCTACTTTATACGCTGTGCACACTGTACACTACTCTTACTCTTACTACTTAAGTGCTTATACTATAAGCAGCTAGCTGTTAAAGCCTATTTAACACTAATTAGTAGTTAATTTAATTAACTATAAATTAGTAAAAGTAATAATAAAGTACTTTGTTTTATTACTTATTTTTTAGAAAAAGTAATAATAAAGCACCTACACCTTATAAGGTACTTTGTTTAGTTACTTATCTTTTAGAATAGCAGATTAATCCTTTACATTATACAGCAAGCTCTGCTACTATATAAAGTAAAAAGAAAATAGTGTAAGACGCACACTAAAGCTACTAAAGCTATATAACCTAGCAGCTAGACAATAGCACATTAATCCTTTACATTATACAGCAAGCTCTGCTACTGTACAAAGTAAGAAGGAGATAGTATAAGGCGCACACTAAAGCTATTAAAGCTGCATAACTTAGTAGCTAGACAACAGCAGTACCTGTGTAATTTACTAGAAAAGTAATTAACTATACTATTATAATAAAATCTTACTAGTAACTAATAACTTTATGTAATAATAAAAAGAATAAAGAATAATTTTTATTATATAAATAACTTATAAAGGACATAGGGATATTAGAGGCAACACTACAGAATAAGACTAGCCTAAAGTACTAGAATAATAAGATTAATATGTTAAAGGCTTTAATAAGCCTATAGACTTAATTATATATAAGTTATATAATTACTAATTTATATATAATAACTTAAAAAAGCACTACTTTTTTAAGTGTGTATATAAAGAATTTTAAAAGATAGACACTATAAGACTTTTTAGCACTTAGCTATGTGTTTAAAAAAGAGCTTATATAAGTGCTAAAAAACAAAAAAATTACACTATAGCTAGGCACTAAAGGTACCTAAGCCTAGAAGCTGTATAATATAGCATAAAAAAAAGTAATTGCACTAAAAAGGCTTTATATATAACTTTTATTACTATATAAGGCTTTATATAAAAGCAGACTAAACACAATGCTGCTATTAACACTAAATGTACTAGTATTACCTACTTCTATACCTTAGCTAGTACTACACTAATTACTGTATAAACAATACATGCCACTCTACCTAACGCCTGCTCCACACCCTTAATTGTACACACCACTGCCTGCAGTAGTGTATGCACTACTAATACCACCTGCATAATCTATACTATATTACAACCTGTATAAACTTCTACTTTAGAGAGAAACTACTAAAGAAAAACTTCTAGTAGATAAGATTATATAATTTTAAAAAGCATAAAAAAAATAATAACTATATAAGTTAACTATATAACATCTTTATAAATAAAATAAAGATTTTTATTAATCTATGTTAATAGCTAGATATTTAGAAAACTTAGTATATAAACATCTTTCTAGATATCCTAAAAAGTTAGGTAAATATGTACTATATGCATAACATAGGCCCTAGACATAACTAAAAGCATTTGTATAACACCTTAAGTAGTTACTTTAACACTAATGTAAACTATAGCTAGTACTAGATAGACTAGATAATAATAACTTTTATATAATGCTAATAAAAGAACTTTAATAAGAGTTTATATAAAGTTCTTAAAACAATAATTAATAAGCTTACACTTATATAAAAAGCACTAAAAATAAAATTTTAAAAAAATGTTTTACTACACACTACTATTATATAAGCCTATTAAGTGTAACAATCCTCATGAATCGTTCCATCTCGAGTCGCCCGGAACCTCCGGAAGGCCCTCGTATCGGCCCCGACCTCGACCTGGCCCCGACCCCTGCTGTTACCCCTATTCCCTTATGTATTTAGTTGCACCTTGCCCCTGTAGCTAGCTTAGTAGTTTTCTGATATCCTATGTACAAGGCCTATAGGTGTCATTGGTATTCCCAGGTCTCTAAGTCCCCACGCACTCCTATATGCCTCTGAGTGGATTTATACCGCATTTGGACCTATTGTCTTGCCTGCGCTGTTACATTATATTAGAAAACTCGCTTTTGCTAGTAACAGCCTTGTTACAATATTGCATTAATTGTCTGTTTAACTACGTCTAAGCCTAAGACGCGTCTAATTTAGTTTAGGTTGCAATCCTCCACACTGTTACATTAAATTACTTAGTCTATAGACTAGATCCTATTAACCTCTAGTTGACTAAAGCCTTTGGGTTTAGAACTTCCTATCCCCTGTGATTAGGATTGCCTTTAGAAAAGTTGCATAGAGGCGCTAAGGTAGAAACTTAGAGACTACTAATAACCTATTAGGATTAGAGACAACCGCTGATGCCTGACTACTAACCACCCTCTGACCCTAGAGTTAAAGCACGCTCTAGGCGAGGCAAGCCCCTAGAGTTGATGAACGATCTATGTTAACAGCTGAACCTGCTTTAGCGGGACCTGAAGCTAGCCCCACCCGATTTAGACTCGAGCCACAGCAACATGTCCTGATAGACCTTAATTAACTACTAAATCACCCCTAACAATGCCTTGAATTATC